GTTTGCAAAAAATTCCTGTTTGCTTTGCTCGCAGGAAATCAGCGTTGTCCTGTTTTACCCCAGGGGCCTCTATAACCTGTTTGTGCTCTTGAACATACCTGATGAAATATTAGTCAGTACTAAATAACCAAACAAACTGTATATTTTATAACATCAAAGCTGCTTGCGGCAAAAGAATTTCAACATTTTCAAGATTCCTAGAGATGGACAAGTTGACATCACAATTTACTAATATTAATAAACTTTAAAAGCTGCTAGCAAAGTTTTTCTAAAGAATCGATGCAGAAAATGCATTAGAATGTTTTTATGACATTTTTTATTCTGAATAATGAGTAAGCCCCCTTTCTTATAAGCACTCCTCTCGCTAGAATAGGGAATAAGGTTAGGGTTAGGGGTTAGGGTTAGGGTTACGGCTAGAAGGGACGGAATGCCAGTTACATACACGTCATTTCTCTTGTTTTTCATCTCATCTCATGGAAATAAAGGTAAAATGAAGATAAAGTTGAAAGTTAAAAGTTGCTACTACTTAATGGATAATGGATAAAATAAACTTAACTAAATATACAAGCTTTTTCTACATGGTGGTATACTAGTAAAGGATTGAAAAATATTATTATACCAGGCAGTGTCTTTACACAATCTTATCCTCAAGTTTTATCTCATGAAAAATTAAAAGTGAAACACAGAAATAAAAAACATGACTATTAAATGGCAAAACGATCAAGCATTTGAAGATAATATGAAACCAGGCACTGCCATTATTATCCAAGAGTTTTATGTTAAAGGATGAAAGGAAAAATACAAAGTGTAACCCAAAAAGTAATAGTTAGGACCACTTAATGGTATTATACAGGCACGGCGCCCCCCCCCCCCCACTATTACAGCAATAGAAACTCTGCGAACGTCTTTTTTATTACTTTGTAAAACAAAATATAAAATCAAAAAAGAGCAAACTGTTTATGTACTGCTTGATTTTATTTATATTTCTATCATTCGTCTATAATTTGTATCAATTCAGTACACAACTTTCTGTATCATTGCAATTTCTTCATTTCTATGTGTAAATATGGCCTGTCAAAAATACTCGAAAAAAGGAGATGCACATAAGAAAACGTTTCTCAGCGGCTATTCGGAAACAAAGATTTTGCATATTTTCAAGCATTTCATTCAGTAGACATAAATCTATGAAGTTAAAAAGTGCTGGCAAGAAACAAGATATCAAAGCTGACTACAACGAAAGTATAGTAGAAGAAGATAGATCACTGTGGCTAGATAAAGTTAGTTGAAAAGATACCATCTCTCTTCACTTAGTAACCAGCTCATTAAAAACGTTCCCTATTTGCTAATGGTTTGTGATTAAGGCATGCAATTTTAAAGTAGTGACAAATTTTTATATGCTATTTTTTCAATATTTTAAACATTTTTGGGCTGTTAAGTTTTTGACCACAGAAAAACATAGACGATAAATATTCCAGACACTTCTACTATCAGAAAATATTTATGAGAACAACTTGGCGTTTATGCATGTCATTATCACTATGTCATCATCATAATCATATTCATTATCACTTTGGTTTGTTTCTTAGATGACCGTACAAAGCTACTAGACATTTGGCACGGATAGCTTTCAACCGCAATTGAGCACACATCCTGTATCAGCTTTCCTTGTGATATCCTTAGCATACTACACTAAGATAATTTGGAATTGTTTTTAGGCAAACCGAATGCATTGGGGCATTGGGGAAAAGAACGCGTTCCATGCTGCTCTTAATGTGTATCTTCGATCATGTCTTTGGACTGCCAAGCTACACTTTCTAATATTATATCAACGCCCTTCTCTATGGATCTCTTCCTCAACTTTTTAACGTTTGAAGTTATCTTTAAAAAACAGCTTCTTTACTAATCAAAATTGACTGAATCAATGATGTTGATGTTAATTTTTTTGCAACTGGAAATGGCTAGAGTTACAAACATGAACATCAAAGGTTTTCTATAATCCTGTGAAGCATATCCTTCTAAAATTTGCAAATATCAGTTCTTTCTAATATACTGCAAGCAATGCCTATCTTTCGATTTTATTGTAAGTAAAGCTTAACTCATTCCCTGGCACTTATTGTTGACGGTCGGTAAAATTGAAGCACTATTAAAGAAAAATATTTTCCGTTCTTTGTGGAGCTTATTAATGAAATATCCAATAAGATGATACTACAAAAACAGGTAATAAAACCATATTCCAATGAAGACGCAACTTAAAACATGTGTAACGGCGATCGGATTGAATTACTGAGGTGATTGAAATCTAACTGATTATCTTTATAAAATTCGAGCACCTTGCAATAGAAAGGGACTCTGAATAAAAGTAATGTCTTGCTTTTATGCTACAAAACCACTTTGTGGTACTGTATAATATACAACCTGTTTACTTGGACAAAGTCACTTTCGCCTATAAATCAATTTTAAAACTTCGGTAGATGGAGTAAGATTTGTCTGACAAGATAATGGCAACCTATAAAACATTGTCTAATGTTTTACTAAAGGCAGATGATAAGATCAAGTAAAGTGAAAGAGTTGCCAAAAGCAATTTATATTCTAGCTGTTGAGAAGAAATCGTAAGAAAAATCCTTTTGAGAGAGCATATCGACTTTTAAAAGCAACTTTTTTCTGATTTGCCGTTTCTTAGCTGGAGAACATAAAATGTTCTCTGGCTTTTTCCAAAAAACCCCTTTCTCAAAATGCTACATGAGCTAGGTGAGTCCTCTTCAAGATTACTTAAGCCCCGAAGCCCCGATTTAGTTGTTGCCTCTGTACCGATATGCACAGTACGGCATTTCTTCATGAATGAAAGTTTCTGTTACTACATAGGACTCTTTAATGAGGGCTGCAAGCTCTGCAATGCCGGCTAAGAATACTTGGAACATCCAGCAATTTTCCACTGTGGCCTGCATTCTATCTTTCCCTTTCCCAAATGTTTCCTCCGGCCCCTTCTTTTAAGAAAAATGCTGATAGCTATAGATTAGACAATATCATTCAAGTTAGAAGGAAAGGACTCCCTAATCTCGGAGATTTCGCCCTTGACGACAGACGCTAGTGTTGCAAGACCATTGCAAAACCCCCTTCTCTCTGCCACGCCGAATAGAGATTTCGCTATAAAAACCCGTGTTTTATATCCTTTAACACATTTTGTACGATGCTAAACTCTACCCTGGGTATCAAGAGTCTCCATTATACAGTCTCAGAAATATAGCTAGGAACTAGTCACAGAAAAATCCTCTGCATCCACTCATTCTTTGCCACCGCGGCCCTGGTACCCAGGGTAACACACATTAACAACTAACGCTAATTTTTATCCCGTCCCAATGTCCGTCTTCTCTCCCGCATCTTCTCTTCTCTTCTACAGTAACCATTTTTGACACAAGACCTCAAATAAGGATTGTAGCTCAGTAAGTTACGTTATCAGCAAATATTTGCAGCAATAAAGGAAAATTTAGTATTCTTTAAACATTAAATAGACTTTACTTTGCATTGAAATCCACCTTCAAATACAACCATTTGCTGATAGAATCTTACCAAGATCATTAGGCTCCTGAAAATGCCCAGTAAGTTAACAAAAAATTTGCAGAAGAGAAAGTTTCCTAACATAAGAGAAATCATAGCATATTCTCTCAGAAAAGGTATAATTATACACCTTTGGCCTTTTCTATGCGAAGCACACGAGGGGCAAAATATTTGAATAGCTTTATAAACGAACTTAAGACTGTGTACCGATTTATGTCGCATCATTTCGTTTTAGTATTTGTTTTGCCTCATGGCTGTCTCCTTGTAATCAAATCTTGTAATTTATAGCTGGTACCGTGTTTATAAGTTTAATAGTCACATCTACAAAACCATGCAGAAATACTTGGCTTGAAATGACGGACACAAAAACTGATAAAAGCGTGATTGTGTACGTAAACCAAAAGAAAGACGTAACATACTTCAATCAACAACAATTTCTTATAGCATGGAGTGATCAATAGCGCCATATCTTTTCCTCATAAACTACATCATCCTCCTTAAGTCAAGGTAGCAGAAAAACTTGGTAGGATCTAGATAAGATAATGTAAGCTGCCCTCGTTTATTAGCCGCCTTTGACTGTAAGCCACAACAAACGTGTCAAAAAATGATTATAAGGTATATTTCCTGAATAATTTTAATGGCCTATAAAAATCTCGCTTTAATTTTGTTGAACGTTCTTGATAAAGTTTCCGATCCTTTAACCCTTAAAAGTAATTTAACGCCATTCAATAGTATTACAATTTTTTTATACTTAGGAAAATTGCCAGCTTAGTAGATGTAAAATATGTTGGGATGTCACAATGGCTACCTAGGCCAGTGAGCATCATTTGATCCCAAAACACTCTTTGATTATGTTCTCCAATATTAACAAACTATCTTCAAGGTTTCAAGGTTTGATGACAAGCTTCTTTCACACTTTTTACGGGGCTACTTTTTCAATCTCTATTTCATTTCCCATCCTACTGACATGATATGTTCAGTCTGTCTTGACAGATGAGAATTTGAAAGCGAAATCTGTAGCTTCATTTTCAGTTAAATCCTGATTTACTGATCATTTTGTTTGAACAACCTTCTTCAGTTTTCAAATGGGCTCGTTTCACTTAACAAGCTTGATCAAAACAAAAACCAATCATGGCAAAGAACAGCAACCTTGGAAGCAGGTAATTAGACGTAATAGATTTAATGGCATTATCGTACTGTTAGTGATGAATATATCTTGCGAGCAGATGTTGCGATATTGATAACTGTAATTGCAAGCGTTGAGAAGCAACGATTAGCCACGGAAGACCAGAGTTTACTTAACAGTATGTTGAAGGTGATGAATGAGAACTAATAGATTGCTATGAAATACATTCTCTTATTGTATACGTTCCCCGTGTTAAAGCAGGTATCTTCATTCAGTCTGACCACTAGGAAGATATAAAGCATGCAACCGAACAGACAGGTGATTGTGTTACGACGTGCCGGAACCAAATATAAACAATCGCTACCAAGAGCCTTTACATAGTCAAAAGTCTTTACCACTTAAGAACATACAGAGCGTAAGAGATTTCGAAATCACACGCAGAGTCTCAGTACAAAGCAAGGTAAGTTAACAAATGTTACATGGTAAAATTTTTGTTGCTATGTCATTAGTTTTTAGACGTTTTTTACATATTTTGTAAAATAGCAAAAACAACAGTATCAAGCGTCTTGGCAAAGGAAATATGTTCGTAACGGCAGTATTGAAGTCATTGAAGATAAATTGTAGTAATGTCATTGAATGTCCGTGCAAAGAAATAAATTTGACCTTCTTCCTGTCCGTCTGGACAATCTTCACAATTCACCTAGGATGATTTCAGAACATTTGGACATTCAACAGTTTCAAACAATATGATAGAACTCTGTAAAAAGCATTTCTTAGTCAATATGCGAAAACTTTTTCAATCAAAATTGAACCCACATCTTAACTGTGACAGAGAGAACGATGGTATTTCTTTTCTCCTGATATTTCCAGTCTTAAGATTTATTGCAACCATGGCAACAATCACAGTGTTAACATCTAAAATGTGCAAAAGTTTGCTATAAGGAACTTATGTTGGTGTTACTTGAGATTAAGGTACCTGTTAAAAATCTTACCATTTGCCTAATATCGCCTTGGAAGGAAGAGATTGCACCTTTGAGTCAACGTTTTCAGCTGTTTCGGAGCGAAACAAAACGAACTGATTTCTGTTTACTTAAAGGTATGGTCTGACTGATGTAAAAGGTGATAGAAGCTATATGTTTATATGACTAAATTGTATGAAAATCTCGATAGGAAAATTTGCCACGGATTTTAGCACTTTGCTAAGCAAACTATATGACTGACAGTTTACGAATATGGTTAAATTGAATTATTTGGTAGCAACATTTTTTAAGGAAAAAAAATACTATCTTCTTGAAACCTTCTTTATGTATATGTAGATTATAAGCGAAGGAAAAGTATTGTGAAGTTAAAGAAAATGAGATGTCTTAGAGGTCAAATTTTCTGATTACCAGGAGTCGAAGCGGTATGACGTAATGTTGCTTAGGATTCTCATTAAGATTTGCGTCCGTGCTCACAAGATTACTAACATTAGATAGCGGTATGTATAGGAGCAGGGAATAGCATACAATTCTGTTACCGTTTGCTTGCTATTAGACTTAGCGGTACCATAATTAGTTATCAGAATCGATATCAAACTTTTATATGTTTTCACTCACCATTCAAACGGTTGTTGTGTGACGCTGTACTGTTCACTCAAATGCGACTTGCCTGTAAATGGAGAAATGATATCACTTTTAACCTTGCAAACTCTAGTAGATTACAGAGTTATAAAGTATTTAAATTCAACCTTTGACAAGGCTATCGGCTATTGGCATTTGTTTACAGTAATACTGTTCGCTAAAAAGGTAAACAGACGACATATCAAAAAATCATCAGCAAGCACATGGTAGATTGATGCCCTAAAATAGCGAATAACAGATAATATTGACGATCTATTTTAAGCTTGTTAGAATGACGATCTATTTTAAGCTTTATATTCATATGTCTCTCCTCTTTTACGATTGACAGCCTGTTCATTAATGTGTAGCCTTACTACAAAAGAAATATAACCTGAAATCTATATAATTCATAAAACTGAAATACTAATCTAATTAAAAATATTGAATTTTTATAGTATTGTCTGTTCATGCCCAGATAAGCACTATCTAACATACAAACTCTGCCAAAATTTCTTGGAACACCTACATATTTTGCTAAATTTGTGATTTTTTGTGTACTTCCCGAGTTTCTAATAGACTAACCCCCTCCCTCTAAAACAACGTTCATTACAATGCAGTATATAAAACCAAAAGTTTTGCCACAAATGTATGTCTTAATTTTCCTGTAAGACAACATTGTTTGAAGGAGAGGGAGGCAGATGCATGCAAACGTTGAAAATATCGCAAGTGTTCGAAGAGTTTTGGCAGTGATTGTAGATGGGAAAACAGTTAACATCAAAAACCGTATGCACGGAACTTTCTATAAAATTTGGTAAGGTTCTATGTAAAGAATTACTGGGTTAAAGATAGGGCAACATTTTGCATCCCTGATGATAATATGTATATTAGCCACAAAACAGTTTGCTTTACAATAATAAATCAACGATACTTGGATTTTCTCTTCGGATGACTCTGGAATTGTTTACATCAAACAAACAATGGTTTTTATACAAAATTGAATTTTTAGCCCAGGTGGCCTATTTTTAAATGACAGTATCTTAGCATTTGTAAAATTATCGGAAGACTTCTATAATACTCCGACAAGAGAGTAATTTTTGAGCTGAAAAATTCCAAAGAAACTTCTTTGGGTTGCCTTGGGTTTTACGTGGCTATTCAGACATTCACTTGAAGGTAATTGGGTGACATAAGCATTTATTCAAACCAAAGTCACATAGTGTTTACTTTACAAGAAAATTTGAAATTGATCTTCTAAGCTTGAAATAGCTTGTTTAGGGAAGTTACGACATTTCGACCTCCAAAGGGTGTTTTTCGCACTTTGAACCTTTTTTCGCAGAACAGAAACGCCGTAATTATCTAATTAAGCGAAAGCAGTGACGTTTACTTGTATTTAATATCTCTGCAAAGTTGCTGTTTCCTGGAGATGACAATTCAGTTTGATTTAGGCAAACTAATCAATTCAGATATTTTGACAAAAAGGCCAATACTGTTGCAATTCAGAGCCACAGATAATTGTCTAAGTTGGCAGCGAATATTTTTTTTTCTGAAATTCACTAAATTTATAATAATAGATACGGACTACTCAAAATTCACTATAAAACAATGCAAAGAACGATACAAGTGGAACAAAATGCTGTGAGTTCCCAGAGGTAACGACATGGATATGAGACTGCAATATCATGTCACAAACTACATGAAGCAAGAAATTTTTGCAATCAAGAAGAGTACCATAGTATTTTGTGTGTCAATTTTAGAAATATACAGTTGTGGTGAGGTCTTGTTAAATGAAACAGAGAGCAATAACGGCTGCAAGGCTATGGATGATGAAGCTTTGAAGCAGAATGATATGGGACAAATTTTAAGGAAAATGTTTTGCTAAGCGAAGTGAAATGAATTGTTTAAAATGTTTGAATTGAATAAATTAACATTAGCATGTTGATTTGAGCTTCCATAGTAAAAAAATGTGCTCATGTATAAAATATAAATAAGATGCATGCGGCTTTATTCAAAAATAGCATTTAATTAGCAGAGAAACCTCAAAATTTTCTCAAAGCTCTTTTTAAGGTCAAGATAATAATTTTTATTGCAGTATGGAGTCCACTGAAAATCTACTTAAATGGACGTCATGTTACACATTTTTCTAACTAAATTGAAAAAAAACATATAGATTCTTAGCTTTTGTTAAGATGTGAAGGAGATAGAACAATGCATGGGTTGAACAGAACAGAACGATAACTTTATATTAACTGCAAACGGCCTAGACACATAACTGTAATACTGTAAACTGTAATCTGAAACTCTATATAAACATGGGTCACATGAAGTAATGCTTCTGCACGTAATCTATTAGGTTACTACAGCTTTTCATTCTGACTTTCAGATTTTAAGGCATCAAGATCTTAGAGGATTTTAAAAAAAGGTTCATCATTGAATTCTTTGTTTAATGCTCAATGCAAAACCATTACCGCAAAGAATGTACATTTTTCTCAAAATATTAACATTCTAAGTCCTAAGATCAATAGCTAAACCTATTCTGATGAACTGAAAAGTAGAAAATTGAGTGAGACGCTGGTCCTTCGACATTTTTTCCCTTAGACACCATGAGCCTGAAGATTTATTTTTGAACATACACCAGAATAATTTGTTCACACATGAATTTAGCTTACCATTAAGTTCTTAGGATGATGTTTGTTAACATCTTAAGGCGTTCAATAACTATAGACAAGAAAAAAATCTTCAATTTGGTATTAACGACTGCAATCATTGATGAATTGGCCACCTGTTCAGTTTGCCTATGGGAGAATTGCATAATTAAAACGTCTTCTTATCAGACTAAATCATGCACCCAAAACACTGCACAGCCATTTCAAGCCAGTGCACATTGCAATTTGCATGTGCCATTAAAATCCTAATCTAGGCTTTGTCTAAATTGTAAATATTCCAAACCATTAACTATAAACAAAGTGTTTAATTCGATTGGCAACCTGTTGTGGTATTAAGTATGCAGTCAAACGTACCTCTGTTTTTAAGATCAATAATTCCGGCATCTTGCCACCAACCAGATGAAGTGCTGTTTACGGCATAAACAAGACCCATACCTCGAAGAGCGAGGATTGCCCAGTAACCAATTTGAAGTCGCGTTGCAGAGAAGAAGCATCCAACTGAAATTACTTCACCGGTATCACAATTTCAGGATATCGTAAAGGTAACATTTACAAACATTTCACAGTTCCTCAGCATTTATTTTGATAAATTCTCTTCTCACTGATCCTGGTTAGGTTACAGATGCAAGGTAGTGTAGCCTTGATGGTGTCAGATAGTTGGATGATGTTAGAAACCTAGATAGTTGCACAACAAGTTTTTCGGGATTTTGTTAAAGTTACAATGCATCAATTTAGCTTAAGACAGAATTGAAACCAGTGTAGATTCTACGAAAAAGGACACAATGCATCTTTAACAGTTTTGGTGGTGCTTCAAACGGGAATCGAAAACCCAGCTGTTTTGCAAAGAATATTTTTTAATCTTCACCGATTCCCATATCTTACCCAAAAATTATTTCATTGGATTATGCATATATACAAGTGACATAGAGGTTCAGAAGAAAACTAAATTGAGACGGTTCAAAATTTTTAATCGAATTTTTAAAAATGTTGTGAGGAAAACATTTTTTTGCATTAATAAATATTTTGAAGTAACATGCACATCTTTGCCTCAAACCCAAATTTTCTTTAGAAGCAGGAATATAATGCTAACAAATAGGAGCATCAAGATGAAGACATCTTGGTATATTGAATTAATATTATAATTATAGGTAGTATCAATAAGAAATGATAAGATTAAAGATAGAGGTTTCAATATAGACATGATAAAAACTCATAGTTTTGTGTTTAAAGCGATTTTGAATAGCAGCGACAGCTCTTTGAATTTCGATTTGGTGTGTTGTGTTTATTGTGCTGATAATGATGGAAGAGTCGTAATACCGTGATTGACACTGCTCATTTTGATTGACATATTTAACAAAGGATTAGAATAAGCGTTGATTATCAAGGTATTTTTTGCTTCTGCTTGCAGACTAAACAAAATATAGTTGCTAAAATCTAAGCATTCTGCTTGCTTTTGAATAATATTTGCTGTTCAGTTATCAACATTGATAGACTAAATTTGACGATTATTCAATCTGGGGCAAGTTTATTGATGTCAATCAATAGCAAAATTTGAATAAGCTCTCGTCTCTCTAGAAATAGAAGAAAATTGAGCGGAAAGCTATTCACTTCCTACTGAAACCGTGTAATCTTTCTAAAGAATTGAATATTATTGCTTGATTTGCAACATTCGTCTCAATAAGATCCCATCAACAAACAATAGGATTCTTTTTGTCACGAAGAAATTACCAGAAAAGAACAAATTGAGGAGAAATAGCGATATCCTTAAGATCTTCTGTTCTCATTATTTCTTAGAAGTTTAACATTGCCAAATCATTGAGCAAAACAGTTACTGTATAGAATTTTTGGGTACCCAAGCCAGACCCAAAATATCTTTTTGGGTCTATCTGAAAATCACTTTCAATGCCCAGAGTCTGCAATTTGGATCACTTAGATCTGTGTGAATCATTTTTGGTCGATGTATTTTTTGTCTGAATTGGGATAGCTTTCACTTCACTCAATCATTGGTCTTTGAAAAAGCAAAGATTCTGAAACATATTACAGTTTTTTGTCTGACACTCTTCAGAGTATTTGCCTCCTCAATGGCGCTTGCCTACAAGAAAACTAACTCCTTCTGTCTGCACAAGGAAGGAAAAGCTATCATGTTACAAAATGTTTGCTTTTAAGGCCATTTCAAATTTTTGCCCTCCCAAAAAGTCTGTTTTTAGATTCTTTATGTGTAAAGGATTAGAAAAAGCTTGACCATTGAGGATTATAGCAGTTGTTGCTAATTTTAAAAGCAGACAAATGAGGACAGCTGATTGCTATTGTTCAGAAAAGTTAGTTAAAAATTTTGAAACCAGAAAAGAAGGCGCCAGCAGCACGATATCTTCTAGGAATGTGACTTTTTCGACATTTTGATCGATACTACCATTTCAGCAACCTGCAGGAACCTCTTTCTCATTTCAAACTACAGAAAAGAATTTAGAAAGTCCTCTTGATTTGTCAAAATCAACACATACTCTTTAAAGTAAATATTTTCAAAGAAATACTCAATGTTTCCATTGTGCCTTGGCAACCAAAAATTGACTCGGTAGACATAAGGCTTCTTCGGTCAAATGTGTGATACACCTGCTTAGCGTCACAAACAATAGTCTCAATTTGATTCTCCTTATAGGTAGCTAACCTAGGCTCGATCCAGGTTAAAACTACCCAAATCAAGTTTTGGTAATGTAATTTCAAATTTGGAACTAGCTAAGAACCAAAGATGCTCTCATACTATCAACGGTTACACTAAAAGATAGCTAAAAGTAGCCTAGGCTTGTCTAATCCGGGAGGAAACCGGGCTAGTTTCTTTCCGGGGAAATCCTGGATAATCTGGGCAGTTTGCTTAGCGCAAATACAGCTGGAGAAAGATTAGTAAAGAGCAGCCCACTTGTATTTGGAATGTATGCAAGTAATTTTGTTTACGTCCAGAAAATTATATTTTGAGGAAGACAAGCTTATAATGTTATGGTTCAAAGTCATGCTTCAGGTCGATCAAAACTCGATTAGATCGATTCAAAAACAAATCTGAGTTAAACTTTAAACAAAGTAAAGAGCAGGGAGATAAAACATTCTGCTTTAAAGACTTTGAAAAATCGTTTTACGCTTGTTTCGGCATGTTTTGGCATCGATAAAACATTCGGCGTGTTTTCGTCTTGCATTTCTTGATCCTCCCAGGGATGTAGTACAAGCTGCTAAGCAAGTAGTTTGGAAAGAGAAAGCAGACAACATCTCTTTCCCAGCATTTACCAGGAATAGCTTAAAACCCCGAGTAAAGCCTACCTGCCAGTTTTTTTCTACAGTGCCTTTGCATTGAGCTGAATGTTTGAGCACTAGCTTTGCCATTGGCGATGGTTAGACATTTTATAAGTAAAAACTACACAAATTACTTTAGCTTGTTATAACTCTATTTATTGCAATAGAAATATTTATTCATCTGTTGCATTTAAAAAAATGATTTAGCAGGCCAGTCCCTTGTATCAACTAAAAATGCGGATACTTTTCAGATGCTTTTCTCATCGCTAGGGCTCTAAAGCAATAGACAACCGGCTTGAATAACGTGTCTCTTACTCTCGAATAACGCTCACACTAAGTGCATTGAATATAACTTTTTGCAGAATCTAGGTCTTTTGCTTCTTGTTACCGTGACCCTCTCCTTGAACATGCAAACGATTTTACTGGGAACAAAATTCGCAATCTGCAACAGATTTTGCCAAATCGAAATTCCACGATACTTGCAAAATAAATTAATGGGCGATAATTTTCATAGCTTGTTCTATAGCACAAGACAGATTCAGATAATATGAAAATCTAAAAGAAGATTCTAGAGATTGATTCAGGGTTTACCCAAAGCTTAGGAATAATCATCTCATAAATCTGAGTGAAGCGCACAAGGCGCCCTTTATTGGTATCAAGACCGTTGTAAAGGTCATCGTTTTGGTCTCCTGTGTGGCAAACAGTAACCAATAGAGGAAAGCTATCACCAAGCTTCTAACCAAAGATTTAACCAAAGAAACGTTGTCATATTAATACAAGCACCTGTGCGGCAGGCAAACGCTAGGTCAAACGCAATGACTAATCCCGCCTAATGTTTTGTTTAATTGTATCTAAGAACTAAGTATGAAAATATCACTTTTCTGATACCATAATTTTCCACATAATAGTTTCGCTGAAACTACAATCAGTTATAAATAAAAAACTACATTAATCGATAACGCCTAGAATATCCAGTTCACAATTTATCCCAATCAATAACGCAATCTGCGCAAGGCTAAACTTGTGAAATACGTCATACAAGAAATATGTCAAGCATTGTAAATAACTTGTTTCAGTCGGTAGCAGCTTCATTCAAAGCGAAACATTGACCAGATCTGTGTGAATGAAATCGGCCTATGTAGAAAACACCATTGATGGTAAAAATGAATAGCAATTCAGATTCCAGCGGAAAGACTCTAAGCCAAATTCAGTTTTTGCAAAATTGCTTGACAAAAAATGTAATATTGTGACAAAAAACTCTCAAGAACTTGGACATGGACCAAAATGATAACAACTAAATGATCGATATAGAATGTTGCCGATGTAATTATGGCGGCTAGCTTGCCAATGTCATCAACATAAAATTACATCATGGTATACGCAGAGATATAAATTGATGTTTTCCTAGAAAATTCAAAGTTCCTTAAATATTTCCTAAAATTCAATAGATTTTAGAGATACTCCAAATGATTTGTACAAAATGATTACCCTGAATATTCATTTTTTAGTTTATTTCAAGAGCATCACATATATGTAAAATTTTTGAAAGATTTGATGCTTGTTTGTTAAAAACTTAAAAAGTGTATGAAAAAAAACTTCAAAAGTGTACGAAAAAGACTTTAAAAGTGTATGGAAATTGAAGCAAAAACTACTTATTTTTTCATGAGATAAAATTATTTTGCAAGTTAATACTGTAAAATGGACGCTTCTTGATTAACGGCTAATTGCAGTGCTATGAATTTTTGCTTGCCTCTTGCAGGATAATTTGATGGCAATGCGCCGATTTGACAGAACGTACGCCAGCTTCCCAAACGTCGACTTACCAAACGCCAATAATGACAGGCGAATGATTCTCCCAAGAGAAGATACTTGGCTAAGATCGTCAGTTGAACAATTAACAACAACACAGAACAAGTTGAGACAAAATGTGGCACAAAATAACGAAAACATCGCTTTGTGCAGACAAGAAAACGTCTCAGTGGCTGAAAACTTGAGAACAGCTGCAAGCATGTGGCAGCAATTCGGTGACAAAGTTTCACGTCTGGCAGACCAAATGGATTACGAAAGACAAGCTACGGTAACTAATCTAAAATGTTTCACTTAAAGCATTAAAGAGCGTCTGCCATTATATGTTTTCTACATTGCAATCTTCACATTGTATACTTTTTACACGACAAATGTAAAAGCTGATTGGATCCCAAAAAATTAGAACCTGTTGTTTTTATTGTCATCTAAAGCAGGAGAAACACGCAATCCCTGCCACGTAGAAAGCAGGCACAGCGCAGCCCTTAGACTGTCAGTCCCCCCCCCCCCCCCCCAACTTTTTTGTAAGAATACGTTAGACAATGTTTACAAAGTTTACTCTAATGCAACTTTGGAAAGTTCATAAGGAGTAACGTACTTTTTGACAAAGAATCCTTTTTTGTCAATTTTCTAGGTGTTTTCATTATGTTATTATGTTTAATGACATGATGCATTTTCTCACTTGGTTAGCTTGATGTTATATTATCCTCAAGCTAGTTCTATCTTATTTTATAGTTATTGATATCTTCTCTGAATCAAACTGTTTACAAAAATTCAGTGGAAACAAGCAAATAACTCCTCAAGAGGGCGTTTTCTGGCGTTCTATAGCAAGTGGCCTTAAAAGTCAAGCTTTTTTCGCCCCCCCTCCCCACTTTTAGACTGGTGCACGGTGGCTTGTAGGTTTCTTGCAGTAGTCTATTTTACTGGGAATAAGTTATAAAGCCATCTTGTGATTTTGCGTAACACCCGGCAGTACCTACGAAATATTGTTGGGTAATATTCTATTACAGGAGTCGTCGGCCAATGAAACAAAGAAAAAGGTCTCAACATTGGCTAACCAGTACAGACAACTGATGAACGGAGGCGTCCAGGTCGAGCGAAATGTTTCCAGAATGGAAGAGGAAATTCTGATATTGAAGCAAAATAGCGACCAGACAAATAAAAAGGTTCAGGCTATGTCGGAGAAAATTAATGACGTAATGCAACAGCTAAATAAACTTAACAACGCAATGGACATTGGGATACAGGATCTCAGACAGCTGAGTCATCAAACTGAAATTAATTCAAAGAAAAGTGTTAGTGCATTATTCATAACTCATTTTATTTTCATAAGAATAACCATCCTGCTGTTTCGAATCAGATTATAACTTGAAACTGCATTCAAAATGAAGAGTATGGTTTTTTAACGTGGAGATGAATGTTAAGATTTAGATTTTTAAGAATCAAGTGCATCTTTGCGGAATTTTCACACCAATCAATGCACTATAGTGTATGAAAGCTGCAGACATACTTGCAAAAACTAATTGCAAAGAACATAAGAAAAGACACTTTGATTGAAAGTAGCTATAAAAAGAAAGGGCGGTATTACAGTATGATAGCTTTTCCATTGCACACAGCATAAACAATCTTCCAATAAGCATAACCATTCTTTTGTCTGCATATTGAGTAGTAGAAAACGGTATTTCTAGTCAAGGTTTTTAAGTCTTTGGTAGAATCTCTCAATACTTTAATGGCTTTCTATACGTACAAACATTTTTAGCTCCGACAAATCTTCTATGAATTTTACCACTAATGAAAAATACAATCAGCAAGGACCTCTTAAAAGACTATCTAAAGGCAACATTAATATATGTCTTATAAATTTGGCCACAGTTTTTAAGTAAATTCTAAACCCCTAGCGTAAGAATATTCTTCATGAGAATCTTCATGCTAAAAGAATACAGTTCTAATGGAAGCAGGAAACGGCTGGCATGAAGATGTCACATAACTCTATGGTTTACATAAGATATTTTCATCTTATGTACAATTAAATATTTCCAGGCTCGAGGCATGATTCAAGACATAGAACATAAAATTGACAACGAGGAGCAAGAAAGAAGGGAAGACAGCCTAAAATTCGCGACAAAGTTAGTATTGATTCATAATTTCTCTCCCATAAACCATTAATCCCTCTTCCATGCTATTCAAATTCATGACCTTTTTTAGTTATGATATCTAAAGGGTTGCTTCGTATTTCCCACTGTGCGAGCTTATCTTCATTATTTATCTTACATCAAAACCCTTCGTACATGCAAAACCTCTGCAAAGCAACCTGATTTGTAAAAAGAGATGACACTTAAAAACAGATGCTTCAATGAGTTGGTAAATCTTTGCAATTTACCTTACCATTAAACCCTAGAAAGACCATTAGAAATCTATCGCAAAAGTTGAATTTGGACAAGAATGATTGCTTAGTCATTAATAATTAATCGATAACATGTTTGACAGTGGCTGTTTGCTTAATCAGCGGATACGCCAAAATTTGTCTTGAGAGAAAAATTACATATCATTGCTGTCTGAATGTTTGATGGATAAATTGACATACACATTCATAATTAAAAGGCAAATTTTTCAAGAAGATACTTCTATTTTAGACGATAGCAAAAGAAATCATTTACAATAAAGCAATAGAAAGTCGTTATTCTTTTGCAAACTGAGAGCTTCTGTTTACTCTGACATTAACAGTAGTCGTTGTTTGACTACCATAAGTGTCTCAAGAGGTATCTGCACAGATGCCAACCTCTTGAATGCCATTTCAGATGCATTAAAGCAGATTCTTTCAGCAAGCTTCTGGATCTCAATAACAGGCTCCTTCTAAAAACCCAAAGTTCCATCGCAGATTTAATACGTATTTTGCTTCAACGTAATAGAAACGAAAAAAATCAAAATTCGATTTTCAATCTAGGGTGATTTAGGCCTTTGAACTATAAAAAAACTAGAAATTGCAACTTAAGGCAAAAAATCATCACAACATTTTTTATCAAGGTATGATGATAATAAATAAATCACAAAAAAACACTAGACAATTTAACAAGCAAAAATTAATAGCCCTATTCAGAAGATTTTTCCAAGAATTTCTTGAAAAAAATAGAAAAAATAGGCCTATATGGACAATAAGCAACAGTTTCTCCTTTCAAAACTAATGGGAACATTTCTTCTGGTCATTTGCGATTATTAAAAATCTATCAAACATTGCTATTGGTATTCTGGTTGTAAATTGTATTTTTTCATTTCAACAGATTAAATGGATTAGAAGCTATTGTGCTAGAGCTGAAAAAAGCAAAAAATTCGGATCCAGCAAACTATTTGGCACTGCTTGAAGAGAAGGACCATGAATACAAAGCCGAGCTTAAGAATTTCCTAAAGAAGGTGAAAAATCACGTGGATGAGCAACGCTATACGCTCAATGCTTCAAGCGGCGATTTAAACGAAGATGTTGGCAAGAGATTGCGTTCATTCGAAAAGGTATAAAGATGAATCTTGCTAAGACCCTGTTTACACTGTGCTGGATAAATTTTATCCGTATCAAAATTAGTTCAGATAGACGTCGCGTTTACACTAGACCCACGCTATCCGCAAGAATTTGAGGGCGGCTATCCGAACAAAATTAGTTCACCTAGGAAAGTGGATTAAATTAGTTCGGATTGCTATGTGGTACAGTGTAAACCCTTTTATCCGGATAAATTTTATCCACATCGTATCATCCGAGGAACGACTTAACGGAATTCAGCTGTATATTGAGTTTAATCTAATCACATTGATTGTAAGAATTGAATATGACACATGCCTACGGAATATATATATATCATTTAAAGTGTTACCTTGTGACTAATGTCAATCTTTTTTATTTTTAGCAACTCGATAAAGAACAACAAGAGAGAATAGATGGCTTAAGAAGACTGGAAGAAGAGACTGCAAAGCATTTTGAGCGTGTTTCTGGCCACATAATTGAACAGCTTGATACTCTCGGAACCACTATTGAAGTAAGTGCGATATCAATACTGAATAAGCAACCTATCTAATAAGACTAACTTCATCTTTGAATTACGGTTTGCAAAGAATGGGGCAAACACTGTGGTTAACATACTGGTTGGTAGCCAGGCATTATAAACCTGAGGTGTTGTCAATAGCCAAGAGTGGATCTGACGATATCTAACAAGCAAAGGCAATCAACAGACACTAAAAGGTTTTATGCCTACATCCAACAACAAAATGACCAATCAGTGAATGAGACTCCAGTTACACGCTCGTTGATTGGCTTATATTTTTATAGATAGCTTAAGCCACTTTTATATCTGTCGATTGCCTTTAAGCAGCAGTTTCTTATTTGGTTGACGATATGTTGTACTACTTATTACTTATAATGAAAATTTTAAACATGGCTGTTATTCAAAACCAACACCCCAATGTATAATAAATGCACTTCAGCGTGTTATACGTCGAATGAACAATAAATACAACTTAATATGATTAAGATAAGTTAATATAATTATATTTAATATAATTTGATATGATTTTCATTTATTATCCCCAATATCTACAACAGGTGGCTTTATTGGTTGTGTTGTTATAGTTTCTCGAAGCTAATTTGCCAGCTTATAAGATTTTAGCATTTGTCGCAGATAGTTTGATTGTAAATTGGCCATATCATCAAAATAAGATAATCAGCTCTAGCAAACCAAGAGCTCTTTCGAATTTTCGATGATTTGTTGAGGGTGTTGGCTTTTTAACTAATTAGAAAGCATTTCCTACAGACATATTTACTATAAAATACGCTTGTGTTTTAAAATGGAATAGCTATTTTGTCGTGTTCAGATAAACAGTAGCCCTTAAGACGATTTTGAACCACACTTCAACTCATAAATAGGATTTGATAAAATAAAATAACGACTTTGTACAAGAAAAGAATATTTGGTACAACGTTTCGAGTTTAACTCATCATCAGGAAACCAGAATTTTGTTCATTTTCGAGATACAACACGCACAACTTCATTGATTATCATAATTAGGATGTCTATTGTGATTCATTATAGAACTCGCCTTCAAATCCAGACATACAGAAAGAGATTCTCGAGATGAAGAAAGAAATAGGCGTAAACAAGAAAACAATCGATCGAGTCTTACGAGCTGAGATAACTGCAAGGTTTGTAATTGACCGTAACTGCAGAGTGCCTGATGATCGCAATATACAGTAAATCTTTGGGTGGCTATGAGCTGTCTATTCTATAAACTAGTGTGTTGGTCTTTCTGTGTATCGTGCTGGCCAATGAACTACAGCAAACAGCTTTGACATGAATACAAAGCAAAGATATTAAAGATATTTGGACCTTTATTGTAATAACATATTTATTTCTGCTAAGTCCTAGTTTAAGCTATTATTGGAAGTACAACGCTCGAAACATTAAATATTGGACAAGTAAAAGAAATAGGCATTAGTACACACAATCCCAAATCTAGAAATTTAGACCACCATGGGACAAATGTAACAATCGCTCTTTGGTCCGTGATACTCAGTGACTACAGTGGAGGCCCATCATATTCAAGGGTATAGCAAACATTTGGAAACCCAGGGGATAATCCTTTTCAGCGTTCTGAAAGTGTGACGTGAAGAAAAACTCTTCTGAGCCCGTTGTTTATGGACAAGTTCAATGGTCCACTATCAGTTACAAAAATTCTTTGAACTGTGTAATTTCTACTGTCCGATAGCTACGTACCAGAACCCAGAAATCAGAGACCAATAACGTTATATTAGTCTGAGCTTTTCAATGGGCCTAGTTTCCCCCACTGACAATGCAACCCTATTGATACGAAAGAACATTTCACTTTGAAAATATTGCTGTCCTTCATAGTACAAATAGAAAGAGACCTGTCTCTTGCTTGCTACTATCGTACGAAAAGTGAACTCACCGACTTTTCACCTGTACAATTTGAGTGGAAACAGCCACCACGTGCAAGAAGTTAATGAATTCAACAGCATACAAGCAAGAAGCAACAGCATACAAGCGAAGCCCTAATATTGTTGCCACCTTATTTCCACATCAGACCTTAACCTAACGTTGAAATATAAAATTACCTTCACAGTAAACTTGAATGAAAGAAGACATTTTAGTGTGCAAATTACATACAGTCTACCATTGTCTGTAGGAACCTCTGGAGGTTGTACCAAAACTTTTCCCTTTATCATATCCCTTTGAGTATTCAATAAGCATGTTATCGAGTGCGTTCTCGTTTTTTTTATTGTAATTTCCTCACCATTTGAATAGCATTGACAAGATAGAATAACGGTCCCTTGCAAACCTCTTCTTTTAAATCTTTGTTCTCTTTCTAAGATTTACTCCCATAACAAGATTCCAGCAAGATTTACTCACGAGATGCCCATCAAAATTCTAAAAATGTCTAAAATTCAAAACATGGGATTGATACAATTTTATCAATAAAAAAGTAGCACAAAAAAGAAGAACTCAATAATAAGTTCTCTCAAAAATCAATATTGGATGTAGAGAAAGTCGATATTGAAAGCCTGTTGAGGGCATTTTGTACTTATACTTGGTGCGGAGATAGAGAATTCGGAAACAATTATTTTTATATTCATTTTCTTTTAGCTGAATTATGATAACTTTCAAAACATGAAAACTTTGAATTCACAAAATTCATCCCCAATCGATTCCAATTTCAAACCACATTTTCTATATGATTGCTAAAGTATAAATTAGTATAAAAAAGACATGCAAAAAAGTACTGACTTTTTTTAAAGGGCTGCAGACTTTCTGGTGCTAAGAGTTCTTAAACCTAAAAATAAACTGTTTTCATATAGTTAGAAATTTCAAGAGATTTAGAAAGGAAGACAGGAAAGCAACGCAGCAAAAACTATGGATAGTTTCTATTTAAAAAGATATTTTTTGAAAGAAGTTGCTTTTGTAATCTGAACGCACAATCTAACTGTGGGTTAACCTGACATCCATAACTTAAGTATTTAAAACTTTTTCACTAAAACTTTTACAAACGCTTTAATATTCTAAACACTGTATGCCCCCACTAAAATGCTTTAAGTTTCCTTTAACCTGCAAGAACTCCACAGCCCTTATACCTGGCATTTAAAACGAAAAGTCCCTAAAAAGTAAAGAAAAACACAAGACTGGCTAAGAGACAAGTTTCACTTCGATTTTTGAATTATCAAAGCAATGATTTTCAAGTGTAATTTATCAAATCAAGCTGTCGGTGTCTTCTTTGCATCTTAAAACTTATTAATCACTTTAATTATTTCTAACCTTTTAATATTACAGAAAATCGCAGGCTCAGAAATTCAACGATTCAATTGAGGGTTTTGAGAAAGAGAACAGTAGAACAGCGGGTGTTTTGCAGAAAGCAATAACAGAAATGAAAACATACGTTGACAAAGAACTAGAGGCTGTAAGTAAATATTGTTCTTGTTTTTTATTAAAATTGTGCCTTTGAAGTTATATATAACAATACTTAATATTCAGTTATATTGAGCTAATTGTTTGTTATTGTTGCTAGCAGTAACCAACTTGATTATCGTGCTTTTTTCTGCCAACATATGCTTCTAATTTAGAAGGATGGAAAAAACTAATTATTTAGAAACAAAATATATGATTTCTCTTCACGTTGGCAAAGCTAACAGTGTTAAGGATTATATATGCTATTCTTAGAAACGGTTCTAAAAGTTGACTGAGTGTTAAAGTGTTTTCTTATTAAAAACAATGCTTCTCGACAGGAATAACCAACCAGTATGATAAGCATACTGTTATCTATAGGGTATTGTGCGTGACTAGAAATTTAGACTACCACAGGACAAATGTAACAATCACCCTTTATTCCGTGATACCCAGTGACCACTGTGGAGGCCCATTATATTCAAGGATATAACAAACACTTGGAAACCCAGGGGAAAAACCCTTTCAGCATTCTGAAAGTGTGACGTGAAGAAAAAAAATTCTATTCTTTAATATGCCAAATCATTTCTTATTTAGACGTTTCGAAACGTCGAAGAAAAAGGGTGATATCTAGTGGAATTGAGCAAGATTTTAATCATTACAATTTCGGCGCAATATCATATACATGATTACAAGACACGAAGACAACGCAGAAGAGAAGGAGGGGGCAACCATTGGGCAGGGTGTCAAACAGGATGCTTATGAAACTAAGCAGAAGAAATCCAAATCTGCGAAAGGAAACTTACGAATTATCTAATACATTGAGAAATGGTTTTGTAATAAGAAAATCTTATTAGAAGACTCTGAAGAACCGACGAATTTGCTTTTGAAAAATACTATTCTATTTAGAAAGTTTTGTCAGGCCATCCTTGCAAATCTTTAAACTCTGCTCCGTGTATTAATCCCCAATCACTTGGACTTCAATTTTCAGGAAATTTTACATTGCTTCTTCTCCTTTGAAAGTCTTTTTAAAAAAAACATGGTCTTTCTTTGCCAATAGAAAACAAGCTTGTCACCAGAAATCGTTCATCCAATCATACCAACACTGGATAAAAGGCTTTCAGATTTGGAAGAAAAACTGACCCAAAGAGGGACTGATAGCAAGGTTAGTGAAGCAGAATTAGTTTCATAAGAGGCATTCTACCTACAAGCAATCTTAAGAAACTATACGCATCATCCAATATTTTCTATGTGCAGTTTCCATGTAGGAGGTCTTTGGACACTGATGGGATGTTCGTCTGTCTTTCAGCCATTTTTCTTCTAATTATAAGAAAGTTTTATGCAAAGAAACGCTTTTTCTATTAAAAAATAGAAAGTAACATTTGCAGTATTTTGGAAAAGAAATGAAAATGTAGTAACGATGCAAGGTCTATAAAGTTTTTTCAAGGTTCTGACAATTTAGGACAAGGTGGTTTATAGTTTTGTCATTAAGCAAATTAAATCGCTGTTATCATCATAAAATCACTAGAAAGAGAAGTTCAACGAAGAAGCTGTCATATGTGCAAAAAAATTTTATTTAAATTTTATAGAACTTCCTTACTCCTAATTTTATAGAATGCCATTTTCGGTTCCTTGAAATCAGTAATCAGTTAAGTGCTCGTCTTCAAACTTAGCCGGTGAACATCTCAGCTGGAAAAGGCTACTTTTGAAAGTGCAAGACCTTCTTTCAGTGATCGTATCTGTTTGTGCTTCACTGCTAATGCTTTTCTTTACAAGTGTGATTGCTTCGCACTGCAATGGCTCTTGAGCTAAACTCTGATTGATAAAATAGCCAAAGGGGGAAAGTAGTTTGTAGAAGACAGAACTTTAGAATGGAGCTATACTCAGTGAAGCTGTAAAAATTATTTTATTGAATTACGACAATATTTTGGACGTTTTGTTGAAACAGGTGTAATATTTCTGTGCAACTTCACAAAACTTGATGATGTCAAACAATGAAGTACCAAATATGGACTGGGTGATGGAACCATAGATTGTTTTCTATAGCATAACGCAAGGACCAAATCTTTGTAAAAAGCATCAGAATGAAGAATATAACAAACCACACTAAATATATCAAGCAGAAGAAACAATTTTGCTGCTCAAAATTTTGCTAAACAAAGAGAAGGGGGCTTTCGTGGGTGCCTGTAAGGCTCTATTTTGGAGCAGCAAAACTGTTGAGCAAACTAAAAAAAATTCAAGCTGAAGATAAATCGAAAGTGTTTCAATTATCTTCAATCAAGAATTAAAACCAAAAAGTAGCCGGCGTTAAGTTGAACTGCATAAGATCTTTAAAGTAGTAATATGTCAGAAAGCAAGTCTGAATAAATTTTGTAATATGTGCACCTCGCTAGACACCAGAGTCAATGACAATGAGAAGTGACCGAGAGTCGATCCAACAACTAGAAGAGCGCTTCTCAGACTTCGATGATCGGCTGAATGACCATAGGGAAAAATTTGAGAAGGTAAAACTTGCTATGATCTAACTACATTCATAAACATAAATATAAACAGAAGAATATAGTAAAATATTAATACTAATTAATACAATTTCTCAAAGTTGGATACTTTTAAATTACATTCAGCAGATGTAAACAAATAAACATAAAAATTAAAATGTTATCAATGGCCAGGATAAACAAACATAGCTAAATATTTTGACATAAATACTTTTAACACTCATATGAAATAAGTAAATTAAATCAAATAAAAAACTTCGCTCTTCCAAATCAGCTTTATGCGAACATTTTAGGCATTTGGCTCTATTGACCAACTAAATGAACAGCTGGAAAAGCGTTTTAACAATTTTGATTCAAGAATAAATGAGCAAAGCTCGAGAATCGATAAGGTAAATAAATCTTGAATACTTTGATTATGACGACTTTTTCAAAGTAATTAAATGATAAAGCTATTATAAATTAAACCAAACTAATCATCTTACTTTTAAATGTTCCTTTTAAAACTTAATCAATAGATGTCTTGCAACGCAATTAGGTCAACATTGCCTCGCTTCCAATCTGTGATCAACGAGGCTATTTACTGGACAGTAGCCAAGCAAAATGGGCCTCATTTAGCACCATTTGTATCGGTAATTTGTTTTACTAAAGAAAAAAGTTAATTCAGTTATTGAAAAACCAAAAGCGAAAGACTACTTCTGCTAGCTTATAAAATATATATTCTGATTACTTCAAGAATAATGAAGTAAAACTTTCTCTAACATCATTTCTGTGTATAGTAGACTTTAAAAACCTAATCGTCAGTTTCAAAATAAATTAAATCTCGCATAAATAAATCTTAGTGTTAAAATTTGTTTAATCCATCATTTGGTTAAACATAAAGTGCTGATTTTTGTAAAAAGGAAAAATATCTTTGAGAGGAATGAATTCCCTTTGCAAAGGAAGGTTTCATTGATAGGGATCTGTTGTTTAGATGCTAATTTTGTGCATCGTGTTTAGGCCACAGACTCCATTAGTGATATCAATCAAAGCTTGGAAAAACTTAACCGTAACATTGAAGATAAACTGGCTGATCAGAAACTGTCCCCAGAAAAGGTAAGCTATAAATATAAACAGCAATAGAAAAATTAATCCTTAAATACATAAATAATTTTATATATGGATAAATTCAAGGATATTATTAATTATAAATATTTGAAGTATGATAAATAAAACTCAAGTCTGGGCTTCCTAAAAATCATTTAAACGTTTAAAAATATTGACACTTAATAATTTGTAACAAATTGTTTAAATATTTTGGAAATATTTTTGAAAGGAACAAATTCCTTTATTATGACAACTGGTCCGAAGAAAATAACTAATAACGCGATTATTCTTCACATCAAGTAAACAAATTGCAAATTTAAAATTTCTTTTAATGAATCTAAACTTCAAGCAATAAGAGTCTAGAAACAGCACTGATGTCAACACTACCTTGCTTCTATCTACAATGAAATAGGCTATTGGTTGGTCAGCAGCCAATCAAAATAGGCCAAATCAAGCTATGGTTAGTTCGGCGAATTACTTCACTGAGGAGGAAAAAATTTAATTTTGTGGTAAAAAGGCAAAAGCTAAAAACTACCTAGGTAATCCATTAAAAAGTAGATCATGACATACTTTCTGATTGATTTTAAAATTATAGCTTATAATTTTTTTCTATCTTTTATGTGAAAAAAGGCCTAGATAACACTCAACCCTAAGTTCTAAAATAAATAATATAGGGTACTTATCAATATGTGTTATTCTCATTTATCTGTTGTTATCTATTAAGCATTTATCTATTGTTTGTTTCATCATTTGTGTTGGTCATTAAATACCGATTTTCGTAAAAAGGAAAAATATTTCTTAAAGGAATGAATTCCCTTTGCAAAGAAAAAGAAAGGTTTCATTGATAGGGAATTTCTGTTGCATAAATGCTAATTTCGTGCATCGTGTTTAGGCCACAGACTCCATTAGTGATATCAATCAAAGCCTGGAAAAACTTAACAGTAACATTGAAGATAAATTGGCTGATCAGAAACTGGCCCTTGAAAAGGTAAATTATAAATATAAACAGTAAAAGAAAAATTAAATTAATTTTAAATACATAAAGCATTTAATGTGTGCATAAATTCAGTTACATTATTGATTACAAATTCAAGTTCAACCTATAAAACCCAACTTTGGACCTTCTCAAAATCATTTAAACCACTAAAAATTTGACATCTATTAATTTGTAACAAATTTTGATTAAAAGTTGCTTCAGTTATTTAAAACCATAATTATATGACAGACAATAAGTTTGAATAAATTTTGTAATATGTGCACATTGCTAGACACCAGAGTCAATGAGAAGTGACCGAGAGTCGATCCAACAACTAGAAGAGCGCTTCTCAGACTTCGATGATCGGCTGAATGACCATAGGGAAAAATTTGAGAAGGTAAAACTTGCTATGATGTAATTACATTCATAAACATAAATATAAACAAAAGAATATAGTAAAATATTAATACTAATTAATAAAATTTCTCAAAGTTGGATATTTTTAAATTACATTCAGCAGATGTAAACAAATAAACATAAAAATTAAAATGTTATCAACAGCCAGGATAAACAAACATAGCTAAATATTTTGATATAAATACTTTTAACATTCATATGAAATAAGTAAATTAAATCAAATAAAAAATTTCGCTCTTCCAAATCAGCTTTATGCAAACATTTTAGGCATTTGGCTCTGTTGACCAACTTAATGAACAGCTGGAAAGGCGTTTTAACAATTTTGATTCAAGAATAAATGAGCAAAGCTCGAGAATCGATAAGGTAAATAAATCTTGAATACTTTGATTATGACGACTTTTTCAAAGTAATTAAATGATAAAGCTATTATAAATTAAACCAAACTAATCATCTTACTTTTAAATGTTCCTTTTAAAACTTAATCAATAGGTGTCTTGCAACGCAATTAGGTCAACATTGCCTCGCTTCCAATCTGGGATCAACGAGGCTATTTCCTGGACAGTAGCCAAGCAAAATTGGCTTCATCTAGCAACATTTTTTTCGGTAATTTCTTTTACTAAAGAAAAAGAAAGTTAATTCAGTTATTGAAAAACCAAAAGCGAAAGTTTACTTCAGCTAGCTTATAAAATATATATTCTGATTACTTCAAGAATAATAAAGTAAAATTTTCTTTGACTTCATTTACGTGTAATAGAATTTAAAAACCCAACCTTCGAGCTAAAATAAATAACATCTTGCATAAACAATTTTCAGCATTAAAATACTTATTTATTGTTTAGTTAATCATTTGGTTAAACATGAAGTGCTGATTTTAGTCACAAGGAAAAGTATTTTTGCAAGAAAGAAATTCTCTTTGGAAAGAAATAGAAAGCTTTCTTTGAAAAGGAATTTCTGTTGCATAGATGCTAATTTTGTGCATCGTGTTTAGGCTACAGACTCCATTAGTGATATCAATCAAAGTATGGAGAAACAAAACAGTAACATTGAAGATAAACTGGCTGATCAGAAACTGGCCCTTGAAAAGGTAAATTATAAATATAAACCGCAATAGAAAAATTAAACCTTAAATACATGAATAATTTTATATATGGATAAATTCTTATATATGGATTAAACCTTAAAAGATATATAAGGATATAATTAATTATATATAATTGTAGTATGATAAATAAAACTCAAGTCTGGGTTTCCTAAAAATCATTTAAACGATTAAAAATATTGACACTTAATAATTTGTAACAAATCGTTTAAATATTTTAGAAATATTTTTGAAAGGAACAACTTCCCTTGATTATGACAACTTGTTCGAAGCAAATAACTAATAACGCGATTATTCATCACATTAAGTAAACAAATTTTGATGAATTTAAAATTTAACCAATAAGAGTCTAGAAACAGCACTGACGTCAACACTACCTTGCTTCTATCTTTCTATCTACAATCAACAACGCCATTGGCTGGACAGCAGCCAATCAAAATAGGCCAAATTAAGCTTTGGTTAATTCTGCAAATTACCTCACTGAAGAGAAAAAAGAGAGTTAATTTTGTGGTAAAAAGGCAAAAGCTAAAAACTACCTCGGTAACCTTTTAAAAATATATTATTATATATTTTCTGATTTATTCAAAAATAATAGCTTATAATTTGTTTCTATCTTTTATGTGAAAAAAGACCTAAATAACACTCAACCCTAAGTTCTAAAATAAATAATATCTTTTATAAACGGTTTTTAATGTTAAAGCACTTATCTATTGTTTGTCTCATCATTTGTGTTAGCAATTAAATGCAGATTTTCGTAAAAAGGAAAAATATCTTTGAGAGGAATGAATTCCCTTTGCAAAGAAAAAGGAAGCTTCCATTGATAGAGAATTTCTGTTGTATAGATGCTAATTTTGTGCATCGTGTTTAGGCCACAGACTCCATTAGTGATATCAATCAAAGCTTGGAAAAACTTAACAGTAACATTGAAGATAAACTGGCTGATCAGAAACTGGCCCTTGAAAAGGTAAACTATAAATATAAACAGCAATAGAAGAAATAAACTTTGAATACATAAATCATTTAGTGTGTGCATAAATTCAGTTACATTATTGATTATAAATTTAAGTACAACCAATAAAACCCAACTTTGGACCTTCTCAAAATCATTTAAACGATTAAAATTTTGACACCTAGTAATTTGTAACAAATTTTGATTAAAAATTCATTAGAGGCTAGAATCGGAAAAAAGGAATGAGATGGAATCAGTCAGAAAATTGGAAGAGCATCTGGCAGATATTGATGGCAAGTTAAGCAATCAGGAAGCAGATTTGAACCAGGTATATAAAAAAATTTCCAAGAAAATAGAAACTGAAAATAATCTTGTCAATTTGAATGGAAATATCGAGGAATCGCTAAATGCATCCAATTTTGATAAACAATCGATGATAATAGAAAAGCTGGTTGATACCTATGTAAATATACAATGTACTTTCAGACTTGCTTATCTTGAAGAACAATTGATGAGAAAGAAAATTGATTGTTTTGACGTAAATGAGAGACATACGAAGTACTGGAAACAGTGAAATATTTCGATCCACAACTGGGTATATATATTTCCTAGCGTAGAGTTTTCGATCTATGTTCTGAAGTTTTAAACTCTGAAGAGTGTCAAACTAAAAGCTTTAGTTTACTTAAATGTTTGCTTTTTTCAAAGCCATTTTTGAAGAATACAAAATATAAAACGTAGTTAAAAAAAGGCTGCTAAACAAAATATGATAACCAATCCACAAAATATAAAATAAAATGGATAGAATGACTAAAGCTAAGAAAATATTGATTTTGAGAATAAATGTAGTATTTGCTAAATAAATATTTTATTTCAGGAAATCGGAGCAATAAGAAAAACCGTACAGAACATATTGCCTCTAATTAGGGAGAGGACAGTCAACGTGGAAACAAGGGCTGGTAGTGCTGTTGAAAACAGCAAGGTATTAAATGTGAAATAAGAATGATTTTTTAGGTAAAAAATAAATTAATAAATTAGATGTGAATAATGCAGACATGTTTGAATAAGTTTTGTCATACTGAGTCACAGCAATGGTGACGTGACAAGTGATATCATGTGAAAAAGAAGGGGGAAAGAGAGGGGGTTTATTTAGCCACTTGACTTTGAAGTTTGAAAAAGAAAAGTAACCATTGACTTTGGTAAAAATGTGTTCCAGTGCAAAGACAGTAGAGAAATATTGGAAATGGTACAGTAATTAAATGCAAAATTGGAAAAACGTTAATTTGTGTGCAATGATTTACATTTAAAGCATTTTTAATTGTCTAGAATGAAGCACAGAATACGGAATCCTTAACAAACTAAACTCTTTCTAGGACAAGAAATATTGTCTATTGACTGATTTTTGTTAGTACTTTGGCTTTGAGATAGCCATCCTTTAAGGCTTGAGAATATTAAACCAAAACCAGCAGAGATATGAAAAGATAAATAACATAACCAAATGTCTGAAAATAGAAATTTAGTGCAGCTTCATAAAAAAACCTACTGTTTTGGATAAGCATACGCCTAGCATTAATAGAGTAGAAACTGCTTGACAACGGTTCAAATTGATTGACTTGCTCTACTTAGTTCAGCAGAATCATGTTTCACATTTTCTAGAATTCGGATTCTTTTGATGGAGTGCAAAAGATAATTATTGATCAGTTGGACGAGCGTATTTCACACATTGATGCAAAACTAGACGATAAAGAACAAGAATTTGAGAAGGTATAAATGACATTAAAAGGGGAAAATTCATTATAAATGTTACATTAATTAATAAACACATTACAAATGCCTAAATTGGAGATATAATGCAGCTTATGATGATGAGTAAAGGACAAATAAATTCAAAATAAACTTTCTAGATATTAAAACTTAACCGATCTGCAGAAAACTAAAAAGGTATCATATCGTTTCAAAGTAAGAAAATATCATATCAATACAATTGATATAAATATTATGAGATTATAAGAAATATATCATTAATAAGCTAAAATTTATTCAACGTACATAAATCTATTATATATTAAAATTTCATGGATAAACAGAACTATTATATATATTTCTTTTAAGATATAATAAACAAATGTTGGTATGAAGCGACATACAGTAATATAATAAACCTAACAGGGTGAAGAATGTTAGCATGTATTTAATCATTCAAAAATTAAAAGGACATAACAATTCAAAGAAACATATATAAATTTTTGCTTATAATTTATAGTATAAATATAATGATACAAAATTATGATTCCCTAGAACACCAAATCTATAAGAGAGCTAGATCAACAAATGGAAAAGCGTTTTTATGAGTTGGATGAAAAAATGAGCGATTCAAACATAGTATTGGAGAAGGTAATAAGAATGGTTGGTTATGAGCAACAAAATACAAATATAAAATTACTAAAACCTTAAATTGTTTGAAAAAATATTGAACTTAATAATAATTCAGTCTTATAAGAAAATGGCGATTCAGTATAAATAAAAAAAGCAATCCTAAATAACTAATTATAAAATGATTAACTTTGCTTTTAAGATAACGTTTAACACTATTAAACGTTGGTATGAAGCGACATACAGTAATATAATAAACCTAACAGGGTGAAGAATGTTAGCATGTATTTAATCATTCAGAAATTAAAAGGACATAACAATTCAAAGAGAAATATATAAATTTTTGCTTATAATTTATAGTATAAATATAATGATACAAAATTATGATTCCCTAGAACACCAAATCTATAAGAGAGCTAGATCAACAAATGGAAAGGCGTCTTTATGAGTTGGATGAAAAAATGAGCGATCAAAACATAGTATTGGAGAAGGTAATAAGAATGGTTGGTTATGAGCAAAAAAATACACATTTATAATTACTAAAACCTTAAATTGTTTGAAAAAATATTGAACTTAATAATAATTCAGAGAATTAATAATAAAAAGAGCTATCTTAAATAACTAATGATAAAATGATTAACTTTGCTTTTAAGATAACGTTTTACATTATTACATTTAACAGGAGTAGGGAATTCAATAAAAAAAAAATAATCTTATGTTTTTCGGATGTCAAATCTAAGAAAATCAACCTCAACATAAACAATAAATATGCCTTATATAGGAATAAACTTGAATGTGATTTGCTTTTAGGAAATCAAATCTAACAGAGAAAGTATAAAGCAGGTATATCCAACCATCGACCGACGGTTGGATGACGTCGAAATAAAACTGAATAAGATTCGCGAAAACATCGAGGTATATTGAAACAAAGCGGTGAATTTACCACATAGGTCCATAAAAAAAGCAGTGGCCTTGATTTTAATAATTGTCTGTGAATCTTCTAGAGCAGATTTGGCAGATCTGGAAAACTCTTCTGTAAGGTTTTAGTGCACAATCTATGTAATTTGTTGTTAACAAAAACTTGGTAAGCACTTCTAGAGAAAGATTACAGAAATCAGAAGAGTTGGTTAAGCCTCCCTTGCCACTATTTTGGATAAGAATGCGAGATACAGGATTCCAATACAAAGCATATGGTTCTAAAAAGATGGTTGCCAATTTTGCTTGTGGAAAATTCACCGTCTTGTGTTTTTAAAAAAGAATAAAAATAACACATATTGATATAAAATATAAAACATAGAATTTATAGGACTACACATGATTGTCGGTTTAAGAGCATAAAACTTTATGAATCGAACTTATTTTTTATGAATGTTGAATTAATGCTAGATAGAAGCCATAAATGCTAAACTATTATAAACTCTTAAGCTTACTTTTCTGAAAATAGCAATAACTTAAACACTAACAGATAAAACAGAACATATTTGTGCAGAGAAAAGCCCTTGTATAAAGTATTGCATGGTAATAGAGTAAGGTGCCCAAACTACTTGAGAAATGAAGTCGCTCGAATGGGTCTGTTTGTTCAATTTACAGCAATTACAGTCTTCGGATAACAACACTACAACAGCTGTGTCTAATTTAGAGTCACGCCTCTCTTACGTTGAGAAAAAGTCCAAAGACCAGGAAAATAATTCAAAGGTGACTAATTAATAATATGTGACTCAAACAAGTGTTTTGTTTATCCAGAATTCAGTTGTGAGTTTCTAGCACCTGGAGGCAAGGTTTAACGAGTACATGAAACTTGTTTTACGTCACATCATTAAGAATCACTAAACCTAAAATAAAAGTATTCTTTAATTTAATGTCTCCATGACATCATAATATCCTTGCTGTTAAAATCTCTCAGATTTTTAAATGTTGTAGCTTAGCTCTCATGATCCTGTTCTTAATATCACTTTACACAGTATGAAACTTAGTCCTCTATGGGAAGACCTGCTCGTCGTGTGAGAGAAACAGCCCTCGGTCTTTCGAAATTATTTGGCCTTAAAACTGAACAGAGCAGAAAAGGATAATTTCTCAAAATTAAAAACAGCACAAATTCTTCGAGGACGCTTTTTGTATGCTTTGGAAAGTCTAGTGAGTAATTTCAAATTACGACCGCCCCTCTCCCCCCCTCCCCCCCCCACTCTCCGAATGTATACGTCCTGCTGATAGTTCTTTTTCTTTCGACTTACTTCAACACTCGGATTACTTCACCTTCATACCTCACTGTGGGCGAGCTCCGTGATTTGACGTGTTTTCAAATAGTGTACAAGCTGACAATGCGTCCCTACAAAGCTACAAAAAGCCCTCTCTGGCCCCCCTCTCTCAAACTTTTCACTTTCTCGGTAACAAAGCTTTTATCCTTACTTACACCTTCTCACCTTTCCTCGTATGCTTCCCTCTCACAGAGGTTTCTTCATTAAGACAAACGCGTTTCAAAAAGTAACAAATACCCTTCCGCCCTACAGACACCATCAGTAACCGATGAGCTTACATATGAAAAAGTTTATTCACTGGAAAGGGATGTTGTCGAATTGAGCGAAAGATTAAAAGATCACGACAAAAAGATTCAGGTAAGTTTAATAAGTCAACAGCTACTGTTTATCATTGCAGGGTGTGTAAGTGAGCTCATGTAAAGAAACTGAAACGCAGATTTATAGACTAGCCCAGGGGCGTCACTCGAAAAATTTCTTGGGGGGAGGGGGGGTATCTAGTGCCAGGTCTCTATAGAGGGTTTATTCCGCTCCTTGTGAGCAAATTACTGAATAACTATCCTTTCGGAATGTTAGTTGTGATTTCCTCAAATCTACATTTTTAATGATGATGCATTCTAATTGCAGAATTTTAACAAAAATGAAGAAAACCGTCAGAAAGAAGTGCTTTTAATGCAACAAGAACTGACTGAAGTTAAAGACAAACTAGCAGAACACAAAAATGTGTTTCAGGTACAAAAATGCCTATTTCCTCGAAAATAATGACATACTAAGAGAAGAATCAAAGACTTCATTCGAAGTTTCTCAGTGCAAAAAGAGGCAATATTTTGAGGGAACAAATGTTTTCCACGCTCAGAAGCAGGCACATCAATAGATGTAACGAAGCAGTTATTAGAACGGATCCTTTGAAAATGAAATAAGCATTTATAAATGACTAAAAACGGCCTCTTTTGCTTCGGTGGAAAGTTTGAGAGACATGTGCCCTCGTCACAATATTTAACTCGACGTGTCCAGAGCACAGTTCATTATGACGTGGCCTTCTGTAACATCAAGTGCTTGATTGAAAATCTTTTGTTCAGTCGTGATTTGATAATTATGATAACGGTCAAAAATTGATCAAAATGAGTTAACTGAATTGACAACTCGCTTTTAACCCCGGATTGTGAAATCGCCTCTTAATGAAAACAGCAGACCTTTAGCTAACTACATTTTAAGCGATCAAATACTTAAGACAGACAATCCTGAAGTATCAATACATTAATCGCTTTCACCATGAATGTGAGGATTCTGATACGGCGCTACTAGTATTTCACATTATAAGGAGCTTTTTTTAAAAACTAGTAGACTTTATCAAACTGTCAGTGAATCTTTACTGCCTAACAAAGGGGGTGTACATGGGTCCTTCTTCGATTGATAATTATATTTTATTCCTTTAGAGAGCTGATTCAAACTGTAGTCATGTGTTGCGAGTAGTGCCTCCTCTTGAAAATCATTTGAAGGACTTGGATAAAAGACTAAAAGCCCACGAGAGAATGAAGGTATTGTGCGATATCCACTACTTCAATTCCAACTAAAGGCAATCAGATTCTTTAAATGACTTAAGCCATCCTCTAATCAAAATTAGCCAATCAATAAGAATGATACCATTCACGCTCATTGATTGGCCAATACTTGTTCGAGAGATGGCTCCAGTCGCTTTAGTATCTATCGATTGTCTTTACTGAAGAATTTGATCTAAACAATATTTTCACTAAGATCTAAGCAAAAAATTGATGAAATATATTAATGAATATATAAATATCATTAAATGTATCAAGACTTCTTAGCCACTATTGGTTGTTGAAAAATCGTGGAAAAATAACTATAAATAATTAATTCACAAAAATAATATTCTATTTGCCTTAAAATTGAATCTTCCTGAAAACTGAATATTCACTGTAATTTTTCATGCACATAGTGACTATTATTTTACCGTTGTTTAAAATAAACCAATTGTCCAATATCAGGACAAATAACTACGAAAAACGTTTATAAATACGATATGTTGTACTGTATTGTCACGATAGCATCAAAATATTCAAGAGTAATGGTAACATTGATCAGTTTGTAATACGGCAATTCCAGTTTTACGTATTACCTTGAAATTAAATTCGCTCAAATTTCCTTTATAAATTTTATTGACTTAATATCAAAAGATGCAGACACCGGTGGCAACGGATGAAGGAGCTAACTATGAGCAATTGTATGAGTTGGAGAAGGAAATGGTTGAAATCAGGGAAATATTAGCAGAGTATGATAAATTGTTAAAGGTAAATAATAAAAGTAGAATGATAACGGATAACAATAATTATTTGGCAATAGGCCAGTAAAGCGCAGATTTACATGAATATAAACATTCCATGGAATCTTTAAAAATAAAATTAACAGATGAAAAATTATAATACATAGTCACACGTACATATGAATTTAAAACTGGTTTAAGTTAATATCAAGTTGAGATTTGAGCAAGGCTTTAAAACATGTTTAAAGTTTTAAATATTCCTTAAAGTTTCAAGACTGAATATTAGAGTAAAAATTTTCATGTATATTTTTTTAGTAAAAATAACTAATAACAAACATAACACAATGTAGAACTATCGTAATCTGAAAACTAACAATAGTGCAATAAAGAAATTAAAAATACTCGTTAGAATACCAGCTACTGTTAATGGGAATATTTACAAATCTGTTTAAAAGGTTATACATCACACTTTGGGAGAAGGTGTCTTATGAGAAATAGATAAAGGGTGTATTTGGAGAGTGAACTATTTACAAATCTGTTTGTTTAAAAGTTTAACATCACAATTTGCGAGAAGGTGTCTTACGAAAAATAGATTAACAGTAATCGTTGCTACCTTTCACAGACGCGTAAATCGCAAGTACAAAATGGCTTAAAAGAAGAAATATTAATTGAGGTTGATGAAAAGGTATCAGATCTAGAAGAGAAGCTGACTAGGAAAATGCAAGCAAGTAGAGTAAGTTAAAGATTTATTTCAAAATATCATTTTGAAGGAAATTTATAGCATATCTCTAATTGAAAGAAATTTCTGTTTTCAGTCACTTTATTTTGAGGCAATAATTTTATGAGATCGTGTTTTTTATACGACAAATTATATTTAGGTAACTTGATACCTATGTTGAGTCTAAAAACCATAATTAAAACAACACACATACACGATCATAATTTTTTCTTAGAGAAAGGAATTTATTTGCTAAAAATGCTAGTAAAATATCTGCTTTAAGGACTACATCAGACCCTAACAATATCAAACAGTGAAAAGTAAAACAAATTTTTTAACCTAATGTTTGTAATCTTATTTCCCGGGAGCTCAGTGGTAGAGCACTTGACGTACAAAGTCAGGGGTCGTGAGGTCGAGCCTCGCTTGGGTCGGTTATTTTCCCGCATTCTCTACGAACCGTCTTTATAAATCCTGTTGCCTATGACAATCTCATGTTTGCCAATCTTCGGATTACGATACGCATGTTGCTAAAAATTTGCTGAATTCCGAATACATACTTGGAAAGTTGGAACACGGTCAGCAATTAACGAGAAAAACCTTAAAGAATTCAATCTTTAAGGCTTATACCTGTAACTTAAAGCATTCAAGCGAAGGGTCAGGTGATTGTTGAAAAACACCAAATAAATTATATTTCAAGGTTCTGTAACTTACAAGGCTGCTATAAAGTGTAGACATGATTTTAATCAAAATAGATAAATGAGGGATTGCTTAAAAATGAAAGAATAAAAACCTATCTAAGAGTATGTGACAACAAGAAATTTAGAAAGAACTAGTTTTAGAATAAAGAAAGGATTTTCAATTAACAAAAATTTGTCAAATTGTTAAGGTTTGGAACATGAGAAAGTCGTCAACGAATAATGGAAATAGCCCAGAGATATCGGAGAAGCTTTCAAGATTAGAAGAAAAAGTAAAGTGGCAAATGTCGATGATAATAATGGTAAGTATAATAATGAAGGCTTCAATTACTGTTTTCTCCTTTGTGTTCGCATTGGTGCTTACAAGCACATAATGATTCGAAAGCACAGATTTAGGATAGGTTCTTTAGGCAAGTGAAGAATGAAGAACACGAGGGTGCTTTATTCAAATGTATAAAGGGCACATTCGTTACAATTGTAGGCTATCTTAAAAACTAAGGGACAAGTTCAGTGGATAGAAAGTTTACTACGACGACAAGTCTGCTAAAGTCTAGTAGGAGTTTTCTTTAATTAAAGCTCTACAAATGTCTTGAGCTGACTCCATCTTGAATCTAATATAAACCCACTTTCGGTTTACAATTCAATATTTCGAAAGGCTAAAAGTAGCGGGAACATAACACGTGGAAAAGAAGTATCTTTTTATTCTTATGCTAAACAGAAATTTATATCCAGCTGCTTGTCGAATCGAAAGTAACGTGAGAGGAAGAATGGCGCGTATTTTGATGTATCAAATGCTTGTTTAATTAGCAAATATTCTGTCTGCATTATGTTTGAAAATAGACTATGGTTTTAAGGACATCTACATTGAAGCTATGTGCTTTATTTTGGGTGATGCTCAATTCTCTGTTTATATAACAGGTAGACAGGAAACTAAAAGATGGAAAAGAAAAAAGCGAAGACCAACAAATAGAAAGAGCAAAAACAGCAGCAAGTCACAGGTACATGAAAGCTAATTGAGAATATTACTTAAACAAACAGCAGCGAAAAGCAGAAATATAACTCTTTCACCCTTGCAATGATGTCGTCCACCATCTCACTAGTTCCGGTTTTAACGAAAAGCCATATTTCTATGAAAATAGCACTCTCTATACAATCATATGATTAAGGAAGAGGGGAGGTAGCAAGCTATATTCAGACAACGTATTCACAAGTTTGAGCCCGAGATAAACATGAGAATTTCACGTAAGCTATTTAACGGAGATTTTAATGAAATAAATTTCAAAATCGAGGCTGTTAATTATTGCTTTGGGTATTATTGTGCTTCTAAATCAACAGCTTCATTTAATAGTTAATTTTTGCCAAGCAGACTGTTCTAATTAATGTAATATGTTCATTCCCATGTCAATGTTTGAGAACCAATCCACCTGTCCGTCTGACAATATAAACTTTGATTGTTTTCAGGCCACGATTCGAAGCAAGACCCCCACAAGTCAGACGAAACTCGTATGTTAATAATATTAATAATAATTTAATAATATATCTCGCCAAATTCCGTTTCGGAGCAGTAACTAAACACAAACACAGAATTGCCAGGAAAGACGTCACATGCAGTATAGTACGACAGGCTAATTTTCACTTAGGTTTGAAAAAATTCAACCAATCTCTCGATTTCTATCAGGCCTTTTGCATTGCTTTTTAGAATTTGTTCCATTCCTGGAAGGTGCCTTTTGAATTTTTCGCATTGCCATAAATGTTCTGTGTTTTCTTCAAGTAATCCGCACCTTCTGCAACTTATATTATCATATTTTCCTTTGTAATTAGCTTTTAAATCGGTCATGTTTAGTATCAATTTTAGTAACGTTGGTCCCTTTTTAAGTTTTATATATTCTTTTATTCCAAAATTGCTTTTTTCAATGAGCCTCATCTTTGTTTTACCGCTATTCTCGATTTGCTGCTCTATCCTTTTTATGATTTTGCTTTTTACTATTTTTTCTCGATTTTTCCTTAATAGATCTGAAATTTTTTCTAAGTATTGTATATTTAGTTCAATCAAGTCATTCATCGTTTCATCATACCAGTATGTGCAATTCATTTTGAAGTTTGAAGAGTTCAAATAAAAATGTTATCAGTGAAGAGAGATTTCCAATATTCGAAGTAGTTTATCAAAATTTGCGAAAAAGAGGTCAAGTCAAAAAAGAGGTCAAGTCTGTTGAACTCGTTAAAAAAGGCTAAGAAAAGAGCATAATAAAAACGTTTCTTGCATTACAAAAAATAACTTTCAATAAATGAAATAAGAATATAATGTTCACCACAATGTTTTGATGAAAGATTTTTTATCCCCTTAGATCCTTCTTAAGAATCGAACATGCAAAGAGAGCGCAAGGGAACAGGCAAGTGTTCTGATTCTTGCAATTTACATTGGCATGCAAGGGAATTGGCAAAAAAATGTGGCAGGCTTTGATAAAGTATAACTTCCCTTCAGAAAAGAAAGCGTTAAGGAGCAATTAAGTGAAAGCAAACATTTCTGTAATCTCATTTCCCGGTAGCTCAGTGATAGGGAATTGTCTAGTTTCCATACTGCTCGACCTGATAGTCATAAATAATATGATTAATTATTTCAAGTACAGGGTTAGAGTTAGGCTAAGAGTTAGGGTTAGGTTTAGGTTTGGGGTTAGGGTAAACTAATTACGTCATCAGGTCGAGCAGTATGGAAACTAGACAGCTCTCAGTGATAGAGCACTTGACGCACAAAGTCAGGGGTCGTGAGTTCGAGCCTCGCTTGAGTCGGTTATTTTCCCGCATTCTCTACGAACCGTCTTTAGAAATCCTGTTGCCTATGACAATCTAATGTTTGCCAATCTTTGGATTACGATATGCATGTTGCAACAAAATTTGCTGAATTCCGAATACATACCTGAAAAGTTGGAACACGGTCAGCAATCAACGAGAAACCTTAAAGAATTTAATCTTCAAGGATAATACTTGCACCTTAAAAATTTAATCTTTAATCTTAATCTTTAATCTTTGATGTGCAATTTCACAACAGCACATTCGTGGTCTAAATAGGAGACCTTAGTCTAGAGATATATATTAACATCATTAAAACGAAAAACAGTATCCGTTGAGAAGAGAACACATGTTTGTAATTATGTACACACGTTAAATTAAATAATTGAATTAAGACATAATTTTTATCAATTCAGTTACATGATACAAAAGCTATTTCATGAATTGTGACGATGAAATCCACCAAATTTACAAGTAGACTATTATCCAAACGACAGTGTGTGCAAAACTATTTTTTCCATTGCCATATAAAGCGAGGCATAGATTGCCAATATTTGGAATATTGGTGTAAAATTACATTATATTTAAATGCTAAGTGAATAGTTGCCGTTAGGGTCTCTTGTTGCATGTTTGGTCAAATTGCTACCATCAAAACTTAGGGCAGATTTATACAAGATGAATTGTCCAGCGAATCCACAGCTCAATATAAGAAGGCACGCGCGATTTTTTTCGCATCGAAATACCTCCCTTCAGCTAGCATATTTTGACGAGCAAGCTATTAGCGTCAATCATGTTTTTGAAGTAAAAGGGGCACCAAGTATCGCCACGACGTTAAAATTAAACGCAAATTGGCTTTAGTGTAGGTTCTAAATCTTTGACTTACTGCATCAATAAATTATGGAGAAGTTAAACCTCTTGGTCACTCAAAGATCTGAAACCAATGTTATTGACTGCAGTTAAACGATTTGACGCAAAAAAGGTAGAAACTATTTGAAATTTAGCTATAGATTTGCTGGTCAATTAGCCACTTTGTAGCATATCTAATAGCAGCGATTTGTGCTTCTTCTCTTTTCTGCAGCTACCACAGTTAGTTTTTTATATTGATTAGGCAATCTTTTTTTACAGCGATGTTCATTTCCTAAAGGAGAGGCTACTTAAACTGGAGCAAAATATACAATACGTACGTAGGAGGAATTTGTTGTGGTTTTTATGTGTTTGCTAATAGTACTATGTGTTTACGCCCAGGTCTGAGACTTTACACTAATGCCAGCAATGTTAGATGCCTGGTCTTCGCAAAAACAATCGCTTCTGATGCAATGATGGTGACAAAAAGATAAAAATGAAGATGATCATTAATAGACTTCTTTCACGAAGCCATATTTCTACCTTTAAAGACAAGCAAATAACATTCTATCTGTTTTTATAGCGAACTAAATACAAAGTATTCCTATGTTTGTATCTGACACGGTGTATTGCTTCCCATAATTTTTCTTCATATTGAATTCGTCTTTTGCTTATAACATTGGTTAAACATGTACCTTAAACTTGCCTTCTTTAACCTTACATCTCGTTTCTCAGCTTTCTTTAGCAGCTCAAGTTTGTAGAAATTTATGGTTAATGAAGGTGGTGCAAAAGCCATGAAGAACGAATGTATATCGAATAATCAATTAGCAAATACTCCTCGCAGCTAAAAATTCTTTATTGCCGTTTGAATAAGTTAACTGCAAATTCATAAAATTTTAAAATGAACCAAAATATTTGTGATTCCCTTTCAGATGCTGGATAGCCAGGATGAAACCGATAATGACATTGCCCTGCTACAAAGGCAGTTTAAACGGGAGATTGTCATTGATAAGAAAATTGTAAGTTTCTATATTTCTGTAAAATAACCTACTCTTTTTCTTTAGACAGCTGTCTTGTTTACGCATTCCCCTTAAAAGATGCAGCTTCCAAGATACTATCTATCAAATCTTCCCATCTCACAAATAGCAATGCCATTTTAGACAATGATCATTTTGGTTGAGATAAAAACTCAGTTACTAAAGAAACCTTATACGGATTCTTTATAAGGTCTACTAGCAAATTGAGAAAGCTGTTTGGATACGTGAGAGTTCCTATCCTGGGAAGATCAAATCCGGGTTGTGTTTTGAAAATTGCACTGTATAGATGGAATCTTTGTCCAAGGGAAACATTGAAGCATCTTAGCTTTTGGCTCAAAATTACTTCCTATCTCGGTTAGAAAAAATATTTGTTGCAATCCTTACTTCATTAGAGGCGATTTTCTCCCGGATCAAGAAAGTGAGTTGAATTTGACACGAGTAGACATTTACTCGTGCAAACGATTGTGCAAACGATTGCACCTGAACAAAGGACTTTCGTTGTGTTGCGGCCTCTACTTCATCTCAATTCCTTATTCATTAGAACTTTTTCAAATCCTTATCTCAGTTTGAATTTCTTTCCATTCACAGAGAAACAAGTTGGTAGAATTCGTAAACAAGCGATGCTTGGAGGGCCAAAGGATCCCGATGTTTGTCAAACATTTTAGTGTTCATCACCTCAAGTACTTTACGAACTACACGGGAAAAGCGGTATTGATAAACAAATGGGGAATGTATCAAGCATTGCGAATGTATGAGTTCAAAAAGAAGTGGCTTGCTCTAATAGGCAAGCAGCCATTCGAGTTAACGTTAAAAGAATATAAAGAAATGAGACGAGAAGAAAAGGAGAAGGAACGTGAACAGGCAAGGAAGGAGCAGAAGAAGAAACCAGTTTCGCCCATCGTTGTTGAATCCGCATCTTCTGAAAGCGAACCGGAGTCTGAACCTGAGCCAGAACCAAAATCAGAACCTGAAGCTACAAAGGAGGAGCCAGAGGAAGATGAGAACGACGAGGACGAGAAACCGAAAGAACCGGAAGGCCCGGTCAGGATTAATTATGAAGACGATAATTCAGGTGATGACTACATTCAATATAAAACTGATGATGAAGATGACGAGACGGACGATGAATACTTCCCACAAACGTCTGAAGATGAAGATGACTCAAAATTATTCTCTGATGAAAACGAAGAGGATGACGACGAAGAGGATGACGACGAAGAGGAAGATGATGATAATGACGACAATGCAGAAGATGCTGAAGAAGATGAAGAGGGAAACGAAGACAAAGATCCAGAAGCAGAAGATGGTGAAGATGAGGAAGGTGAAGGCGATAATAGTCAAACTGAAAAAGACGATAATGATGCAAAGGAATCTGAAAAGGGCGAGGAAGAGGAAAAAGACAATGATGCTCAGGAGAATGACGGAGGTGAAAATGAAGACGACACTGCCGAAGGCGAAAACACAGCGGCTGACGAAAACACAGCGGCTGACGAAAACACAGCGGCTGACGAAAACACAGCGGCTGACGAAAATACAGCGGCTGATGAAGAAAATGCGGCGGAAGAAGAAACTGAGGAAGAGGAAAGCATTGCAAAAGATGAAGACACTGCAGAGGAAGACAATGAAGAAGATAACGATGACGATGAACAGGATGATAAAGAAAGTGATGCAGGCAAAGAGACTGAGGGAGAAAAAGAAGATCCAAATGGAAATGAAGAGGCCAAAAATAAAGAGACAAATAAAGGCAAGGAAGGAAGTGGGAAAAGCGAATCGATAGGTGGAAATGACAAAAAGTGATTTGAAAATGTAAATTATGCCAGCACATAAGCAAAGACACAAATGTGACGATTAAGAGGACGAGCATCCGTTCATATTTGCAAAGAGATAACCGAAATTCAAAACTTACTAAGATGAGCGACATTTTAAGGCTGTTGACAGCCACCACAACAAACTACTCTTTAAAAAGAGATTAAAACTGGCAAGGCACCACTAAAGGGTCGCATCTTGCAGCTATTGTAAATGTGTATTATTTATATAAACTAGAGCATCAAATGCATTTTAGGCACGACTTTACATGGCCTTTATCGTCAATTTACTGCAAAATCTAAATTTTAACGTTTTGTGTCTAAAAGTATAGTTTAGAAGCAAAATTTAGACAATGACGTGAAGATTAGTACTTAATGACTGTCAAAACTCGGGCATATGATCCACCAAGCTCTATTCAATTAAACCTGTTCTCTACACGTTATGTATAGGTAGAGAGAGAAGGCTGATATACAGATGTATACAGAAGTAGACAAACTTTGCATGGCCTAACTGATCAGCAGAAAAAAAAATCTTCACAGAAAAGATGGCGACAAGATTTTACTACTAGAAAATTTAGATCAGCTTCGACGGAATATTCCAGCAATATGTGACGAAATTTGAAAAAGCAAAGTATCAAAAAAATTACGTAGCAAGAGACGCCATTTAAAATCCACTTTCTTTGTCAAAGATTTACTTATCATCGGTTCCAAATACGCTCGTACTGACGCAACAAATTTTAGGTCTTTGCTGCCTATTCACCTTGCAAGATGGTCCAAAAAATGTAACTAAAAAGTTGAGTTCCATCTAGATCTTAAAAAGAATGCAATTTTACTAGCACTGCTACAAATCCATAAAAATTGGAAAATTTTTAATTACAAATTTTTAAAATATTTTCGCTCACCCAACCCAAGTTCTTACAAACTTTTCTTGAAGTTCGGGCTCTAAATGAAAACCGATTGTGTCGAGGTAATGTAGAAATCTACAATAAACAAAAAAGGTGAAGAATAATTAGTCATTTTTAGCCATTTAATGGACTTTTTCAGTTTTCAAATAGAATTCTTGTGTTGATTCAGCACCATCATTGCTTCAAATGAAAGGTTAACAAAGGCATCGACGTTTGTAATGCCAGAAACAGTGAGACCTTCAATCTGTCTGCAGAGATATGAACACTGAATTCAATGGATAAAAAACCTTTCAAACTTGAAAGATAACACCATAGAAAGTTTGTAAATGAAAGCTGCGTTCGAGTTGCGAAACGGATGTATGATTCATTTTGACTTTTTAACATTATCCCTGCATTTTGTAGATTTTACACAAAAAGGCTACGTACACCTATGGAGGGCTTTAATGGCGGTTTTGAATATCCTGGTACCGTAGGCTTTTAACCCTCCACTTCGGCATGGAAATTTCTAAAGCTGATGAAAAAAATCTGCAAGGATAAAATTATACAATGCATTCACCTTCTTGATCTTCTTCCAAACTGGGTGTGTTTCCGGTGCTCTTCAGATTTGCAAATCGTACTTAATGTTGGCAATATGTCAACACAGAGAGCGCCATGGTCAGAGCGGCCGGAGCAAGGTAATAAGTTTTCAACAGATTTGAAAACCGACTTCGTATCCCTAAAATAAATCAATCCTTGTGATTAAAAAGAGGCAATTAAGAAAAAACAAAAGATAAAGAATGATATAAAGGGCATTTGAAAATGAAAGCCACTTGATAAATTGTGACACAGCACCAAGATTTAGTCTTCATGAATATAAGCTATAAGCATTTGAACTGTCTCTGATTGCTGCATCTTCATTTTTCCAATATTATGATAAAACGATCAAAACTACAACCAATAAACAACACAAATCGAATTCATATGACAAATAAGAGGTAGAAACATATCAAAGTCTCCTCTAACTCAGCATGCAATTCAGGTGGTTTAAATTAAACGAAATTAAAATTATATGTAAAGTTAACAAAAAAACAACATTCGGGGCTGAGAACTAAAACTGTATTTGCCTATACTGTATATCCCAGTCACCAAGGAAAGCTGCAAATGGCTGAAAAATTTTGAATACGCCAATTCTAAATCTTGGGACAATAGTATGTACTTTTTGTAGCGAGCTCATTCTACCTACCCAAGTGAATTTTCCCTTTCAGTGTACCAAAGAAATATTTTTAATTTGGAGACATTCATGGAAAAATGCACTTTTATAAAAGCTAGAGTCAAGATTAGTACTCAGTTTCCTGAATATTTCGTTGATTTTGATAATTAAATTTTGTTTTATTTACCAACTGCTAATGAGCGGTTTTTAGAAAGAAAAATAGCACAAAAAAGTCGCAAAGCGTAACATAAAACAGAATCCTTAATCAGCAGTAAGAAGTTTTTTTCTCTTACATATATGTAAATTGAACAACGTGCCATACCTTCCAAAAGAATAAATTCAATCCTATTATCAAAAGGATCATTTTTTCTAACTCGAAAACATTACTTTTGAAAAATGACAACATTCATCTAATGAAATACGGGGGCTTCTCAGACAATTATCTTATTGGTTCATTGATACAAAGAGCCCTCAATTAAACCACCATCCATAAAAAAGAAACCACTGAACAAGGGAAAAATCTTTGAACCAGTTGGAAATTTGAGAGTAATCAGGATGTCTAAGTCGTAACTCGGAAGATTTTCTCAATTGAGATCGAAAAAGGTTTCTGTAAGAGGCTCTGTAAATAAAGGCTTTAGTACAATATTAGCACAAAAATACCTTTGGTTTAATGTCAGTTGGAAATCTCATACCCTTCAACCTCTCAAAAAATATCAGTCAAATTACGTCCCTAGTTTTGCAAGATCTGCTTCATGGCAACAGAATAGTCAAAGGGGCTAAAACGTATCGCTGGCAAAAAGAGCAACCAACCTGGCCTGAATATCTGCCGAAGAACAACAGACACCATCACGGTTAAGGACAGCTTCGTGAATTTCCTTGTATGCATCTTGCACCTTTGAAAACAGCTGGTTCGAGATATAGGCATTGCCACTGCCAAAGGAAAACCGTTCCTCGTCTGTAATACCGTCGACAATTCTACCATGCCACCAGCCGTGTGACTGCAGACTGTCCCTTAGAGAAAGATGGTCTGGTATTCCTCGCATGTCCACCGAAGATACGAGTTCGGCAGATGAAGCAATCTTCCTGAGAGAACGGCAAGTTTCTGATTCTGAAAGAAGGAAAAGGGAGACAGAGATGAAAAGGTCTTTGCGACAACTAGCATAATTTCTATTCTATAAAGAAAGTAGGGAGCAGAATGGATCACTGTCGACTGACCAGTATTAAAACAAGTATCTCCTTGTATGATATTAGTAAATAAGTATGATATAAGCAGCCATTATATGTAATAAGCAGTATAAGCTGAACAACAAGCAGTTCACTTTTCGTAGATTAAGCTCCCTTAAAGATTGTCTAAAATGAATTCTCGATAAATCAGTAAATCAGTAAATCAATTGCCAGCTGAGGTCCTTTTACCAGACATGGTAATTTCTAGCATCTCTAGTTATCCTCAGTATTTGCATACTAACGTCCGCAAATGCATACAATATATTATCAACTAACGCTACTGTTTAGACGACAAACAAGTAGGTGGACTAATAATTATGTTTCGAGCTGGTCGCAAAACTACATACCATTTTTCACGCCCCGAGTACACTGACCGAGAGACCAAAAACTTTGCTTCGATTTACTGGCAAGGAGCTCTTCTTCGGTGACCTGCATGGACATAAGAATATGTTGAAGGGGAAAAATAAATTCACCATTTAGAAGAGGAAATATATTGGAGAGGTAAAAGAAAAATATAAGAAAGGCATGTAATGCATAAGTAAGTTCCAAAAAGCGATGAAAATTTAACAAGAAGATTCGATGAAAAAAGAGAATTAAGAAAGAACTGGAAAGCACAAAAATCAAGATGGAATTCAGATAAAAAGTCGGAGTTTGGGGAAGCAATAGTTGAAACGGGCGGCCATGTTCTGATTGAATAACACAGGTGGTTTGAATTACAATTACGTTATTGACCAGCTAAATGAGCCTAAAGGTAGCCATGCTTTTTTTACTGTATGACTGCGCAGAAGCAGTTAGATAAATAAGGGCGCAGAGCTTTCAAGCAAGGGTGTAGGCTTCAGGCTGTGGGAATGAAATCGAAGTGGATGATCCTTCTAGCTATAGTGAAGAAATAAGTAATGGAGAAACAAATATCTAGTATTTCTGTAATAACGTGAGAAAGATACCTGTGTAATATCGAATAGAGCATTTCCAGTCTCCTTTACAGTGGAGTCCTCGGTTTCATGTACCATGGCAATGAAAGCATCTAACTCTTCTAAGCGATCCTCTGATTTCGATTCAGCATTTTCAGCCCCAGTCTCTTCCTTTTCAACTGCATTAGGACCAGGTAAATCTTCCACTTGACAATCGTATATTTCAGGGCCTAGATTCTGAGCCTCTTCGTCTTCTACAACTTCGCATTTGATATCCACAATAATGTTGTCCAGTTCAGAGCAAGGTTCTTTACAATTGCTGTTGGCCTTTAAAAACAGCTTCTTTTCAAAATATAGCAAAGATACAAAGCCATTGGCCTTAGCTTCAAGCAAGTAGAACCAAAGTAATATCGATTAAGATATTCTATCTAGATTATAACAAATACAATTCACTTACGTGCAAAAACAGTAAACTAAAGGATAAATCCAGCAACAAAAATGTGCTTTTGGCATTATGCACGTTTTTGTTAATTGATCTTTCAAATAGCGAGCCACTAGTCTAGCTTATGAAACAGACAATAAACCAAGCAAAAAAACAAAGAAATAAGCAGAAGTTATATAATATTTGACTTTCTTGTTGAAAAAGAGGGAAATGATTTGCTCAAGTTACTACTGCTGTTTCTCGGAAAATCCAAAATGACTGTGCGGTTACGCTCTTCGTTTACGAAAGATATTTATTGCTAAGAAATGAAGCTACGAAAGATATGAAGCTAAAACTAATCCTTGCAACGTTAAATGAGAAATGTCGTTCCATTTCAACTGATGCCAGGATAAATAATGCACAAAAGACGCGCTGCTTTTTTGATATAAAACACTTTTAACAAGACTTTTCCACATTTCGACATTAACCTTTCACATAATAATTCTTTGATCGCCAAACTTAAAGCAACCAATGACCATGAATAAATCATTAATGCCCATGCGCTAGGACAAAATAAGGAAGATGACCCGAGCTAAAGAAAATTTATCTTGGCGTCTTAAACAGCTCGGTAAGGAAATGATGAATACAACATACCTTCACCTCTTGATTTGCGGCAGAGCCAGTAACCATGCCACGTCCTTCCCTTGGGACCAGTTCTTCAGTCACAACAACAGGTTTCATTTCAGAGAAACTATCGACAACAGGCAGGGCCTCTTTGATGTCATCTTGTCCCATCAACTTACTGATTGATTTAGACAAGGCCTCGTGACAAGGATTTTGCCACTGTTCAAGAAGAAATTGCAGTTTCAACAAAGATTTTCTGATGTCTCCATTACATTTAGCAATAACATCTCTTATCAATTCCCGCTGCGGCATCACTTGCTCGGCCAGGCAGATTGCCTCGAGATGATTGGCTATCGTTTCGTAATCAACTGCCTCCATTGTCAGGAGAGAGTATGATCCTCCGTCAAGTTTGCATGATACTAAAGGATCTGGAATGATTGAAGAAAATTGGAAAAATCGGGTACCTAGATTGATTTTCGTGCAATGCCAAAAACACTTACTTTAACAGAATATATTTGCTCCCTATTTTAGGTAGCTACTGAAGAAAAAATTTGCTATGAGCTCAATCACGAGAGCCAATAACAATCAGCTTGTCACATCAGTTATGCCATCCGTTAACTTACCTGTCCAAAATAGTAATAGAGGGTTCTTAAAGCAGTTACCACTGACAGTTACCACTCACAATATGCATGGTTACAACTCATTGTTACAACTTGCAACCGTAGTTTTTTCAAGGCTACCTATAAAAAGGCTTTATCAAAACGGCACCAAGCCCATGTAACGCAGAAGGTAAAGCAGCCATTATCATGTATCAAAAGCTTGTATACCGTATATTTAAAGCTCTGACGCTGGTTCAGGGTAATGCTAAGTACATATAAACGTAAGTTAAAAAATAGAAAAAGCAAAATTAATCAGTCCTCAAACAAAATATGGTCATAAAACACATACATTCGTCCTAAAAGGTATGTGTATAGCAATATATTTTGATTAGGCTTTCTGTAAATTAATTTTCTGCATGGAAGCCCTCATTCCAATGATGTTGACCATATCCAAAGGACATTTTTCGACCGTTTTGAGCTGTTTGAACTTAACTTACCATTCGCTGTTATTATAATAGGTCTTTTAGCTTCCTTTCTCAATTCATTCACTCCAAACCAAAAGCCTCTGTCTTGCTCGTCAAAAACAACATCAGCCTAAAAATGTATTGAATCGATGCACAAAACAACAAAAGGTATCCGATGCCTTGGAACATCAAGGTCTAAACTTAAACCAGAACACTAACAGACATTTTCATGAAATATAAACAATCGATTAAAACCCTCAAAGAAAATCTAAAATGGGAGAGTTATCTGAGATGAAATGAACAAAATCTTCTTTTGCTTCTTCGAGTTAAAATTACAGAAGGCAATGCTGAAATTGTGTAAAAGGAAGGAGCAAAGAACAATAACATGGATCTTCTCAACGCTTCAAAATGTAATGTAAAAAGCTAAATGGCAGTTAAAGTTTACTTTGGTAATTGAAAACTCGTGGAGATACAGGAGACAAAGTATCTTTATAAGAAACATTAATGAAAAAAGAAGGACAAAGATACAAAGAGAGAAAACCTTTTGTTATGAAGATATGCTCTCTATAACACCAAAGAGCTTAATACGACATCGATGGTAAACCGATTTCAAATTGTTGAAATTTGAACCATGGTAACGTTTAGATCCACGTACCTGCTCAAAAAGAATCAACGACATATCTCCACTGCCTCCACTTTGCTCTGATTGTTCCTTCGATGACTCACTTTCCTCAGATCCTTTCTCAGTTTCCTTCTCTGAGCTTTGACTGTTGTTTTCTTCTTCGGTTTTTCCCTCTGCCTTGGCACCAAAAAAGGGAAGAAATCCCTTTGTCCCATCGGCTCCTTTTCCGGATTCGTTCGCAGAACCGTGGAATTTACGCTTCACTTGGTGGCTCTGAGTGGCCTCGCCAAGAAGTGCTTGAATCTGCTTGCCAGATCGGTGACTCGATGGATTCATTTCGAGAACCTTTTTTGAAAAAGATTATCCGTAATTATAATTAGATACCCACAAAATCTACTAAACTAGCAAGAACTTTTACTCAAAATGCTATAATTCAAGATGCGGGAAAAACTCTACTACAAGAATAATAAAAGAAAAATTTTAAAAGAGCAACCATGCTTAAAATTGTATCATCAAGAGATATTATATTTGAAACGAAACTAGAACAAGCATGTAGATCATCCTTAAAGGTGATCCTTTGTGAGTTTATCTTTTCTAGATTCTTAGACATTGTGGCGTACAAAGCATGGGTATACAATATCTGAGTTGGAAAAGAGAAACATGTTCATTGGCAACACAATCCTTTGTGAGTGCCCAATGAATATCAATTCCTGGAACCTGAATGCTGCACAGGACAGACTGAACTAGTTAAAATTAAATCTTTAAACACATTTGCTTGTTAAGAAATAAAAAATTGGCAATAAAAATAACTGAACCTTGTAGCCTAGCTCCTGAGCACAGGCATATACAGCTGCCGTTGATCCACAACCCGTTTCACCAATTATCAAATAAGTATTAGACAGATTGTCTTCCTCGTCACTGTCTTCAAAATCACTGTGATCATCGTCATTCTTGGCACGTGGCCTGGAGAAAGAGAGGTATTCTGCATCAGCTATAACTGATCAAGCAAGCATAAAGAAGTATCAAATTCAAGCCTAAGAAATTGATCGAAGGTTGCATACTGCTTGAGATTCTGCATTTTCACGATGAATAGAAATAAGCAAACAGGCATAAAATCTGTCAGAATCTACTAAGATTCGGTAGCATCGTGTGTGGAGATTTTATTACGGGTTAATGTAGAAATCTCAGACCATTCTATTGGATTAAAATGATAATGTTTACCCTCGTAGAAGCACCTTTATATGGAAGCTTGACGGGAATACCATTTCAGTGGTAAACCAAATTTTTCAGCTTTCAATGCCTTTATTAGGTTCGTAGTATCAAAGGAATACACACACGAAACGCCAAGCATTGTGATTGGAAAAACAAAATAATACTTTAATACCTGTGCGCTTTTGAAGCCATCATTTGCATAACAAGATGCTCGTGTTTCTCCTTCCATGAAGACAGCCAATCAAAAAGCTCATTGCAGTGGCTTGCGTTGCCAATCACTTGCTCATGTTTCATTGGTGCGTACTTCTCTGTCCATAATAACGTTGAATTGACAAAGTCTTCCGTGACCGGTTGCACTTCAAAATCTTTCCTACTGTCTTGGTGATTATCAGCAGATTCTGTCGTCATGTCCTTTGAAGATGAATTAGTTGTAGATGATTCTACTGGCTCTAATATTTCTAGCGATACGTCATTTGGCATGTCGTTGCTCTCCATTGTCTCTTTTTTGCTCTCTGAGGCATTGGGTGACCTCTTTCTTTTCTTTGACAGTGGACTTGTGCAAAGATCACCTTCGCCAATCTCTTTATGCAGGGTTTCGTCCTTCCTTCTGTTTTCTTCTTTCGCCAACTTCAGTTCTTCCTTTCTTCTCCGTTGCTCTTCCCTAGCTAACCTAAGTTCTTCCCTTCTTTCCTCCTCCTCGATCATTCTTTGCTCCTCTTTTTGTTTTACACGGGAAGATCGTCTCCGCCCACTGTCACTTTCCAGTTGACCAGTTTCCTCTAAAAGTTCATTTTTTATTTCCCTTGAACGTTTGGACCTACTTAAATTAACATCATCAGATGTTTTGCCGTCTTGCTTTTCTTGCTCAGGATTCTCTTTGTCGTTGCTTTTTTCATTCCTCTCGCTTTTCTCTGTCAAGTCACTATTTTTTATATTTGAAACAGGCTCCAAGGGCTGATCCACTTCCATTACACAAGGTTTATCACCATTGGTGGCTGCAGAAGAATCGTGGTTTTCAGTCTCATTAGCATTCATACCCTCGTTATCAGGTTCTGCTTCGCAGTTTATGTTACTTCGGTGTAAGGCCATAACTGGGTCATTTGAATCTGAACCATTGGAATTGCTGTCCACAAGGTGATGAGATGATTGCTGAACAACATTTGATACGTCAATTTTCTCCAAAATAGGACACGGAAATTCCAGTTCCTTCTCTTTTATTTCCTCTGGCAACTTTCCCTCATGTTCACCTGAGTTTGAACATCCTTCGTTATCATCGGAATTTCCCTCGAGAGAAACGAGAGGACAATCCTTTTCGCGTACAACTAAATTATCATCTTGCTTCATGGCAGATTGTTTACCATCAAGTATTACATTTTCGTCAAACTTCTGTCTTTTCGATTTCTTAGTAGCAAATTGCAAAGGAGGAGTCACTGAAGCTGCATCTGCTTCGGCACAAGAAGGGTCTATTGAAGGCTCTACATCCCGTTTACGTTTTGACCTGGGAGTTATATCTTCTAGTTTTATATCAGAGGTGGCGGCTTCGTCGTTCGTACAAATGTCATGTTCACTTTCTACATCAACTTTTCTAGATTTATCTCCACTTTTAAGCAATGGGCTTTTGCCCTTATCCTGTTCACAATTTTCTTCCTCTAACTTTTCATTTTTCTTACGTTGTTTTTCCTGAGCCAAGCCCAGCCTGTCGTTTTTTTCATGATCCGTCGAAGAGAATTCTCCTGTAGTTACTTCTTTGTCATCATCTTCTGTAGTTACCTCTTTAAGTTTATCCGTGTCACAAGGCTTCTTTTCTAAAGTTCTGGCACAAATTAAGTCCCTGTCAGTTGTAAGTTCTTTGCTTTCTTCAGTAGGCGCTTCTGAAGAAACGGACTTCTTTGATGAAAAATACAACATAATTATAGCATTTCTTTTCTCACATGGTGAAAAATCCTTATCACTAACTTCATCATTCATTTCACTGTTCCGTGTTTTAGAACAGGCCACCTCACAATTAATATCTGTAGCGTTCTTAGCCTCACACATAATTTCTGTAGCACCTTTATTTTGTCCTGTTGACACAATGTCCATTGGCATATTTGTGACCTTAACACTGCCTTCCTTTTTCAAAACCCCAGCTCGGGTATTACCTTTAGGTCTCCTTCCCCTTTTTCTGGCACCAGCATCAGCTTTGCAAGCATCTTTGTCCTCGTTTGCATTCTCATTACATATCGAGCTTTCTTCAACCGTACAGCGCTCAGTAAGCTCAGCTTTCCCTAACGAATCTGGCTTACATTCTGCACTTTTACTATTTGTGACATCATCTTCCCCCTTACAGCCAACAAACACTGGCGTTGGTTTTTCCAAAGAGCAATTTAATGACTTTTGTCCAAAGAACTTTCTTATATCTAAGCCACATGGCAAACGAATTTCCTGTTTCTTTTCCACTGAAGTTTCAGCTTCACCTGATTTAACTTCATAACTTTCAACTGCTGGCAGAACTTCGATGACTGAATCATTTAGACTATGATCTGACACTGTAGCTTTTCTCTCTTCTTTTTTATGTTCAATGTCTTTTTTCTCTTTGCTGCTCATTCTTTTATCGTTGAACAACTTTCTAATATCAGCGTTTGATGGTGTGGAGCTTTTGCTGTCAACATTTTCATCTTTTTTCTCAACTTTCTCTTTCTCTTCACTATTCTGTTCCTTCTTCTTCTGTTTCTTAGGTTTCTTCCTGCTCTTCTTCTCTTCAGCTTTTTTACTGCTATCACCTTCTACATTCTCATCTTCAATATTCATATCCGTACCAGCTGGAGTATCATCGACTAAACATTTTGCGTGTTTTCGTTTCTTTTTCTTCGTCTTCTTTTTGCTGCAATAATCTTTCACCTTGTCTTGGTAATCAACTCCTGCATCAATAGTTGGTCCATCAACATTCTTCGTAGACGACAGCGTCTCATGCTTATCTTCCTTTATAGTGATTTCGAGCCGGTCCTCATCCGGATCAAAATTCGTGACACTTTCTTTATAATCCTTCTTCTCAATTTTTCTTCCTGATCGTCTTCTAGTAGAACTATCATTAGAATCGTCACCTTTCTCGTGGCCCTTCTCGTCTTTGGATTTTGAAGCCTTCTTAATATCTTCTAATTCTTTCTGTCGTGGGTGTTTTGATACTTTAGCAAACGACTGTTTTATTGTTCCGCTTAACTTTGCTTGCGGTGATTCAATCAACTCAACACTTAGATCCAAATGTGCACTTTTATTCTTCGTTCTTGTTTTATCATTTTTCTTAGATTTCTTTTCTGCTTTGTCAACCTTCGTGACAGCAACTGCTTTATCCTGTACTTGACTTTTCTTACCCTTCCTGGAACTACTATTCCTGTTCCCCTTCGACGCATTCTCAGTTATCAGCTGTTTGCAACTTGTGATATCTGCATCGCCGTCCTTTGCAGTGGGTTTCAGGGTTTTAGCTTTCTTGAACATATTTCTTATATCAACGGCAGGCGTTGTAGTACATATGGTCTCGCTCTGTGGGATAGAAACCCCAACTGGTGCAATTGGCTCAATCTTTCCTTGCTTTTCCCATATCATTTTCAGATTAGATCTCATCAGCTCAGCTTTAGCAAGACCTAGCCAAAAATTTACAAAATTAACCCTATGCATACCACAAAATTCCAGGATGTGGAAAAGCAAAATAAAGCGAAATTGGAAATAAAGAGTAATTCTTCGTGTTAAACCCCTCGAATCATCAAAATCAAATGTGAGATACAGCCCAAAAGGCGAAGGAAACCTTTGTCTACTTATGGATCAAAAACTACCATATACTATAAATAGGAACAAAAGTTGTCAATAATGTTACTGATAAAAAGAAATAGATGGAAAGACTAAAACATAGGTAGAATCGTAAAGGATTCTTGGACGGCTAAAAATCATGTATACCTCGGCCAAACTTTGAAATGGATGAAAAGACGATCACACTTAAGAATTTTGTACCTAAATAAGGAGAAATTTTAAACAGGAACTCACACTGCTGTAAAACGCTCTTTTGGCAATAAAGGTACGCCTCTAAGACCTCTAAAATTGGAAAACCTCTCTTCCTTGTCATTATTGCTCCGAGACAGACAGCTAACGACACAGATTTTGCACTGGTGACCTCCATCTTTTTAATAACAGTCTATAAAATGAATTGATAATTGTATGAACAATTTTTGAAACTATTCTGGCATTTATGATTGAAAAATAAAAAAATACATCTGACTTCAAAATCATCCAATCTTGTCATACAAGGTGACAGATATGAGGTTGGATGATACATCAATTTCAAATCTACAAACCAAATCTGAACAGGATCAAAGCAAATGCAAGACAAAAAAATAAATAAGGACAAATAAATGAATACGGAAAGTGAACAGATTGGAAAAATAATTTTTTCAGTGACTTGGATATATTAGGAATTACTGACTAAGTGTTGATCTTTTTTAAGTTTGGCACAATTGAACAACCTATAGAAATATCCAAGTAGAAAAGCATTTAATAATTGGTATAGTTTTATGGATAATATACGATTATTTACAGGTTCATTCCATGAGAAATTAAAGAATATGTTGACCCTAATATCAGACACGAGCTTTTCCTTTGCAAACAGGGGAGGACTGATAGGGTTTTCCTGCCTTAAGCCCATAAGCTGGCTACAAAAGGACTGGAACAAACAGAGCCAGGGTCCCTCTCAAAGGCCTTATGTCATCATCTAATGTGCACAGCTGGTGATTCCACCCCTGTTGTTGGAAAATAATATATTTTTTCTGCAAAAAACAGTTGAATAAAGTAGGGAAACTGTGACATTTAAAATCAGTATAGATACAAACTTTGTTCATGGTCAGCAAGCATGTCCAAATTGAAGTATCTGGTACAGGATGGTAACTGTTCATAAGTTCAGTGTCCCCTAAAAGAATTTTCCCTACTTTTGAAGCCATTGGTAAGCTTTTGTACCAAGTATTTTCAGCATCTGAGATCTGCAGAACATGACTTGTGGTTGGTAAGCATGTCTCTGATTCCAGAATAACAGTATCCTCATGTCGTACAAACTTTTGATTGGAAAATTTTGAAAGAAAGTTTGTTTTCATCACTGATGATTCTGCAAAATAACAAGCAATTTTGACTACTTATTAATTTGCATACAATTTGCAAAATACAATTTTATACCTTCTTTTCATGGGTTATAATGTAAACAGCTGAAATAACCATATTTCAGTTGGATGGCCTCTCATTTTGAGATACTTTGCTCCCTTTGTACTTCTTTTACAGAATAAATGTTATGACAAACAACAAATTAAAAATCACTTGAAGGTGTAATATTTTGGAGTTGAATGATTTCACAAAGAAAAAGTAAAAAGAAGTGAAATTATAAATGGACCTGATCTTGTAAAATTGAAAATAAAAGAGTTAATTTAAATCTAGAGATACACAAGGATAATTTTAAAGCATACCAGGAGCATTCAAGCACTTTTCAACAAGCTTGGAATCTATAATTTTAACATTCTGTTGTGTTTCTTCAGGTCCCTTTGGTATAGGTACTCTTTTGCTAGAACACATATCCAACACAGAGGTCTGGCAGCATTCCTCTGGATTGTCTCCAGTTGATGTTGAATGATTATCAATATTCTTCTGCTTGTTTTTCCTTTTTGGTTTCTTTTCGTGAGTTTCATCTGCTTTCTCCTTTGACTCACTTCTCCTAACCTTTTTAATTGTTTTCTCATGTTCATCTTCTTTATCTTCATCAGCAAATTCATCATGACAATAACTAACCTCTTTCTGTTTTACCCTCGTGCTCCTTCTTACACCAACTTCATCTATTTTACTAGATTCGCCGCATTCTCTGCTTCCACTGCTTGTTGACAATTCAACAAGAGCAGAGTTTTTTGTCATCAGTTCTCCATGTTGGTTTTCATTTTCCCCGTCAGAATCAGAATCAATTATTTTCCTTCTTTTCTTTTTAGGCTTATTTCGGTTGACACTTTTGTTTTTTATGTGAAAATTTTGTCCATCTTCATCATCTGAATTTACATCCATCTTACCTTCTGAGCAAACTTTTAATTTCATTTCATTTTCACACCCTAGACTTTGGTCAGCTTTTAGCTCTTCATTTCTGGGAATTATTCTCTCTTCAGGCTCTTTTACCCTACAGTGAATGTCTGTACTACCATTATCAGAGCTTTTTTCAATAACTACCTTGTCCTCTAAACTGTCATTTTCCTCTGCACATTCTTGAATTTGATTAACACAGGAAGAATCTGTCAGATTTTCCATTTTATTATTTTCAAGGTTGTCATCACCGCTAATTTTGATTGATTCTTGGTTACTTAAAACAGGTTTATCATTTTTTGAACATTTTGATTGCCCCTGTCTCCTTTTCTTTCTCCCTCCTTTGTACTCTTCCTTACTTTCACTATCATTTAAATCAATAGACTCGCAGGGCAATTCATTTGATTCAATTCCCTCTACTTCAATAGAACCTTTTGTAACAATATCTTCATCAATACAATTATGCAAATTATCAAAAGATTGGCCTGATTTGCTCTTTCTTTTATGCTTCTTACATTGCTTTGATTTTTCTTTTCTATCAATTTCATTTGATATACAGGTGTCTTCAATATTTATTTTAGTTGATCTTTGGGATTCACATGTTTTATTTTTATCTGACAGGATTCCAGTTTCTTTTACATTTATGCATTGTGGAAGGTTTTGTGTAACTGGTTTGAAAAACGAAAGAATTGACTGCTGTCTGTTGTCAACAATACAGCTTTCATCTTCCTGAAAATAGATTGTGAAACAAAAATTATCTAATTGCACGCCAGATCCATTAATCATTGCAATTACCATTAAATGAATGAATTTTAAACTGATAAACTTAATGATGTGTTGACCAAAATAAAAACTTTATTTTCCTAATGCAATTTCTTCTCAAATTTAGCAAAAATTAAAATAATTGAATAGAAGCTCAACACTCCATTTTACATTGATATTAGCAAAAGCAATCACAGTAGATTTTTTCTAATTATTATCAACAATGTATTATCATGTTAGATTAATGAATAATAACCAGCTTTCAATCTTTTCAATATTTTATCAGAGCAAAGTTCTTGCATAAAGCAAATTTTTCTCTCATTGAATAGATTAGTTATGCTTGATTCTCTCTTCTGAAATCTATATTTTCCTTATTAAAAACTATTTCAAATGTCCTTATAAGTCATTATTTCAAATCCTTAACCCTGGAAATTTTTAACACTTTGGGAAATTTTCTTACAGAGCCTTGTTGAGACCTGTTTACATCTGCAAATAGTGAGACTCATCAATGTTTCTATTGTTTTCAAATGCTCACAATAATTCTGTCAATTTTCACATCCATTCTAATGATGTACTTACATAAGAGAATTTAATTTTTACTCTTATCTTATGTCAACCAGCTAATTCTATTGATAGATTTTCATGAAACTCTGGTGTTCTGGGGTTCTCAGAATTCATTTGTCTCAAAATTTGTTCACTTTGAATGCTGTATGGTGGTCTTGCCATCATGATGGTCATTAGTTTTTTGTGCTTTTTTTCTGCCAGATCGGCTGTTGGGATTGGGGATTTATCCAGTGCTTTTCTTGATGAAGGGGGGTGTGGGTGGGCTCAGGGTCAGGCAGTATTCCCTGTCTAAACTTTTCATTCAGAGGAGTAGATCATATCACTATCATAGCTTTTCTTCATTTTCTCTTTTCTTCTTTTTGTTATATGAAATAAGCTTCAGCTTGTTGAAGTTTGCATTATTTGGTAGACATAGCTATATAGACATATACTGAAGTTTCTTGATTTTTTCTAATTTTTAGTACTTAATTTTTTAGGGCTTTTGCAGTTTCACATCATTCAGCATGTGGTTACATTGATAAGGATAGGGTTTGGATCAGTAAATAAGAGGTGCGAAACTGCATTAACGTCCTCATTTCTTATTGTGAGTTTCTTAGATAAAAAAATGTGCATCCACACGACCTTGTGCATTCACAATTATTTAAGAAATTAACTTACTTAAGCAGATATTAATAACAATATGTTATGGATATATAGTCTAAAGCCTTGTCTGTCAACATTAAAGAGCAGTGGCAAATCAATTCCCTAGATATCAATTTTAAATAAATACGATTCAAGGCCTACAAAGCACAAAACAACTCGATTAGGTCAGTAACTGGCGCCTTTCAGAATTCTCTGCTTGCAGTCTATAAACCTCGGTGTCTTTAACTGCAAAAGCCCTTGATGTATCAGAAATGAACACCTACCTTTGAATCACTCTGATCTAACTGACTAACATCATCCATTGCCAATTAAAACACCTTCTAGAGCAGCGAAGCAAATGTTTGCACTAGATCCATTTTGGTTCCCGCCAATTCAACAAAACCAAAGCTCTGAGATGGGCTGAAACGAGGCCGATTTAACCTCGTGTCTAACCATAAAAAATTGAAAATTCATCAAAACAAGAAGACAACATTGATTCAGGCCCGAAGCCAAGATAATATATCACCCCTTGATCAAGACGATACTAGTTGTTTAACACCCCGATAATCTAGACTTTTTCTAGTCATTCTCATGGGATAGTCATGACAATTTGAGTCTCACACTGGGGGAAGGAAAAGTGTTTACTGGGTCTCCCATGTCGGACTTAAGATAGTGCTTAAGATAGTATCTTAAGATAGATGAATGAATTTGAGCGTTACCCGAAGTAGCATCTTATTTATGCCACAGAATAGAGAATGTAATCTCTATTCTGTATTTGTGTCAATGGTTAATCGCTCATCACCATACAAAATGAATTTGAGTAAAACTTCTTTTGAAAGAAACGAGAAACCATGAGGGAGCAAAATTGCATTCACACTATTGAGAAGATCAGATCTAGGCACATTATACGAATTACAGATCAGCAGGAAATGTTCCTTGTCCTCTACCCCATCATTTGCGGGACACAAAGGGTTGAATGTATCTCTAAAGTTATGCCTCACTTTATGATAATTTAGTTTGCTCAGTCCTACCCGTAACTGAGTAAGAATAGCTAGACCTTTTGGATCATGAATACCGTATACTACATAGTTTAGGAGTGGGTCGGATAAGTTTCGATAATTTTGTTTTAAAAAAACTTGGTGGAGGTGATAACATAATCTCTGGGTCATCCTTGTCTGAGTGTGTTCCATTCAGAGAGACAGTCGGGGTAAAAGCTGGTCTTAAATCTTGTCGTTCTTATCTGCTCAACTACATACATCTGCATTACGAAAAGAATACATAGCTTGTGGTGATTGTGGAATAAGGTATCTTGTGTACTCAGGGGTACCATATGATTATTCAGTGAGGTATCTTGTCTGAAATCGCATTTTGTGGGTGGGATGTGGCCGCATATACAATTTATACAAGTCAGTTAAAGTGCTGCGGGGCAAATACTTTGAAATAAATTTTATTATTCCTATTCCGTGTCTACATTATAGTATAATTGACTGGATGTGACTGGATGTGACTGGCAAAAGACAATTTAGAATCAAGCATGATGGCAAGATGTCTATGTTCATTCATTTTGATGACTGGGATGTCATTGAATAGAAATGGTGGATGATCGGCTCAAATTTTCTTTATTGAAAAAGTCACCGCAACTGCTTGTTTAGTTGGATCAGGATTAAAAACCATGCGCCAAGTATGTGCAAACTTTTGATGATGTAAAGATCATGATCCAGGTGTGAAGCAGCCTGATCAGAATTATGAACAATGGTGAAGAGTGAGGTATCATCAGCAAACAGTTTGACATTACATTTAAGATTATCAGTCAAGTCGTTGATGTACGCAAGGAAGAAAAGTGGGTCTAAGATGGAGCCTTGAGGGACGCCGGAGGTGACTGAACTCCGTTCCGATGTTTTACCATTCAAAACTGTCCGCTGTTTTCGATTTGCAAGGAAGTCTTTGATGAGTGAAAGTAAATTTCCAGAAACACCACAACGACGAAGTTTATAAATAAGATCTTCATGCCAAACCCTATCAAATGATTTGGATTGTCAAGATAGACGGATCGAGCATCAAGGGGTGCATTGCAATCAAAGGCAGTAAGTATTGTATGAATAATAGACAGTAGTTGGTGTGTCGTGGAGTCATAGAGCAAACACTACTTTGGCAGTTCAATCAGAAAAAAATGCAGAAGTGTCTGCTGTAACAGGGTGGTCAGGGCATTTTAAAATCATAAATTATGTGAAAAACAACTTGGGGACAATATGCAAACTATATAGCTATTGTTGCTCCGTAGGTTTGTTTCCAAACTGAGCAACAATAAGTGAGTTGTGGCTCAACAACTCCTTCTTTACACCTCCTGAAGGTCACTTGAAGGCAGAAATTCCTTGGCTTAATGAGATCATACTGTTTAGCCTTAACTGGTTGAAATGGCAATCTCATTTGCGTATGTCAGCAATTTGAGCTCCCTGAAAATTTTATTGGTTATCGTATGTTAGGTTTCTACATGTCACAAAGTTTGTGAAACAAAAGCCAAGTAGACCTCTGAACAAACTAACAAGCGTAAGAAAATACCCAAAGAGTATAATCTTTGGCTTCTAGAAGAATTCAGTTCCCCAAAAACGCCAGATATTTTTTAGCTTCAGTATACCTGTAATGATGAAATTGAAAATCAACGTGAAAATCCTCAATTTTTTTTTCAAACTTTGATTGCGAAATTTTTAGAATCGTTGCATTTGGAAGTAGTTTCGAACAGATGACGAACTTTCGAGAGCGTTCGAAGTAATCACTCGAATATTAAGAGCATCGAAAACAAAATTTAGGCAGTTTCATTCTTATTGAAAGCAAAAGCTATCGGATTGATGCTGTTTTCTTGATCAGCTCAATACAGCAATGGAGGAAAATCCAAATGGGCAAAGATACGGGATTATCGACAGTCAATTGATAGAAAACGTTTCGAATATACTGGGATTTGATACAGGAAGGCTCAATAGCACTCAGAATTCAGAATATTGGAAAGCGAAGTTCGAGGAGGCCGATGGAACCCTTCAAAGCTGTGAAAAGAACAAAAAAATTGTTGAAAAGCAAAATGAAGACCTCAAGAATGAAAATAAACAAACTCAAAAAGCAGTTGATGATGCTAAAATGGCCATGGCGAAACTTTGTGCAAGAAACGAGATTCTCGAAGAGCAGTATAAGAAAAATGAAGAAGAAAGAAATGATCAATGCCAAAAGATTACTTACCTTGAGAAAGAATTGAACTTGCAGAAAGAGATTGTGGAAAAAATGGAGCGGAAACTGAACGAAAGTCAAGAGACGGTAAAAGAAGAGATTGCTTTGAGAAAAAATCTAGAAATTGTGAATGAAAAAACTAGCCTGAAAGTTGATTCACTTGAAAAGTACGTGGAAACTCTCATTGATATAAAACAGTTGTATGAAACAAGGATTCGAAATTCTGATACAGTCATTGCTAAAAAGGAAAATGAGGTAAAAGAAGTCACAGAAAAGCACTTTATACAAACTAAAAAGTTCGAAGAATTGGAACATGATGCTGAAAAATTACAAAAGGATATTCAAGATATTTACGGTAAATTCGAAAGTTGTTGCAAAGAGAGGGATACAACTGAAATGAAATTCAATGAGTTGCGTGAAGTTTATGCGACAAACAGCGATAAGTTATCAGACGAATGTTATTCCCTTAATGTTTCACTCCAAAGAGCTTACAATGACTGTGAGGTTTATTGCAAAAGAATAGAGGAGTTAGAAGGGACGCTTGAAGGATTGCATGACACAAGGTCCTTGCATACAGAAGAAATTGATATTCTGAAAACGCAAGTGAACGATAAAGACGACCAGATAAGCAAATTCAAAAAGAAAGAGACAGAACTTAAGGACAGACAGTCAGAATTGGAAATACAGAGTGATGAGCAAAAGGAAGAGATACGAAAGCTGAGAGAAATGTTTGACGTGGAGAAAGCAAAGAATGAAACTTTAGAACACATGTGTGGGCAGAAAGTCAGCGATTATGATGATTATGTTAGCAAGTTTAAAGATTTGGGCAGACGGCTTCAGATGCTTGAAACTAGATTGAAAGAGGAAAAAGAAACGCATTCGACGACATCAGAAGTTAAAGAAATGTTACTTCGTGAAAATAAGGAGTTACAACAGAAATTAAAGATACTTCAAGACGATTGTGACAATAATGAAAAGAAGGTAAATGATCTAACAAGAAGCTTGATTCTAGCGCAGGACGAAAACGCTAAGCTCAAAAAGGCAGTAGAGGAAACATCTGAGGATGCATCAAAGCAAACAAATAGCTGTCAAGAGCTGACAGCAAAGAACCAGTGTCTAAGTGCAGTGAATGAGGAAAACGAGCAAGAGATTGCTGCTTTGAAGAACCATTTGGAGAAACTAAAAAATCAATTATGGACTTTACGAGAAAGGAGCATCGAGGTGTCGGCAGCAGCTGATGTTATCGAGAAGTTCAAAGAACGATGTTATGTTTTGAATGAGGAGAAGAATGAGTTGTTGGCTGAGCTAGAGAGGCTGAAGGTCGACAGATGCAGGCTTACGAGAGTGAATGAAGAACAGAGAGAGGCGATTTGGAAGGCAAGACAGGGCCAATCTGTGTCGCAGTCACGGATAAAGGATTTGGAAACAGCTGTTTTTGAGCTAAGGGAAGGCAAAGAAATGGCACTTCAAAAAGGTACTTCAGATCGTATTTCTTTGAGTAACTCAATTAAATTGCTACAAAGCAAACATCGATCATTTGCATTTAAATCATTCTTTGCATTGGGAAAATTTTCAGTTTTTAGAAGAAAACAAGGTTTTTTATGTACTTGAAATGTTTCAATCATAGAATCGATTATCACACTGTACTGTTGCAAAACTGAACTCGGCCTAATTGAATCTGCATTGCAAATTCATCTCCAAAGTGAGAATAATTTGAACGATTTAAAAAGGATTCAAAGGGGAATCCAAGCTCAACAGTGCTTACATAAAAAACACAACGGCATACATCAGAGCTTAATAGAACGTATAAAAAAATAAGCCTGGCATAAGTCAATGAAATTAATCGAATATGAAAGTAAATAAAATTAGAACAAATACACAAATGCTCTGATTCTCTAAGTTTTTACACTGCTAAAATTATTTTGCCAGGCAGATTAAGAAGTGGGATAATCACTTAAAAACTTGAAGAATATTGAGACTGAATAGCTATTCACTGTCATTGAATCGCTAGGGCTCATAAACTACGATGATAATATGAGCATATGGTAATAGGATACTTAACTTACATTTCTACATAAGCTAAACTATCAACACTCTTTCATTCAGACGATCTCGTATTCTTCTTCTAACTAACTATCTGAACTCCATCTGCTGTGACGCTTTCACACCGTTTTACATTGATTATTCAAGTAGCACCAGTGAACTTTTTGAACAACCTATGCCAAGTTAGTCACCCTACGTTCATGCTGAGGCGAAATACTAGTTTACTTCTATTAATTCTCCATTCAAATTGCTTCGTTACTTTTTGTTATGCATTGTTTGTTTTAGCTGTTTATACTTGACTGTTTATCCACAGTTGAACAATTACAAAGGGATTTCACAGAGCATATAAAGGATTCCGAGCAAAGGTGGGAACAGAAACTCAAGGAAAAAGAAATCGAGTGCGAAAAGCAGTTGAAACGAAAAGAGGCAAACGAAATTCTGATGAGACGAATGGACGATCAACTGAAGCAGAAAGAGGTACAATTAGAAGTGAAGCGGGGTGAACTGAAGAGGATGTTGGTCCAGTGTGCAGATTTGAAGAACGATAAAATGAGGTCCGAGAAGAAAATCGGTGAGCAAACAGCTTGATGATGTTTAATTGTCTTCCCTTGCGTTGATCATCCTTGAACCACTTTCGTTGATTAAGAGCGAATTTGTAGAAAAAACAAGAACAAAAAAATCTGACAGAGAATGCAAAGAAATCGAATCGCATCGACAACTCGTCTAGAAATCGCAACTATTATTGAGGCCGAAATTTCCCCGCTTCCGAAAACCCTGATACATCTAACGAAAAATAGTTAAAATAAGCGTGTTACTCTAGCCAACCACCGATGAAAACACGACGGCCAAAAAACGGTCTTTTCATAATTTCTCGCTATACTATAAATATGCATATAGCTACAGTTATCTGATAATCGCATTAGCAGTGAAACTCGAAGGAGCAACTTAGAACCGTCCTGCTCTATACACTATATAGCGTGTATGGCTCTGCCGATACTGTACCGGGCACTTGACGACAGACCGGTAAACAGTAATTTTCATTAAATGTACACATACATATAACGGTCAGCAATAAAGTTACATGAAAATCATTTATCTCAAAGGTACTACCATACAACATGGAGCTAAATGCGAAATAAAACCGAATCTAAATTGAAATTCCAATTTATGTAAGACACTTGCTTAAAATGCCACTACAAACGACGTTTAGCTTGTCGTTTTTTCATTAATTACTTAATCACGGTTTCCATTTCTTAGAATCCTTGCAATTAACGGAGAAGACTCTTACCGGGAAAGTAGAGAAGCTGGAACCACGTCTAAGCAAATTAGAAGAAAGAGAAGGGGAGCTTATAACGATGCTCAAGCAAAAAGAAGTGGAAAATAAAAGCATTAATGAGAAATGGGAAAAACTAGCGACAGCAGGAGTTGAAGAAATCGCAAAGGCAATCTGGGATTGAGGCTGGGTGAGATTAATTTATTACTATATTTGTTACGATAGACTTTTTGTTATTCAATATTCAATTCTATAAATTTCAATACTTATGACTAAATAATTATTTCGAAAACCTGCAGTTTGGTACACATTCAGTTTTAGTAGCATGAAAAGCTTAAGTAAATAAGGCCTCATGCTTTGCTGAAAAATTGCCAATCCGCCTATTAATATATCTTGTTCTTTCATCTTAAGTTGTTGAACTTAAATTCTTGAATGATTTTTCACTGCTCCTTTTGGCATGGCAGATAAACTAAACCGTTCAGTATAAACTTTGCTTTAGCTAGCAACCAGGATCTAGAACAGCATTTGACAGTTCTTCATATTTCGAATGACAATACGGTAGCGTCTTGATCTAGCAATGTGGGCATCTTAGAGATTTCCTTACATAAATTTTCTTGCTGTTCAGCCTAGTTGGTTTTTAAGCTCAGTGAAATTATAAAATGTTGATTGAAGTTATGGTAACTAATGAACATGATAAAATTGTGGGGGGTTTTCTGTTATATACGGTTAACAAAAAACAGACTATTTACAAAAGGCACTTACCAAATCGTAACACCTGTTTTTCTTACAGGTGAATCTAGCAGCAAGACTAAACTAAATCATGCAGCATCGAGGAAAAATACTGTGGTGATATTTTCTAACATAAATAACTTTTGACCTATAAGATACATTCCAATAAATTCTTTGCTATTAACGTTCATAGTTATTGAAAAGTGTCATGTTTATAGCTGACCGTTTCTGCCTGAATCCAACTGAACATTTACGGGTGATTGGCTAACTAGCTAGCCTCTGTTTCCATTTGCTCATCGATTTCTGACATAGAGGCTTCGAGTTCAAGTGGCAGGCATGTCATATCACGCAGATTGACTAGCACAGCTGTGCTTGTAGTGCTGAAATCGGGCACTGAGATGAGAAGTACTGATTGCCCGCTGTCACCTTAGAAAACGAAAGAAAACTGATGTCTCGGGGAATAAAAAAGATTTGGATATCAAGAACAATAACCAAGGTAAACACTGAAAATACAAAATATTATGTGAAGTGTTATATTATTCGATAATTTTGATCATAGGGTATCAAAACCTCGTTTGGTCCTCAAAACTTCCTGCTCTGGTTTTACAATTTCAAGGATTATATAGCTTCACAAAGCGATTCCTTAATTACGTTATATCAGCATGTACTACTCGTTGCTTGAGACACTTGTAGCAGAAGACTCTCTTCAAACGGCAATTACTCTGGTTATTGAGTTACAATGCTTGCCAAAGTAACAGAACACCATCAACATCCCCGTTAGCTGCTTCCCCTGTTCTTTTTCAAACAACTTTGCATCAATCTCCATAACAAGCAACAATCTACCGTAATTTTTCTATATGAAACCATAACAGCCGAGGAGCATTTCCATCCGTTTTAGAGGGTATGGGGCAACTCGGCCGTTTTTTAGGGGTGAACTGAAAATAGATCAAGAGTTGACTGAAACTGTTTGGGTGTTCTAAGCCCTTTTGGCAAGCATTGTAAACTGGTGACTAGAAACTTACTACAAGGAATTAGCTTTATATCAAACTGAAAAAATCACACCTTCTTATTCACAAATATATACATTCCCGTACAACCATTGCACTAATGAGATCCAGAATTTATAGCTAAATATCATAAGCTGCTACATACCTTTGACAGTTTTTGTGACAAAAGAAGGTTGGTTCCCGGCAAAGTATACCTGGGGGCAGTCACGCAAGACAAAGGGATCTTCTGTGTAATAAGGGTAGCAGCCTGGTGAGAAGGAAAATTAAGAAAATTAGCAAATAAACATAATAATTCAGGAAGAAAAATTGTGCCGGTGTCATATGCGTTTCGGTAACCTTATGCATTTCGGTCCAGGTACACAAACGCATGACAAATTTGGTTATGGTAAAACGTACCCAAGCATTTAAACAATAGGGTACCAAAACGAATGTTGGAATTTAGCATCCCACCCGGTCCGGGTACACAAATGTTCTGGTTCATATTGTTCAGAATGTAAAGAACAATCAAACTATTTTTAAAAACGGGGGTGCTAATAAGAAGCAATTATGTGATTTCCTTTGTTAGATTTATGCAAAAAGTACAACATTAATGGCGACTCCAAACTTTGCGTGATTGAAAAGTGTGAAATATTAAACTCTTAAAAATGTGTCAAAACATCACACAATGATGAAGTCACATGATCTGAAACACATAGCGCTTCACAATGTTACACTTCTGCATAGGATACCAAAACGCATATTACACTGGCAATGATAAAACACGTTCATTGACAGATAAAAGTATCCCTGTTTTCTTGTTGGTGGCTTGAGGGAGACAAATTAGCCAGGAAAATTAGCTACTGGCTATAGTTGAGAATTGAAATTTTCTCAAGTAACGGCAGCATCGCATCAGTAGTATTTTTTAAAAGCAAAAACCAAGCACATTGCAACAAAAGCCACATACTCAGAGTATCAGGACATGTTGGACATAAGTGTCCACATCTCAAAGTGAATTCAAGAATCTCCATTCGATCTTCGTAGCTTGAGAACTGATATATATTTTGAATATTTTGTCCAGAAGTGCCAAGGAACCTGCGTTGAAAGAAAGTCAAAATCATGATTGGAGGAGAGGAGCAGGTGAAATTTCGTGAAGCTCTTAGAGTTTCTATGTTAAGGGAAGCACTTGTGACAAGGGAGCCTTTATCTTTCATGACCATAGGTAGATGTGAAAATCTGGAAATATTTATTTTGGCAGCAATATATCGGGAATTTATAATTCGTAGCAGGGAAGCCTTTATCTTTCATGCCATGGATAGATGTAAAAATCTGGAAATTATTATTTTGGCAATAATTTATTGGGGATTCACCATTATATTGAGCACAAAGAATTATCTAGCTTAAAGAAAGGCAAGTATTGGAAATTTACTCGCGATGTAGAATCCTACATCAAATCATCTCATCAAATCAAAAAAGAAAATAACGCAATGAAACCCTCCATTATATAGTACCTCCAAATAAAGGACAACACAAATCAGCTGACAAGTAACGTTCCACTCAAAACATTCAGACAAAGGATACCTACTTATAATGGGAAGTCCCACCTTACAATTGACAGTAACTTGGCCTCATATGTTGCACCTAATTGGAGACTCTACTCTACTTTTCCAGCTTTATAAGGATCAAAGTTGAAGATCCGAAAGGCAGAACCCAGAAAAGCATTTCTAGCTATTCACAGCAGCTAAGCCATTCCCATTAGGTTTTCCTCAAGTACAAAAGGTAATTCACTAAGATCAACTCTTCCAACGTTCTTTGTCTTCAATCATTGAAATCTTAGCTCTAGTTCGGATTCCAGACGAAAATTAGAAGACGTCTGAAGTATGCTTTTTGGTAGGAATGAACAAGATTGATTCTTGTAACGCAGTTATTGTTGGCTATCTAGAGACACGAAAAAATACCAAAGACATACCTCACGCCGCCAATAGAGGCCTCATAAGGGTTACTCATACTTTTGACTGTAGGGTAAGACAAGGCCTTCGGGAACATGCATTTATGCAGTGGCTGCTGGGGCATGAAATGATTCGCTGGGTCATATTCACCAGGCATAATGTCCACTGGAACGCTTGCCTTTTGAAAGCAAACAAAAAACAATTGGTATGTAACAACACAAGGTGAAAACAAGCATTCCAAGGATTAGATCATGCTTATTTTGAGCAATTGATTGTAATTTCAGGCTCCATGCTGCAGTGCATTTGCTATCTTTCCCAGTCAATAACAGAGGGCCGAAGTAACCTTAAATGTCATATAAGTTGACACAGTTCTAGTATTTCAGCAACAAAGCTAACTTGTCGCAAGACAAAAACAAAAACATGAAAATATAGCTCTTACACCGAGTTGCACAAGAATGTCATCAAGGTATCTCATTGGCTCAACACTGCTTGCCTTAATGTTCCGGGATATGTACTTGGCCTAGCAAAAAACAATTTGAAAGCTGTTATTATTTGGTTAGCTAATAAAAGAAGACATTGGACTTGAGGACAAAAACAGTTTAACAAGTAATTCTTAAAACATATACTACATTGCAATTAAAATAACAAACTAAGAGCGGGACCTAGAAATATTAACACAGCTAATCTTTCAGGATTAATCAGAGTTGAAAAGCTGTTAGTTTTATCATTGAACCTAACTTAAAGAGAATTAAGACTTGTTTACAACTGACGAAATTATGAAAATAGTGCTGAAGGAACAAAGATTCATAAAAAGAGCAAAAAATCATTATTTTAAATATCTTTTCAATAATAACAGGTTAGTGCATAGAAGTATATAAAAAGCCAATTACATACTATTTTTTCACTATCTTTTGATTGTGTTGATTTGCTTAAACAGTTGCCGGCAATGATAACTCGCACAACTTTTGCAAAATCGTTTTGATCCTGCAAAAGATGAAACCAAATCTAAATAGTATGTATGCCAAGCAGCAAAGGCATGTCCTTATAGCAAATAGTAAATACTGGAAGTTCTAGTTTGATGTTGTTATTGAAGACATATTATCAAGATAAAATAAAGCAATATCATAAGCACAAGTGATAAGCTACAAATTTTATGAACCATGTATTCTTTCAATTTAGTTTTACTTTATATATGGCAATGTAAGACAAAGAAGATGGAAAATTTTTACAGTTGATAATCTTAGTAAAAAGTTGTTGCACAATCTGAATCAGTTCTTTTTTAAGTACAAGCGTAATATACAGTTTATAAATACCTCTACACTGCCAAGCTGCCCAGTTATCAAGTCTACAAACATTTGAAGTGCAAGTTGGTTATGCTCCTCTGATCCGATGCCCAAACCGGATATAAGTGCAACATACCTACAAAACAAATAGCCAGTAATAATTTATCATTTAAAAGTGGTATAAAAATGTTTCAAAAGATACCGTACAAGATATTCGAGGCAAGGATACCGATGAACAATGACAGAAATTGTGATTCTTGCGTGACAGGGCATATTGATTCATCCCCTGCTCAAAAAATCCATACTTTGTCACAGCATAACACAAAAATAAAAACACATGTGCAGTAGAACATCTAAAGTCAGTCATATGCAGGGATTTTTACACATTGACCAATATGATCTGTGCAGGGACTGCTAGTTCCCTGGCTTTTCACCCCAGCAATAGGCTAAGATATTCATAAATATCACAATGGTGAATTCTTGAAGATGAGCTGCAAAAGCATTTTGAAAAATTTATGAACCTGTCTTCTCCCTTTGTCAAGGCCAGATCCAAGTCTGGTTGAGGTTGAAAAGGCAGCTCACTATAACAATAATCTTCAACAAAAAATTTTCCTCCATCAATTTCATGTCCCAAAACAGCTATGATTGTCCCTGAAAAAAACCAATTTTCTTTTATCACAATTGCTGGGTAGAGAAGCCTTTCGCAAAATATGTTGGATTCAGAAGCAAAAGGAGACAAACCACAAAGAAAGAGTTCAAATAACATGTTAAACTCTTCTTCCATAAAATAACTTACAGATTAGCATTTTGCTACCTAAATTTTCCACTCCTACAGTTCGAGGATGCTGACTTTTAGACAGGAGTTAGGAAACTTTCTTTTGAATGATTACAAACAACATTTTTAGTACATGTGCCAAGAACACATGTCTCAGTCAAAACTGGGTTTCTACCAGACTTGCTAAAATTGAAGAATAGAAAACTTTTATTGATAGGATTTACAAAGTTCAAAGAATAGAATAAACAACAGAAATTTTTTTTAAAGGTTTCAGAGACTGAAGCAAGCCTCAGAAAACCATACCTTCATAATATAGAACTGCAGTTAATGCCTTTTAGTTGCTGATAACATCCGAGTGTCCCTAAACCCTTAGCAGCCCTACAGCCCTTGAAAATTTAGAAATCTGTTTTTAAAACAACAGCTAGGTGATCACCCCCAGCAGCTTGTAGGGGATGCTATATTGTGTGAATGTAAAGGGGTAGTTGCCCCCTTGACCTCACAAAATTGTTCAATTTTCTTTATTTTCCCAATTGTCCTGCTGTTATTGTCCCATTGTTTCCCATTGTCCCTTCTTATTGAGAGTTGCCTCTTGCCCTGCAGCTATTTTGGCATTTCTAGGTATCAGTAATTCCCCATGAATAAGGTATAAGGAATAATTTCGACTCCACCTTACCTACATTTTAGGGATTTAGGACCAGCTAATGAGGAGGCTTGAGATAGCCAAACACCCGCATGATATATAGTTTGCTTTTGATTATCATTAGCAACTAGTCACACATTTTCCTTTTCCTGTATAAAAACATATAAATTCAATAGAGTAGATAAAGGAACTATAAAAATTCAATATAAGGTGTATCTTCACCTGTTACACAAGTCTGAATTGGAATATCGCCAGTAAGAGATACTCGCTGAGATTCATCTTCAATAATCAGTTCATCAGTTTCATCAATATATTTTTCTCGTGGTGGCAGTGGCATGAGGTTGTGCTTGAAAGTAACAATAATTTCAATAAAAATGAGAAAAATATCAAAATTCTATAACCTAGAAGTGAGTCTCCAAAAAACCTAAAAAATTCTTCCAGACAGCCTTAATAAATTTAGACAAAATTTTGTTTTAAATAAAATCTGAAGGATTTTAAAAACATTTTTTGCCAATTAGGAGAAGAAAAAATACTTATTCTGTATTTGACAAGAATAATGGTAAAGGACAATACTTCCAATACATCTAGAGATCAAAAACAAAAATTTGTGTTAAAAATGAGAAAAAGTTGCCATTAAAACAACCTGATGACAAATTAAAGATATGAAAGTAGTTGGGGCCCTGGTCTAGAGATACATACAATGACGCATGTGCATGCCTAAAAGCCCCTAAAGACCATTATACCAGCAGAAAATGGCAAGTGTAAATGTTGAAATGCAGTATTTCACTTCTAAAGTATAATCTTAATAGCTTTGTCAAAACAAAGAAGATCTAATTAAATTTCCTATTGAGTTTTCAACTCAAAAGGAACCTTCATATAGTTGTAAAAGTTTTGAAAATGTTGGTACCTTATCAAATAAGAGAGTGAAGGAGAAAAAGATTATTTGAATCGGGATATTGCCATACCTCTCGGCTAATCTCATTTAGAATACTAGGTTCCAGATCCATCTTTTTGAACAATGTACCAACTACACAACATGTTTCTTCTATTTGCAGGTCAGAAAGTTTTTTTATAACTGCTGACTTACCTGCAAGTAAAGAAAATGACAAATTTACTAGAGAATGGAGACCAAAGTTACAAATTTACTAGAGAAAAATAGTCAGACAATGAAGGATACTAAGGCTTTAGTTAACTAGGACAGGAATAGAAACTCTTTGATTAAACTTAGACAACTTGAATTTTGAATTTTTTTGAATTTTTGTCTTGCAAGATGATGTGGCATTTAGGCAGGCCTCTCAGTTCGAGGCGCGTGATTGTGAGCCCATGCTTTGGAATGTGCCCAAGCGAGACAAGCTGTGCATTTTGCCACACACCTGCTTCTCAAAAAGCAGTGATTTCCAGTCCTGGTAATATGAAATTTGGCGGCATGCTGGTAATCGCACGCCTTGAAAAGTTTAGGCGTGCTATGGCATGCGATGACGTGTGCGATCAATAAAATGGAGACCTTACAATTTTTATGAAGACCTGGTGTCATCTTTGTATTAGAATGTGTGTATCACTGCTTGAAAAAGCGTATGAGGTTTTCGTAAAACCAAAAAGGTTTTATGGAATTTTAGAAGAAGTTTCTTGAAAACAAAATAATTTAACAAAAAGGATACAAGTTTTTTAGGCTCTGTAGCCATTACTCCGTTTCCGGAATCATTTGAATATGCATCGTTTTATTGGGAACAGCGAAGACAGAGGCATCCAAAAATGGAGTCATTCAATCTCAGTTTCAAAAAGAGCTCGAGCTAAGGATATGCTAACCGACAAATATGGAGTAATGGAAACACCCGTGTTATCGTTTTGACCAAAACAGAGTGGCCCGGGGCAATGTGTTCAAGAAAATAAGAAAAGAATGGAGAGAGAGAACGGAGACAGAGTAACGGAATAACGGAATAACGGAGTAATGGAAACCGGGTCTAATGGAAACAAAGTAAAGAGTTAAAATGCCTCCAGGAATGCCATCAATATAACCCACACAAAAGAAATTAAAAGAAACAAAAGAGAAAAAGAATAGTAATTCAAAATGTGGAACTGCGCATGCAATAGCAGGCATGCCTCGGGAGTTCTAGGTGTGTGTGGAGGCGTGCGCGTGCAATCGCACGCCTAATATTACCAGGACTGGATATCACACACCTAAACTGTGTGTATTTAAGATTACTTCCTTTAAAAATATTGTCTCGTTGCTCCGAAAATGATTTTTAAAGTAAGACATTCAGGGAATCCCATTACATGATATTAATTTTAATGTTAAAAAATGGAAAACTGTTTGAGGCAGTCAAGTGTGATGAAAGAACTACTCTGAAATCGCATAACCACTGTTTTCATTACAAGAAGTAATGGCTTAAAATTTGTGGCTTAAAAACTTATCAATATAGTCTAGCTATGCTTGTTCAATACAGTTCATGTTGGGATCAAAATAATAAAGTTTTTTTTGAGAGTGTCTATAACACTTGAAAGTTATTGAGTTATATAATTCTTTGGCACCACAAAGGTTAAGTATCAAACGGAAAAGTTGTAACATCAATAGTACTGATATTACCGCTTTTTAGTGCGATTTAACGAGTTATGAATTGCTTGCCTTTATAAAAATATTGCTTTAAGGCGCACATACAGTCAGCCACATGCCCACGAAAATCTTCATGGAGAGGCCTGTTTAGGCTGCGCAAGAAAACAAGGCTTCTTGATTGAAAAAACATAATGATTTAATCTACATGTCAATGTCGAACTTCCCTTATATAAAGTACCAAACTAGAAGGCATTGTAGCCACTCAGCCGTGCAAAAGCGGGAACACTTTTAAGAGGAAAAAAAGGATCTTGAATACCTTGAAAAAAAATCTTGAAATTTTTAGGCATTCACAAGTAATCTTTAATGCAACTCAAGTGGTCTGCTAAGTTTTCTTCAACCCAATCTGACTGGACAGTGTCTACTTTCAAGAGATCATGAGCATACACTAGTAGGTTAGTACAATTTTGTGTTTGCAATTTTTGTTTAAATTCTATGTATGAAATGCAAAAAATACAAATTTTAATGTTTTTTCTGTGGGTCTTGAGCATTCAAGAGTATATGAACAAGATAAAGCACAATAACACTTATCAGGGCCCAGGTTAGAAAAAATTAATGATATTGCTAATGTGTCACTGTGACCAGTGGTACATTATCAGCTGTGACCTGTGGGCAGAGGCATTGGAGCTGTGAGCAAGGATGCATATATATATACGTTACTATAGTATACAGGCACCAGACTGGAAACTTTATTGCGTACCCGCGATATATTGCCCGTGCATTTTGGCCGTGCAAAGTCCTTACTTTAATACATTTCACATTAATAAATTTCTTAAAAGTACAGCCACAGCCAAACTTCACAATATTTTGTGTCACAAGAGGTCTGAGGTGTGAGCACAAGAATGTCAGCGTATCTCCAAGCATATGCCGGTCTGCAGAGTATGGCACTTTTCGACGAGATCTCCGGTGTGCACGAGCAAAAAGCCTGGTGTGCCGGTGTGCACCACCAAAAATGTCTGGTGTGCTGGTGTGCACCGACTATTTTCCCCTGTTGTGGTTAAAATTTGTGAATTTGCATTTCACCGTAAAAATGCGTGTGAAGTATACTGTTGAAGATAGCGCAAGTTTCTATTTGTATATTTGTCAAGTAAGATTCATGATACCTCAAATTGTTCATACAAAACTGTGCTTGTTTTTATCAGCTGACATTTTCTATGGGACTACACCAAGCCACACCCATCTTAGTTGCCACACCCAAAAATACCCGGTGTGCAACAGATTTTGCACAAAAATATCTCCGGTGTGCACATGCCATACTCTGCAGACTGGAGCATATGCAAGTTTACAAGCCTAGTATCTACAGCTTTATCTAAAAAATTGAACAAAGGAAATACTATTAGATATTTTGGATATTTTGCAGGCTGGTCTAGAGAACTTTTACAACTTGAAAGAAGACCTGAAGTCAATATATTGATATAACAAACCACGTCTAAATCCAAAGTTGTCAGGTTAAAAAACTTGCACGATAGCACAGATTTATTTGAGCTCAATACGTCAAAAAAAGATTTTTTCCTGTGAAACAAACTCAATCAACGATCTAGAGAGTTTTATGAAGCACAATCGTAAATTAAATTTATGCTTACCCCATTTTTTCTTAACGGTCACAGCAAGATTCTTCTTCATTGCCATTAGTCTAACTGCATAGATTTGCGAGTACTGAAGATCGAATTTTCGACCTTTCATCACAAATCGGTCCGAATGGCTTTTGTAGGAACAAACACATCTTTGCACCTTTGCCTCCATTATTGATTTCCCGCTGAAAGTGAAAACCTCGTTTTCAAAAAATGAATTTCGAATTGAATTGCGCCTTCGCTGCGATTATTTTTATGCTCAAAACAGACGTTGATGGCGAACAGTAAGGAGAGAGTAAATAATGAACAATTAATCCAATAACCTGTTAATTTAACAGATTTAGTATGCCAATATTTAAAAGACCTAGTTTTAAAGGAAATCGAAAGATTCCTGAACGGCGTGTAGATGCAGGTGCTACCAACAATCAACTTCTTGACAGGCAAAGCTTGGATCCTGGCGTCGATTATGAACAAAATCCAGTGAAACTGAATCTTGGTGGCAGAAATTTCGTTTTCTCAGAAGGCGATTGGGTTTGTGAAGGTAAGGCAAAGCCCAAAACAAAGTCTTATAGTTATATGAAGACATAAATGTGTATGTTACAATTCTGATTCTGATCTTGAAGTCAAATTAGTGCCATTTGCTTAGGCTGTTCTTTTTGAGGGAGAGCTTTGTTTCTAATGTTGGAAGGGACCTGTTGTTTAGATGTACCTTTTGCTTCCCTATCTTTTTCCAAATAGATTGAAGTTCGTGACTATCATAACAAAAACCACTCGACAGGCCAAAAATTTTATTGCAAAAAAATGCAAAATCGCTGTTACAAAAATAAACCAACTAACCCCCTTGTAAGTTTTTCAGGGTTCTGTGAATACGAAAAGGGCAAATGAATGAATATTTAAGTGGAGCAATTTCTACTTCATGTTTTGTTTAGGAGGGCAATTAACAGCTCGGTTCAGGTTCCAAGGGGAGTGTGGGTTACCAACTGATTCAAGTGTCATCGTGTGAACAGAAGGTCTATCTGATATGAAAAGTGATTCGATACCAAATGAATCTGGTATTATGTGGCAATAATAATGGCTGTATTCTTTGTAACCTATCACCCATGCCATTTGCAGGCAGTTATAGATCTTAGTAAAAATTCTCTAATTGGACACAATCACTTTTAATGTTTGTTTGCTGCCTTACAGTAGAGCAGTTCATTACTAATGTTAGTTTTTACCAATAACTGAATGTGGTTTTTTTGGCAGAGGGAAGTGACTCAGATGTGGCCACTATTCAAAGCAACAAAGAAATTCAAAGACTGAGAAAGACTGTCAAAGATTTTAGAGAGGAAAATAACTTATTGAAATATAAAATAGAGCTCTTACTGGATATGGTAATAGTTTCTTCTTTTTAAGCATAATATCAAATTTGATTTATCATTTCTCAAGTAAGTTGGATCTTTATGACAAAGCATATAACAGTTTTGTGATTGTTTTGTAATATCACTACAATAAGTTAAACTAATTTTTTGGATTGGTATTGTAGAGACTTTCAGAAGGTTTTTTCTAGTTCTGCCAATAGGTTATAGGTCAAGAATACTAAAGTTGAAACCCGCATAAAAGAACCCAGGTTTTTTTCTGGCAGCCTGAATAATTAACTGGTTCTTAATTAACAGGCTGCTATTCGAAATTCCAGTCTAAAAGGTTCTTAACAAGGTTTTTATATACGTACAGGCCTTGCACACATTAACAATGTTTTCCACCATAAGAATTCTAATGGACACACTTAAACCAGCTTTGTTTTTCATGTTGAATTTCAAACAATAAAATGAATTTGTGTTGTTAGGTTGTCCAATTAGAATCCAACATAGCTACCATAACCTGATTTACTCTAAGCTGGTTTAATTTGCCAGTGTGAATAGGGTGTAAAAATACAATTCTAAAAATCCTTTTTCTTATATATAAGAACCTTTTCCAATTTTCAGCTTCTTGGGGGTTCTTATTAAAGGGGTTAAAAAGATTGAATTTAAGCCTGAAGGTTCTTATAAAAACATGTTCTTTTATGCGGGCTTATACTGTATCCTAGATGTGTTTTGTGGGTAGGAGAGATATATATGCCATAACTTCTCATATCTAAATTTTTTATATTTCTTTTGATTTAAATTTCTTCGATTTTCAAATCTGAGATCACTAATGTTGGACATGGTTTTTTGGATCTCAGTTAACAGACTATTTTGTACGGTAATAAGAGTGTTATCCTGGTAGAGAAAATAACTGGATAAGTAATTTATATTTAGTAATTTATATTTAGTTATTCATTTTGACACAAAAAGCAGCTTTAAGTATAATAGTTTTGCCATTTTTATGTAGTTCAACATATTCTTTACCACTGACACTAAAGCTTTCCTCTACTGAATCTAGATAATTCATACCTGTATTTGTGCAACTTTTATTCTAAATTGTCCCTGATACTATCTTCAATTATTTGTTAAGGTTGCTGTTAGTAATTCCGATCTGGATGCCATGCAAAATGAGCTTGAAAAGCTCAGAGAGTTCAAGGAAAAGACTGAATCAAAAGGAAATTCAAAGTCAGGAAAGAAATAGTGGTAGTGCTTGAAATGACTTTTCTGGAATTCTGGAAGGCCAAGTCTTTAGTGGCTTCACTGAGATGAGTTAAGGCGAAAGCTTTCACAATATTCAAAGTTTTGCCTTCTGTTAGATTCCCATACCGCAGCCGATTGTAATCCTCTATACACGTTTTTTGTTTTGCCATTTTGTATATACATTTTTGTTTGCATTACATTTAAAATATAATAACATAAATACTTTATGATAATTGTGTGTATATGCTATTTTGGCATGAATTATCCATGCTCTGTAGAAGGGTATTAAAAAGACCTTATCAGTTTTTGTTTTGTCATTTAAATACCTAGATCGTCATCCCTGCCAAGTCTCTTCTAAAAGAAGGTTTTGTTGGTATTTCATCATCTATCAGAATCAGAAAACAAAGATAGAACCTAGAAATTCCCTCTGTCATGTAAGCCTCCCTCCAGTATGCCCCCACCTTATATCACTGTAAAAGTTGCTAAGAACCCCCTAACTTGCTAATTTCATAAATACATGATTTAGCCCTTGGTAGATCACATATTCATTGACAACTGAAAAGCTAAAATAGAAAAAAAATCAAAAAAACAATTTTGTTGCAATTAATTTATGTGATTACCAGATCATATTGTTTCCTCCAAGTAGATATTGACATTAAAACATTCTAAAAAGAGTAAGAGCTACTTTGGTGATTTTTATATAACTTTTTTAAGCTCCGCCTAGTTTAACCCTGCTTGAATTAACCTCATTCAAGAACCTCTCAAATCAATTAGTCCATTTGTGGGTAATTTGAGGATTTACATTAATTGCAAAGCAGGGACATGAGTAAATTGTAGATTCAAGTTTATATTGTATATAAATTCATTTTTAAATATTGCATCTGGCAACTTAGCTTCAATCTATTTTAATGCAGATTGACTCCCAAATATACTTAACAATCAGATTATACCTTATGAATCACTTCAAATTTTATTTTAGCAACATTGTTTTTAGAGAAAGGTTCCCAATTTGTTAGCAGTGTTTGCCTTCTGGAGGAAAATTTGACACTTTGCTTGACTGTCCTTCCTTCTAATTGCCAATTTTGATTTGCCTTTCCCTCTATTTGGCATCATTCTCCTTGTTAAACATACACCCCCCCCCCTCCCGTAATCCTCTAGATGCATTCTCAATACAGCCATCGGAGTCAAGTAGAAAAAAAATGATCGAATCACTAGTTTTATATAGCTGGTTCATATTTTTTATTTTTGCAAATTATTGCATAAAACATTCAATGCGTTGTTTTTAAGCTGTATAGCTTTTTTTTAAAGAAATCTATGAGCAGCTCCATGCATAGTGGCTGCTTTTATTATTAAATCATGTTACGAGCTATTTTTCAATAGTATTGTTACGCATACTTATTTGCTAATTTTTAATGACGGAATTTTGAGATTTCAATCTAATCTTAATGGTTGGTTTACCTATGTTGAACATTTATTGTTTGTAAATGTGAGTTAATTTCTTATACAAGCTGACTCTTTGCTTCACATGAGACGATGTTTGTGTCTTTCTTTTTTTTTGCAAATTCTCTAAGCAATATAAAATAGAGCTCTTACTGGATATGGTAATAGTTTCTTCTTTTTAAGCATAATATCAAATTTGATTTATCATTTCTCAAGTAAGTTGGATCTTTATGACAAAGCATATAACAGTTTTGTGATTGTTTTGTAATATCACTACAATAAGTTAAACTAATTTTTTGGATTGGTATTGTAGAGACTTTCAGAAGGTTTTTTCTAGTTCTGCCAATAGGTTATAGGTCAAGAATACTAAAGTTGAAACCCGCATAAAAGAACCCAGGTTTTTTTCTGGCAGCCTGAATAATTAACTGGTTCTTAATTAACAGGCTGCTATTCGAAATTCCAGTCTAAAAGGTTCTTAACAAGGTTTTTATATACGTACAGGCCTTGCACACATTAACAATGTTTTCCACCATAAGAATTCTAATGGACACACTTAAACCAGCTTTGTTTTTCATGTTGAATTTCAAACAATAAAATGAATTTGTGTTGTTAGGTTGTCCAATTAGAATCCAACATAGCTACCATAACCTGATTTACTCTAAGCTGGTTTAATTTGCCAGTGTGAATAGGGTGTAAAAATACAATTCTAAAAATCCTTTTTCTTATATATAAGAACCTTTTCCAATTTTCAGCTTCTTGGGGGTTCTTATTAAAGGGGTTAAAAAGATTGAATTTAAGCCTGAAGGTTCTTATAAAAACATGTTCTTTTATGCGGGCTTATACTGTATCCTAGATGTGTTTTGTGGGTAGGAGAGATATATATGCCATAACTTCTCATATCTAAATTTTTTATATTTCTTTTGATTTAAATTTCTTCGATTTTCAAATCTGAGATCACTAATGTTGGACATGGTTTTTTGGATCTCAGTTAACAGACTATTTTGTACGGTAATAAGAGTGTTATCCTGGTAGAGAAAATAACTGGATAAGTAATTTATATTTAGTAATTTATATTTAGTTATTCATTTTGACACAAAAAGCAGCTTTAAGTATAATAGTTTTGCCATTTTTATGTAGTTCAACATATTCTTTACCACTGACACTAAAGCTTTCCTCTACTGAATCTAGATAATTCATACCTGTATTTGTGCAACTTTTATTCTAAATTGTCCCTGATACTATCTTCAATTATTTGTTAAGGTTGCTGTTAGTAATTCCGATCTGGATGCCATGCAAAATGAGCTTGAAAAGCTCAGAGAGTTCAAGGAAAAGACTGAATCAAAAGGAAATTCAAAGTCAGGAAAGAAATAGTGGTAGTGCTTGAAATGACTTTTCTGGAATTCTGGAAGGCCAAGTCTTTAGTGGCTTCACTGAGATGAGTTAAGGCGAAAGCTTTCACAATATTCAAAGTTTTGCCTTCTGTTAGATTCCCATACCGCAGCCGATTGTAATCCTCTATACACGTTTTTTGTTTTGCCATTTTGTATATACATTTTTGTTTGCATTACATTTAAAATATAATAACATAAATACTTTATGATAATTGTGTGTATATGCTATTTTGGCATGAATTATCCATGCTCTGTAGAAGGGTATTAAAAAGACCTTATCAGTTTTTGTTTTGTCATTTAAATACCTAGATCGTCATCCCTGCCAAGTCTCTTCTAAAAGAAGGTTTTGTTGGTATTTCATCATCTATCAGAATCAGAAAACAAAGATAGAACCTAGAAATTCCCTCTGTCATGTAAGCCTCCCTCCAGTATGCCCCCACCTTATATCACTGTAAAAGTTGCTAAGAACCCCCTAACTTGCTAATTTCATAAATACATGATTTAGCCCTTGGTAGATCACATATTCATTGACAACTGAAAAGCTAAAATAGAAAAAAAATCAAAAAAACAATTTTGTTGCAATTAATTTATGTGATTACCAGATCATATTGTTTCCTCCAAGTAGATATTGACATTAAAACATTCTAAAAAGAGTAAGAGCTACTTTGGTGATTTTTATATAACTTTTTTAAGCTCCGCCTAGTTTAACCCTGCTTGAATTAACCTCATTCAAGAACCTCTCAAATCAATTAGTCCATTTGTGGGTAATTTGAGGATTTACATTAATTGCAAAGCAGGGACATGAGTAAATTGTAGATTCAAGTTTATATTGTATATAAATTCATTTTTAAATATTGCATCTGGCAACTTAGCTTCAATCTATTTTAATGCAGATTGACTCCCAAATATACTTAACAATCAGATTATACCTTATGAATCACTTCAAATTTTATTTTAGCAACATTGTTTTTAGAGAAAGGTTCCCAATTTGTTAGCAGTGTTTGCCTTCTGGAGGAAAATTTGACACTTTGCTTGACTGTCCTTCCTTCTAATTGCCAATTTTGATTTGCCTTTCCCTCTATTTGGCATCATTCTCCTTGTTAAACATACACCCCCCCCCTCCCGTAATCCTCTAGATGCATTCTCAATACAGCCATCGGAGTCAAGTAGAAAAAAAATGATCGAATCACTAGTTTTATATAGCTGGTTCATATTTTTTATTTTTGCAAATTATTGCATAAAACATTCAATGCGTTGTTTTTAAGCTGTATAGCTTTTTTTTAAAGAAATCTATGAGCAGCTCCATGCATAGTGGCTGCTTTTATTATTAAATCATGTTACGAGCTATTTTTCAATAGTATTGTTACGCATACTTATTTGCTAATTTTTAATGACGGAATTTTGAGATTTCAATCTAATCTTAATGGTTGGTTTACCTATGTTGAACATTTATTGTTTGTAAATGTGAGTTAATTTCTTATACAAGCTGACTCTTTGCTTCACATGAGACGATGTTTGTGTCTTTCTTTTTTTTTGCAAATTCTCTAAGCAATATAAAATAGAGCTCTTACTGGATATGGTAATAGTTTCTTCTTTTTAAGCATAATATCAAATTTGATTTATCATTTCTCAAGTAAGTTGGATCTTTATGACAAAGCATATAACAGTTTTGTGATTGTTTTGTAATATCACTACAATAAGTTAAACTAATTTTTTGGATTGGTATTGTAGAGACTTTCAGAAGGTTTTTTCTAGTTCTGCCAATAGGTTATAGGTCAAGAATACTAAAGTTGAAACCCGCATAAAAGAACCCAGGTTTTTTTCTGGCAGCCTGAATAATTAACTGGTTCTTAATTAACAGGCTGCTATTCGAAATTCCAGTCTAAAAGGTTCTTAACAAGGTTTTTATATACGTACAGGCCTTGCACACATTAACAATGTTTTCCACCATAAGAATTCTAATGGACACACTTAAACCAGCTTTGTTTTTCATGTTGAATTTCAAACAATAAAATGAATTTGTGTTGTTAGGTTGTCCAATTAGAATCCAACATAGCTACCATAACCTGATTTACTCTAAGCTGGTTTAATTTGCCAGTGTGAATAGGGTGTAAAAATACAATTCTAAAAATCCTTTTTCTTATATATAAGAACCTTTTCCAATTTTCAGCTTCTTGGGGGTTCTTATTAAAGGGGTTAAAAAGATTGAATTTAAGCCTGAAGGTTCTTATAAAAACATGTTCTTTTATGCGGGCTTATACTGTATCCTAGATGTGTTTTGTGGGTAGGAGAGATATATATGCCATAACTTCTCATATCTAAATTTTTTATATTTCTTTTGATTTAAATTTCTTCGATTTTCAAATCTGAGATCACTAATGTTGGACATGGTTTTTTGGATCTCAGTTAACAGACTATTTTGTACGGTAATAAGAGTGTTATCCTGGTAGAGAAAATAACTGGATAAGTAATTTATATTTAGTAATTTATATTTAGTTATTCATTTTGACACAAAAAGCAGCTTTAAGTATAATAGTTTTGCCATTTTTATGTAGTTCAACATATTCTTTACCACTGACACTAAAGCTTTCCTCTACTGAATCTAGATAATTCATACCTGTATTTGTGCAACTTTTATTCTAAATTGTCCCTGATACTATCTTCAATTATTTGTTAAGGTTGCTGTTAGTAATTCCGATCTGGATGCCATGCAAAATGAGCTTGAAAAGCTCAGAGAGTTCAAGGAAAAGACTGAATCAAAAGGAAATTCAAAGTCAGGAAAGAAATAGTGGTAGTGCTTGAAATGACTTTTCTGGAATTCTGGAAGGCCAAGTCTTTAGTGGCTTCACTGAGATGAGTTAAGGCGAAAGCTTTCACAATATTCAAAGTTTTGCCTTCTGTTAGATTCCCATACCGCAGCCGATTGTAATCCTCTATACACGTTTTTTGTTTTGCCATTTTGTATATACATTTTTGTTTGCATTACATTTAAAATATAATAACATAAATACTTTATGATAATTGTGTGTATATGCTATTTTGGCATGAATTATCCATGCTCTGTAGAAGGGTATTAAAAAGACCTTATCAGTTTTTGTTTTGTCATTTAAATACCTAGATCGTCATCCCTGCCAAGTCTCTTCTAAAAGAAGGTTTTGTTGGTATTTCATCATCTATCAGAATCAGAAAACAAAGATAGAACCTAGAAATTCCCTCTGTCATGTAAGCCTCCCTCCAGTATGCCCCCACCTTATATCACTGTAAAAGTTGCTAAGAACCCCCTAACTTGCTAATTTCATAAATACATGATTTAGCCCTTGGTAGATCACATATTCATTGACAACTGAAAAGCTAAAATAGAAAAAAAATCAAAAAAACAATTTTGTTGCAATTAATTTATGTGATTACCAGATCATATTGTTTCCTCCAAGTAGATATTGACATTAAAACATTCTAAAAAGAGTAAGAGCTACTTTGGTGATTTTTATATAACTTTTTTAAGCTCCGCCTAGTTTAACCCTGCTTGAATTAACCTCATTCAAGAACCTCTCAAATCAATTAGTCCATTTGTGGGTAATTTGAGGATTTACATTAATTGCAAAGCAGGGACATGAGTAAATTGTAGATTCAAGTTTATATTGTATATAAATTCATTTTTAAATATTGCATCTGGCAACTTAGCTTCAATCTATTTTAATGCAGATTGACTCCCAAATATACTTAACAATCAGATTATACCTTATGAATCACTTCAAATTTTATTTTAGCAACATTGTTTTTAGAGAAAGGTTCCCAATTTGTTAGCAGTGTTTGCCTTCTGGAGGAAAATTTGACACTTTGCTTGACTGTCCTTCCTTCTAATTGCCAATTTTGATTTGCCTTTCCCTCTATTTGGCATCATTCTCCTTGTTAAACATACACCCCCCCCCCCTCCCGTAATCCTCTAGATGCATTCTCAATACAGCCATCGGAGTCAAGTAGAAAAAAAATGATCGAATCACTAGTTTTATATAGCTGGTTCATATTTTTTATTTTTGCAAATTATTGCATAAAACATTCAATGCGTTGTTTTTAAGCTGTATAGCTTTTTTTTAAAGAAATCTATGAGCAGCTCCATGCATAGTGGCTGCTTTTATTATTAAATCATGTTACGAGCTATTTTTCAATAGTATTGTTACGCATACTTATTTGCTAATTTTTAATGACGGAATTTTGAGATTTCAATCTAATCTTAATGGTTGGTTTACCTATGTTGAACATTTATTGTTTGTAAATGTGAGTTAATTTCTTATACAAGCTGACTCTTTGCTTCACATGAGACGATGTTTGTGTCTTTCTTTTTTTTTGCAAATTCTCTAAGCAAAAAAATTTAATCCTCCATTTTTTTGCAAATTCACCATGCAAAAAAATTACTCCTCCATTTCGCATACTGTGCATGTATTCTGGATTCTCAATTCAATACAATGCAGTTGATTCAGGAAGTTTGCTTTTGAAAGTCCAGGAACGGATTTAAGCCCAGGTCAAACGAGCCAAAATTTCACCCACCATTTCGCCCAGCATTTTTCCTTTAGATGTTGGAAAGTGATCCAACGTCGGTGGTCGAACGATTCAACATTTCACAAAACATTTCACCCAACATTTTCACACCAGATAGAAAAAGGACTGGGTTGAAGATCGCACTAGAGGCTGCACAGAAAAGTTCGTGAAATTTTCGATTAGAGAAAGGAAAAGGCAATCACCGCCTTATCTATATAATTTCTTTTCAAGGAAAGCGATGGCAGATATTTCACTGTCATCGCGGTCTTTAAGGACGAGAGCCGCATCCCCCATCAAAGCGGTGGCCTAAATTCGCCCCCCCCCCCCTGCTGCACTTTCTTGAAGCTCTTCTGTGCTACAGCCTCTTTATTGACGCTTGATGCCTCTTCTTGCGCACAGAATTTGCTTTCTTTCGTCATATTGCCCATAATAATAGTGAACGGAGCAAATGAAACCAACCCGATAAGGCTAAGGTACATACAGCTTAACGTTTTGGGCAAAAAGGTACTTTTTCCACAAGGGAGCCGATGCACCAGTCCTACCTTGGATACCTAAGACATGAGAGGGAAAGAGAAAACTTGACTGAATTAAGAGCCGAGTTCATTCTAAACGAAACAACAACAGAAACTTTGAAAAGAATCCTGTGATGTAAATAGGCCCTAACTCCTAGAAGATCAATAGAATTTACAAAAAGTTGAAGAAACACACTATGATATGCAAGATACCAAAAGAGGTGGAAAGGACGGAAAAATAGAACAGCGTGGAAACAGCACACCAAACAAGCACGATATACCCGACCCAAAACAATTAAATACACTTATCTGAGACAAAGGACCAACACTTTCTTTCAAATACCCAGACTACAGAATCTACAGAACGTATGGTTTGTCCCAATTTCATATGATCAAAATCTTTTTGCAAATTTCAAATTTGCAAATTTGATTTACACCCAAATGAAAATAATACAAGTCAGTTAAAAATAAGAACCCGTAGTGATATTAATTTCTACAACATCTCTTGTGAAATTAACACTGATAAACTTACATTTGATTAACATTTTCAATGCAACTATGATTAGAAAACGCAAGAAGTTCACAAAGCTGCAAGAGCTTTCAGTACAAACTACCCAAATTTATCTATCAGGTACACTTTCACACAGCAGATGTTTTAAGCTTTCATTCGTATTCACTCTTGTCTTCATCCCTACTTTCTTCTAATGCCTGGTTCTTGGCCTTGTTTTCGTCCTAGTCTTCGTCCTCATCCTACTCCTTGCCCTCATCTTCACCTACGTCTGCTTTTTACGTCTTCATCTTCGTCTTCGCTTTCGTCCTTCTTTTCGTCCTCGTCTTGGTCTTCGTTTTCGTCCTCGTCTGCGTTCTCGTTCTCTTCTACGTCTTTGGCTTCATCTTTGCCTTAGTCTTCGTCCTCGTCTTCGTCCGTGTCTTCGTCCTAGTCTTCGTTCGTGTCTTCGTCTTCGTCCTTCACTTTGTGTCCTCGTTTTCCTTCTCGTCTTAATACTGATTCTCGTCATCGTCTTCTTCATGGTTGTCCATTTCTACCTTGTCTTTTTTACCGTTTTTCCTTCGTTTCTGTCTTCTTCCTTGTCGTAATCATCATTGTTGCTGCCAGCTGCAAGCACCATCACATTTTTTATTTAAATCACCATGAGACTTTCCTAAAAATGTAAGACTTGACAGCCTGAGGGGTTCACTTTGTTGAAAAAATACGTATGTGCCTGCCAGAAAAGATTGTATGACTCTCTCCTTGAAAAAAAATCCGAAAACATGATACCTATGCTTGAATGAATTTCTGAAAAAAGATACCTGAAAACATGATATCTTCAATTGGCATACCTGTGCTGGAAAAAAGAGACAAAAGGTATAATCCTGTCTTGGAATTTTAAGCCGAAAATGAATGTTGGCAGGCAGATCCTCGTGTAGTTATTGTAGTAAATGTACCCTCTGGGCTTGACAGGTTTGTATAGGTTACATTCAAGATATAAAACAAGTATTTTTGAAATTATGTTAAGATACAAGTATTTGAACTGTATTCTCATTTGAAGCCTTAATCCATCACGCAGGATCTGTCTCCTTGTTTGGATGGTAATAACGTTACCTCGAGTCACCATAGTAAGACTGTCGACGCTTTTCAGTGGACTGAAATCAAACTTCAAGGATGTAAAGAAATAAGACAAACCATAGTCCTATTCTCTGGAGGTCTACCAGGCAAGGTTGTTCTACCAAAATTATTGGTGCTCTAACCAACATTCGTCTCGGTAGACTAGACCAATACTTTATAAACATTGTCTATTAGAAACCAGGGCCGTAAATCCCGGGGGGGACGGGGGGGACTGGACCCCCCCAAAAATCTGGAGCAAAACGATTTTTTGGAGAAATTACCATCATTTTCTTTGAAAGGAGGAAATCTCTGATAGCCGGGTTAGAACCAAATTACGTTTTCTGTGTCATTGCAACAAACCTCAGCCACTAAGGTTATTTTTGTAAGCAGAGTGGTTTTTATAATTTTTACAAGATAAAAACTTACCGTTTTCTACCGTTTTTTACTGTTTTCTACCGTTTTATTTTTGAAAACAGAGTATGAAATAAAAAGAGAGCAATCTGTCATTTTATTTGATCTATCTACTAACTTATTTACATACATTTCTATTGTTTGTCTATTATTTACTTTTATTTAGTAGATCACTTTTTGTATCATTAAAATGTATTCATTTTTGATGTGTAAAAATGGCCTACACAATGTGTGACAATGGCCAAAAATGGCCTGAGAAACGTTGAACTTTCTATCCTGAGCGATTCTAGTATTTTATCAAATTTAGTCTGGGGGATGCTTTTTTAGCCTTTCTAGAAGGTAAAATTTCAAAAATTTTCTTCCGTGTCGGACCCAACCATGGTGGGTCCTCCTACGACAGTAAACTTGATTCTTAGCTCCCAAGGTTCAATTTCTTGGATCCGTCTTTGAAAAATGTTATCCATCCAATCATACACACAAAGTCAATGTACTAAGGAATATCTGTAAATACCTTCTATAGAGCAGAAAGTCTTGAGAAACCAAAAATATTGACTTTTGTTTTTAAAGTAATTTGCCCCTCAACTGTTTCCATAACACATACCATAAATCTCTTGTGGTGCCATGACCCACTGCATACTTTATATTCATTCGCTCTGCTGACCCCCCAATTCACATGACAGATTTACGGCCCTGTTAGAAACTGACCCATAATATGACAAAGCAAATGAGAAGCTAAGATACTGATTAGCTTAAACCGAAGGAAATGTTAAAATTTTGTATTGTAAAGATGAAATGGAAATGCTATTTTCCGACGATCAATTGCCTATTTTCTCTTTCATTGACACAAATCATGGAAACAAGAACTCGTTCATGCTCAGCTTCGTTCGTTGGGTTACTGAAAAATAGCTTTTTGGAACACGGTATTGTAGGAACCTTAAGAACATAGATGCCTGTACAGAAGATTGGGGTGCGACTATCGTGCAAGATCTGATGCATTGCGACAATATTATTCCAAACCAAATTACGACTAAATCTAATATAAAATTCTTGGGAAGTGGCCTTGCTGGACTTGAGATGAAAAATTGTTTAGGGAAATTTGAAGGCTGTCCCCCAGGGGGTGCTCCTATTATGGCCTAATAGGAGGTCCAGTCAGGGTCAAAGAGGGCCAAAGCTAAAATGTTAAAAAATTACCCTTAAATGGTAACATAAGAACCGAAATCATGTCCTTGTTGGCATCCGTTTCTTTGTGCTCGCCAGGTCCTACTTTGACAAAAAAATTTCCCATTGACTGTTGTTTATTCGGGGAAATGTTATTATCGAAACTGGGTCATTTGGTAGCCATATGGTGTGACCCTCAAATCGGCTGGACCCCTGTCAAGCCTTAATTGGAGTATTCCTTGGAAAGCTTTCTAGATATTTGAGTTTATCTACAACACCTGAAAACAAAGACTCGGCAAACGACACCAAATGTTTAGTTTACCATGCGGCTTGAATTCGCCTTTGAAAACAGATAGATTCATGTTTTCAAACTGCTTCATTGAAGAAATATATTAAATACAAAACTTTATAACGATAAAGATGTGCATTAGAGGGAAACTTAATTGACATGCTACATTACATAACAGTGCCTTCGGAACGAGATTAATGTTGGTGTCGTGGGGGGGATGCTGGCTCTGCCAATTTATTCCTTGTTATTCAGTACAATGATTATTGACAATTATTTCCCCCAAGCCCCCTGGTTCCAGCTGCCCTGCATCATTATTTTATGGTTGCTCACACTAACATATTATGCCCGGTATTGCGCTCATTTCAATGTTGCTGTAAATGCTATTAAAAGAAAAATATGCTTTAATCAAAAACCTGTTTTTGACTTTATTCTTAGCAACCCAACACTTTGCAAAAAATGCAGAAAATGCAGAAAAGAACGTCCCCTTATTCGATTTTTGCCCCTAATCTCCACTTTTTGGGGCTTTTAAGGGGTTTTGGAGTTAATTTTCTGCATTTTCTAGCTAAAAGCGGGGGTACTAAAGCGCCACAGCCTCCCTGCTCCGTGGCGCCTGTCTTTTGAAGAAACAGATCCCTTTATGTTTATCTTTTTCAGTAAAGAGTATTTCATTTTTCTAAAGTTCAAAATCTAATTCTTACGAGCTTTGAAAAAAGTGCAGGTTAGGTTATTTGTAGAAAAGAGGGCACGAAATTTATTATTTTCGTTTTGATCCTGGCCTAGACTGCTGTTCTATACGCATACTTAGACCTGCTTGCTGCAAAACCTTCTCCCATCTTAGATTGATTTTAGAATGCTACACCCACCATTTCTTGGAGATACCTCTTGTTCTGTTTAATTTTCTTAGAAATGTGAGAGTTATCTCTAAAAACAACACAAAAAAGTTTTGAACATAGAAATAGAGGCCGCTGCTCAGCGTCCGGTTCGCGGGCTCAAGTGGCGGCCTCGCCCTCAATTCATTGGTTTCATCGCTTTCATGTGGGTTGACAAAATACATTCCGATACGGACGATTATTGTCGCTTGTTTAAATTGAAAGACTTTCGATCTCCCTTTAGACTGGCTGCATTCTACTGTTCATTTTCAAGCTAAGAAATGGATCATTCTGAGGTAAGACTACTACATACTCGTGTTTGGTTACTGCTCGCTATGTGCATGCATTTAAAACGAGGGCCTACCGTTCCACTAGATAAAAACATCTACTATGAAACTAATAAATTTCCTTCGTTTAGAAAAGCCAGGGTTGCGATCATGGTTCTGTATTTTAAGAAGTACCCAATGTTAAAATACGGGACACTATTGATCAACTTCCATCGTTATAAATTGTGTAAAATTTCTAAATATTGATTTATGCCCAGATAAGCACCATGACAATTTGGATAACTTGCAGAGCAGGGAACCATCATATTAACGCCCACTTAGGTTAGAAGTGCAATAGAACTTTAATTCAAACTAAATAAAGTTCTCTAAAACATTTGATGCAGACTGAGAGAGTTTCTGTTTCTTCACGACTTTATTTTCTCTATACATTCAAAAGGAAAACGTGTTGGATTAAGCTTGTCCAATAACAGCTGCCAAGCTTTTTAATGAAGGAGAGTTCAGACTGTCTTCTCCCTTAAAATGCTCATTAATAATTAGATAATAGCTTCTTTATTCACTTTGGTTTCGGTAAGAAAGGTTTTTGTTATCAGTTTAGAATGACCCTTATTGAAATATTCTCAAGATCATAGAGAATGAGGGGAGAATAAACTGTGATTATTTTATCAGAAAATTATAGCATATAAAAACTAATAACAAAATAATCATAAATAATCAGAACTGTTACGTAAATGCAAGATGCATAGAAAATGATGTGAAATCAACTGGAAATTATAAAAGTCTGAATAAAAAACAGCTTTTACCTGGATTAATGTCAGAAATAATCGTTAATCATTCATCAAAGGCAAACAGAACCAAAATACATGGACATCCATTAAACCGATGTGTCAAGTATTTCCTGTTAATATAAATTTTTATTCTGAGAGAAAATGTGAACAAGTGATGAAACAAGGGGAGGACTCCAATCAGAGGCCAACAGCTCTCTGTGTTTTTTAAACTCTGCCAGCCAAGCTACCTAGTGACATTTTCAACCCAAGCCCAAACTGTGCTATTAACACACACTACCTCTCTTTACCAAGTGGGCAGGTGATGCACATTGCAATGGCAGGGGCTGTTGCAGCACCCATTGTAATGTGCATCAGAACTGCCATTAGAAAGGTCTTTCTGCACCAGGGGGACCATGACAGTCACTGCAGCTGGATAGGGTTGAGGGGAATGAGTGACAGGATAACATGATTCTGGAGAATATATTGAGAGAAAATGTGAGCACAACCAGAGAAGAACATGAACAAGCAACCAGTCACATAATAAATTTTATGACGAAAAAAGGTCATCATTTGGAATTTTGATGAAACCTGCAGCCTCCACAGAAACTAGAACCCTCAATGAAGCAAGCCCCCAGCTATTAGCATCTGCATTGATTATAAACTTAAATTACACAAAGGTACATTCAAGTAAAAGCTTGAAATATTGCTAAATGTTGAGTATTGTGAAAAATTGTTACACGTAATTCATATTTGTTTCTTCTTTTTGTTTAGGTAATCCTGACTCTAACACAAGCAGATGGTAAGTAATAATTTTCAATTGGGTTAAATAATAAAACCTCTAAAATTGTAAATCAAATGGTACAAATCAAGTGTAGAGGGTATTGCTTTGTTCTAAATATCCACATAAGTTACTTAATAAAAATTATAGTCAGAAAAATTGTGGCTCTTGTATCTAATGGTAAGACTTTAAATGTTTTTCCTCGTCATCTCCTTTGAGTTCTGCTGGGGAGAGCTTTAACATAATCAACTTTTTGTAAACCACAGTTAAGTCAGTAGAGGCTCTAGCTTCTCCTGCGATGAAGGTGCCAGAGGTCAATGGGTGCAGCCTATGAGAAAATCTTGGGATCAGGCCTTTATTTAATAATTTGAGTGTTATATACTATGTGTTCTTTTCCCAAAGTGAACCTTAAAAATAAGAACTACCCCTACCCACAAAGGGGGGAGGAAGTTAATTACCACTCAATCCCTAAGCACTGCGAGTTAGTGACATGCAATCATTTTTCTTGAACATACTTGTGGTCTTTGATTCTAGCTTTAAATAAAGTGTTCAAGTTTGCTGATGTAGAGGAAACAGGTCAAGTAGATGTTGCTACTATTGCAACACTAGCTGTCCAGTTAATGGGAACTGACTTTAATGAGTCAGAGAAAGAGCTGGTGAACAAGAAAGCTGAAGTAAAAGCTGAAAAAGGTAAATATATTTAATTTGCTTGAAATATTATGCCATGCAACCTTATGAGGCAGAAAATTACTAATAAGGAGTCCAGTCAAATTTGAAAGATTTTAATTTTCTTAAGCAAAGACAAAGTTTTTACTGTCATAATTATTCCTGTTTGGACCGACATTTAATAATTCAATAATTTGTTAATAATTTGTTAAGTTAAGAATGTTTGAAAATATTTGCTATACTTATATAGATAAATTAGATGTTGCAAATGATTTTGCTCTATTTTCACATAAAACACCAAAGCAACACGCAACAAGTTAAAGATTAAAAAAAATTTTATATCTCCAACTTTCCATGATTATTTTACCCATTGAGGAACCTCTTTTTTTAATTGATTCTCCTAAAAAATGTTCATGATTACTCGCATTTTCTTTTTCTTTGGTTGTTTACTAGAATACAGCTGTTTCAGTTTGATATACATATATACTTAATAATCTTATTATACAGGAAATAATTGTATGAAACTTAAATAATGAAACTAACACAAGTCTTTGTTTAAGCCTTGTCAGGAAACTCTTTGGGGGGAGGTTGTGATACATTGCTGGTTTTTCTTATTGTAAGAAGAGCTTCACAGTGATCCAAAAAAGCTCATCTTGCCCACAATTGTTTGTTGATTTGAGCCACATAGAGCTGTTGTAAACTTTTTATGTGTTTTGAATAAATATAATGTTACATTATCAGTGTTTATGTTTTAATCACAAGGTATGCTTTCCTATGCAAATTTCCTCGAAATAATGCAACAAACTATGGCAACAACGACTCACTGGGGTGCGAAATTGAAAACTCCGGTGGATTCTTCAGTTGGATTTGATTCTATTCAAGAGCAGTTACGATTAAAAGCACTTAAACGAGGATTTGAATTCAACATTATGGTAGTAGGTATGTTCTTAATTATGCAAAGGTTTTGATGTATGATGAGTGATCTCTAATTGCCAGAGTTTTTGTGAAACCTTGAGTCTGATTTCCACAAGGCCAATTTCGAATTTGCTAGAGATTTGTTTCAGATGTCTCTTTCAATTTCCATGAGATTATGAATTTGCGACCAAATTAAAATGTTAATTTCTTCCAAACTAAACATTTAGGTGCCCATTTTTCAGAACAGCGTGAATAGTGAATGTTTATAGAATGTTTTCTCATAAATCAAGAAAATTTACCAGGCTTTGGTCAGTTATTAGCTATTACAAAATATTTCGCCACAAAAAAGTAGGACTCTTTTCTATTTCCTTGCGAATTCCCTGCTAAATCAAAGATCAAAACTGCTTATGCTTCAATATCTTCACCAACAATTTCGCCAAAAATTCACTGTGAAATTCACCTTGTGGAAATAAACATTTAAAGATAACCTTACACTGGCTTCAATGTGTTTGTGTCAACCAGAGGTGGAAAAAATTTTTTTCTTTCTGGGAACCTAAGAATCTGGCTCAAAACTTTCTGCAAAATTTAGGGGGTAGACAAATAAACTTTCTGTTTGTGCCTATATCTCTTAGTTGATGTATAAAAGTGGGCAAATTTAATTTTAAGAAGTATATATGATACTTCTCTTTTGAATGTTCAATTTGTTTTTATTTTAATGCTTAATTTGTTTTTTTTTCTCAAAGTATTTCTATAGAAGGTTAAATTGAATGCATAAAATTGTCAGGCAATCAACTTCTTAACATAATCAGTATCATTTAACATCAGAGATCTTGACTTTTGTTCCAAAACAGTCATTCTCAACATATTAGATATGCCTTTACTTAATGCATTAATGCACATAAGAAAGAAATCATTCTTAGCTAGAAATTGATTCAATCAATCATCATGATGGAAAATCAAAAGGAAAATCCATGCAATAATCTCCAAACATAGTTTCAGAAGAGAAAGGGGCAAAAGCATTTGAATTGTATGGTGCATTTTATGGAGAAGACTTAGCCTAAACTTTTGACAAGTGAGAAGCAATATGTGGTTAAAATGGAGTCCTAGCATGCAACAGATTAATGTAACCAAGCATATTAACTTATGATCAATGCTGCTCACACCATGGTGCCAGAAATATTTTCTGTGAAAGTAGATTCCAGTACCTATATTAATCTCAGTCTTAATCATGGTTTGTCTTAAAAGCTCAGCTGCTAAAAAAATTCTGATCGTGAGTGGCTGAGATTTCTGTGGGATGGTGAATGTAAATAATGTGCACAAAGAATTTATTTCCAATGGAAAGAGACTAATTCCCACATTCCTTTGGCAGCTCAAATTTAGCTGCTCACAGACAAGTTAAAATAATATTTTCAACTAATTTGACTTAACCTATGTCACCAAATTTTTATATTTACTTTAACACTTCAAAAAATTTCTGTGAAACTTTCTGCCAACATTTTCATCTAGAAACATTTCTGGGAACTACGTTCCCAGGTTCCGATACTTTTTCCACCTCTGGTGTCAACTAATCAATATATATAATAACAATAAAAGTTGTTCTACGTTGCAAATTTATATGCTCACTTAATTTTGAGAAAAAATCTTTTCAATTAATCAATATTTCAGATGGCAATAGAAAATTAGAAGAAAAAAAATGATCAGCTTCATGTTAATATGTTTTAATTGCTGGCATTGAAAAGCTAGTAACAGCTAGAGGTTGAGCGTATCTATGACAAAAAATGAGCTTGGATAGTTATAAAAGCAACAATTGGACAGTGAATTGCTAGTAAAAGCTATAAATACTAGAGGCTGCAAGTATCCATGACAAAAGTGGAAGCTTTGTAAATTAGATTTATTGAAATAGTTATATAGGCAACAATTGGACAGTGTGAAAACCTTCATATCTGGATTCAACAAGCCCCCTCTTCATTTATACTGACTAGTTTATTTTTTTAACAGGATCATCTGGGCTTGGAAAATCAACTCTGATAAATACCTTATTCAAAACAAAAGCAAGTAGATCTACTTGCACTGAAAATTTTAATGGCATTCCAAAAACAGTGCAAATAAAAACAGTGACCCATGGTGAGTTTTTCTTTTTCCAAGTCTGACTGTTACAGCTGTAAAATGTATTTTTAGAGTGCCCCCTTCATTTTGCAACCTGGTCTCTGTGTTTTTTTGTCTGTTATTTTTAAGTTTCAAATAAACTGCCACTATCACATGGTACTTTTTTACTTGCAAACATATACATGTAATTCAAATGCTGCAAAGAAAACAATTAAAATTATTATATGCATTATACATAGAGCCAAGGTCCTATCAAACAGCATTTTAATGTTATCAAAGTTCAGTTTTATTGAAAAAATACTTTATAGCTCTTTTTTTCCTAGTCTTGGAGGAAAAGGGTGTAAATTTGAAGCTAACAGTCACAGATACTCCTGGTTTTGGTGATCAAATAAACAATGCTAACTGGTCAGTATCTTGAAATAAACAATAGTTATAAATGTCTTAGACACAACTTTTACTGATATTTTTAGTAACAGTGACAGGTTATAATGTTCCTAGATTTCTATTCAAGTATGGTGCAGGAGAACCAAACCTAGTTATGCAAAGTTTTTACATTACTAAGCAGATTGTAAAATATTAATTACACATTCACGTTTAACTTTTTATCAAATAAATGCGGAAAAAAGTTTCTTTTTTCAGAAGTTTCATAAACAGAGAATAATTCCTTATTTTGTACCATCCTGTGGTCAATTTTTACTTAAGGCTCATTAATTCACCTGAAGCTTTTCAATGTAGGTCTTAAGAAATTTTTATCATTATTAGAAACGTATGTTTGATAACCAATACAAAGACTGATATGCAAACTATAACAACATTTATTGTAGACAGATTATCGCATTGAATCATCTTTTTTTAAGCATTTTCCTTTGTTTTTAAGCTGGGAGCCAGTTGTTGGCTACATCAACGAACAGTATGACAAGTATCTCAAGGAAGAACTTAGTATCAATCGACGAACGAGGATTCCAGACAACAGAGTGCACTGCTGCTTGTATTTCATTGCACCAACTGGTCATAGGTACTGTATACAAATAATTGTAATCATATATAGACCTTACTTTGTGTGAATTTTTGTATGAACAATAACATACTTTACTTAAAATACTTAGTACGAATATCATCCAGCTCATAGAGCAAAACTGTAAGTGAAAAAACAACGCCTGCCATTACTTCCTCTGAGTTTTTGTATCTTTCAGAACATACACTATTTTCTATCATTAACATTATATTTGTATAATTTATCAAGGTGTTTTATGTTGAAAGGCTAGTCAACATAGTCATCGGGCATATAAATAGAAATGCTACAATTTACATGCATTCTTAGTAGGCACGGTTGCTATTGCCTATTAGATCATCATCGAGAGGCCATAATATTCGCGATAATGGTAAAACATCCTTGCTTTTTTCAGGTTGAAACCACTTGATATATCAGTCATGAAGCAGTTAGATAAATGTGTTAATGTTATTCCTGTCATCTCAAAAGCGGATACGCTGACCTTGGAAGAAAGGGAAGCGTTCAAAAAGCGAGTATGTTACAGCCTTTCATGTTATTTTTCATTTGTAATTCTACTATCTGTAATTCCATGCTGGTAATCTAATCGTATGAGATTGAAAAGGTTGCAAAATTCGCACAGAAAAACAACAAGAAGAGATCTAGAGTGCGGAGTATGAAGTAGTGCTATTTTCCCAAAAGCGTTTAGAGCAAGTTTTAGAAAAATTCTTTGTTATCCTCTAATGAGTTAAGGCAATGTTGAATCCCTCAATTTTTTTAAGATTTGCTCTGGGAATATGGCAGAAGAAAATGTTAATTACGACAATAAAATCTTGAAAATGTCAGCAATGAACAAGCAGAATGTGTCTTTTAATAAAGAGCGTTTGATATGAATTTTTTTTTATTTTTAATTATTGCATAATTGTGGAAATATTATGATTAATTTTAATGTTATGATGGTTTTATGAATTGCTTAGTTTCCGTTTGTGTTTTTGTTGATAAAAAGTTTTTCTGCTTCAGATTCGTGAGGATATCCATTTTAACAACGTCACAATATACCCAGTTGTCCACAATGATCTAACCGATGATGAAATGAAAGTCAACAACAAAATCAAGGTGAGCCTTCTTATGATCACGTTTGTGGTGACTACAAAAGTAAAGGAGATTCTCGTCATAATACCGAGAGATTACAACCCAATGGTATTTTCCCTTTAAGCCTTGTGGTGATGATTCGCACCAGTGATCGCGTAAAACAGCCGGTCTTCTTACACTGGTGCTTACACTTACACTGTTAACATTTATTGAAAATTTAAAAATTTTCTAATATTTTACATTTTTTCAAAGATATTCGCATATCTGAGGCAGTAGATTGTCATTTCTATAAAAGAACATTCGAACATTCGAAACATACCAGTCATCAGTTGCATTATATAAAATCACAGCAAATCACGACTAACTAGCTTTGCAAACTGATGCTATCCTGGCTCGTTGCTATTTTTCACTGAAAATCGAGCCGACTTTCCTCTGATAACTTGAATAGTTTCCTCTGATAACTTGAATAGTTTTGCCGTGATATAAATTGAAGTTAGTAGCTATCACCCCTTCTCCATACAGAAAAACTGGTGGAGACATTTCTCATAAAGTTAGGACACCGAGAGTCCAGAAAAGTTGTCAACCTTCCTCTGGCCAAGAAAATCTTACATAAAGTTAGGACACCAAGAGTCCAGAAAAGTTGTCAACCTTCCTCTGGCGAAGAAAATCTTACTTTAAAACCTTCCTTATTTTTAGTAGGTTTTTATAAAGGGCATGGTCAGGAATTTGGGGGAGGGGGGGGGGGCTCAACCAGTCTTGATCGCCTCTCCTTGCAACTCTGTTTTTCCAAAAGGTTTTAAAAAATTGTTGCTTGTTTCATGAGACATGTAAGGTTACATGCTTTTATCAATTAACAATAAAATTTAATCATAATTATTAATCATAAAAGGTTAATGCCTTAATTTTACAGTGCGGAACAGGTCTGCAAAGACATTCATATTGAAAAAAACAGGAGGTTTATAAATGTTATTTGAATGTTTCCGTTTTTGTCAAACTGTATTTTGAAAAGGCAATTCGATTTCTTCAACTTCCTCAAGTTTTCAAAAATTCCACGTTTCACCTTTCACATCTTTCACAATTTTTTATGTTTCTACAACCTTCCTCCGGCCAGTGGCCGTGATGCCGTGATGTTTTCATTACTCTGAGGACACCTTACGTTTTGTTACAGGACCAAATTCCATTTGCCGTTGTTGGAAGTGACAAGTATGTAAATGTTGGAGGAAAAAATGTCCTCGGTCGAAAAACACGATGGGGAGTCGTTGAAGGTGAGTGATATTTTGAAATGTATAGTTTAATTAGTTGTGATTTTGTTGAAGACGATTGCTCGGGCAATGACAACTGTGGGAAGAAGAGATGTGTATGAAAATGGGTATGGTGCTGGGTATGGCAGTTTTGTATGTCAAAGTAAGACGATGAAAAGTGCTGCACTATTCTTTTGTTTACTCTAACTCACCGTAGTGCTTATCCAGAAGGCTTTTTATACGTCGCCTTTTTTGTCTGACCTCCCAATATGTTCTTTCTCTCTTCTGTTACAGTAGGGTCTCTATCTGATCCATCTCATTAGAATTGGCTGCCTATTAACGAAGTTGCATTTTTATCAGGAGATCTTTTGAAATAAACTTTGGTTACAGTTTCAAAGTATTTAGGAGACCTTTTTGAGGTGCCTCTTTTTTGGTGGATGTCGATTATCATCGTCGATCATGGAAACCTCTCCATATACATATGCTAGTCTATTTTTTACAAGGTGTATGCAATGTCTTACGTAATATATCATGCAAAACTCATTGCTATAACAAAGTCGAAGTTTAACTCAAAACATATAAATTCAATGTTTCACTACATTATATTAAAAGAATACGGAACATAATGTGACTTCCATGTAACCCTGTATTATTCATGTCTAGCCATTTGCCTTATTTGTCTTACACAGCTAGATCACGACTGAATTTGGTTGCTTCAGACTTGATATTTTGTTTTTATAGTGCATTACTATAAATTGATATTTCATGAAGCATATGTTCTATAGTATCTGCATTCCTTTACAGTTGAAAATAGAATGCACTGCGAATTTTCGATGCTTCGAGACATGCTTATCAAGTATGTACTAATTTTATTTATAGCTTGCTTTCTGCCGTACCTTGGAAGCCTTCAAAATCAGCTGAGGGCTTCCATCCTGTGTGGTAGGCCGCTTATGTGCCACATTGTCTATCGTTCTCGCCATAGAATACTTACGAGGCCTTTTTTCTGCTCTGGTTATATCGCCTGGTGTTATTTGTCACGTATTAGCTTACATTGTCTGGTTTGTGACTGCTTTTAGACCAAGTCACTTGTTTTAGCTTTGAATTTTATGATCTCTGTGTAGTGACTACTTCACTATACTTTGTTTTGATAACAACTGTCAATGTTGATGAATTTGGCCAATTTTATTTCTTTTCGGGGTTTTCGTGGAATAAGATAGGCGTATTTTCCACTTCTGTAAAATTAACTTACTTACCAAAGCAACAAATGGAAGACTTTTGTTATGTTTCTGTTTCCTTTGCTGGATATATTCCTTCACACCTAGTGAGATATCAAAATAATAAACTATGAAATTTCCTACCAAGTTTAGTCAAATATATGTACCACCTTGTTGATAAGAAAGTGGAATCTTAACTTCTGTGCTTGTTCATTTGAACTAAGTACTAAAAAGTGTTACCTCCAGCTCATATTTTTGATAAATTTGACGTCTCCAAATTAAAGCAAGAGGCACATGCTGGTAAGTTAGCTAACTAATTTGTATATTGTTGTATATTGTTGTTTAAACTGTTTGTTTAAACTGTTTTTTTAAACTTCACCACTAACCTGTTTTTATATTGTTGCTTAAAAGACTATGTTCTCTACAACAGCATGTGTCTCAGTGCAGGTACTATTTCGCTTCTTTCTCTTGATATAAGGCATATAGGTTTGTATCTTTGCATCTATCCAGTCTAGAATTATGGGTTGGTGAAATTTTGGAATTGAGGCTGAAGCATTATGTCTGACTAACCTGTTCTTATTCAATATTCGACTTTATTTTGATGTTTAGGACTCACATGCAAGACATGATTGAAGTGACTGCCTCCATTCATTTTGAAAATTACAGACGAGCAAAGCTTACAGAAATGCATAACAAATCGATAAAGTAACCTTGGAAATCATAGAAAAACTAACAGAATTTTTAACCAACTGGAAATTCTATGTGTATATGGACGTATCGTTTTCATAGATTCAGTAATA